GGGGGTGCGGGCAGCATCACCCCCGCCCCGGGCCGCCCCCGCACGCAGCTCGCCCCCGGGATCCCGCAGCCTGGGCTCTGCTCTGCCCCCGCAACACCGCGCCCCGGGCCGTCCCCCGCCCCAGGGACACTGAAGCCCCGCTCAGCTCCTCTTGGGAACCTGCACGCCGGGTGATTTCGCATCCCGGGCTCTCCTCCGCCCTGGGGACCCCGCATCCTGTGCTGCCCCTCTTGGGAACTTGCACTCTGGAGACCTCTCCTGCTGGGTGGTCCTCTCCATTCCCGTATTGTCCCCTGCCCCACGTCCTCTACATCCAGGGGACGTGGCACACCTGGCTTCCTGCGCCCTCCGCTGTCCCCGTGTCCAAGCTTTCCTCTCCAAGGACACGGCACCGTGGGCTTTGCCCTACACACCCAGCCATGCCCTCGCTGCTTGCGCAAGGGGTCAGTGGACACAGCCTTTTTGGGGGCCTCTTTGCTGCCCGTCTGCTCCGCTGTCTCCACCATTCCCAAGTCCCCGGTCCTTTCAGAACCCCGCAAGTGCCTTTTCCAGGAGGTTTTGCCTCTGTGTGAGCCCTCAGCTGGTTTTGCTGAGCTCTGAGGGCCTGCAGGGGCTCCCAGGCAGGTCCTAATGCTCCTGCCAGGACAGGCAGCGATTCCCCGTCCCCGGCGCTGCCCCCAGCCCGGACCAGCACCGCGCTGGAGGGGTCTCTGTGCCGGAGCAGCAATGGAGAGGGCGCAGGGCCTGATTCCTGCAGGCTGGGGATGTTGATGGATGTTGGATGCCCGTCCCAAGACAAGTCCTTCAGGCAGCCCGTGGATGACCCCAATGGGACATGGGACAGGGTGCCGCGGGCCCTGGCGGTGCCGCCCGCTCCCCCCACTCCCTCCTTACACCAGCATTTCCGAGCGAGGCCAGAGCCGGAGCCGCCCTAAGAGCCTGTGAGAGTTTGGGAGCAGCTGTGGAGCAGCTGCCGGGGCCAGCGCGGGGGCTGGGGCCGGGGCAGGCGCCCCACAAGCGGCTCAGATGGCTCTGGGGGTGGATGTGGTGGGACCCTGCTCAGGGATGTGGTGGGAGCTCTGAGCCTACCGCCGCCAGGCTTTGTTCTCGGAGCAGCGAGGCTGCAGCCCCTCCCCAGGCTCCACCTCCGCAGCCCACCCGAGACCCTCCTTCCGCTGCCTGTGCACAAGCTCCGCACATGGTGCGCAGAGCTGGTGGGCAAGAGATGCCCTTGGCAAGGCGCAGAGGCACCTTGGGTGGTAGAGGCAGCATCGGGACGGCCCAGAGGCAACAGGGAACCGACCAGAGCCAAGCCCCCCATGAGCACAGACCTCGCAGTGGCACAGGGGGATGCTGGGCTCTCCCCAGGGGAGATGCAGGCTGGCTGTAGCACCCTGGCCCTGCTCCACAGCTGGGCACCCCGGGGCTGATCTGGCAGAACCTGTTCCCAGACCGTGCTCCCCCAGCAGGCTCCGTCCCGCACCACTGCCTGCCCCTGCCCCTTTCCCACCCTCCACTCACGGGTTGCTGTCCTGCCAAGCTAGGGTTGGTTCAGGGGCTGCCCACGTGGGGCCACAGCCACCTCACCTTCCCCTGTGCTTCCTCTGACCTTGGCTGCACAGCTGGGACTCACACACGGGCACTCAGCCCTGCTCCTGCCAGCCCTGCCAGGCAGGCACCAGCTGTTTCTGCCCCTTGTTGCACCCGTGTCCTGCTGCTTCTCAGTGTGACCTTCCTGTTGCTGTCATGTGCCTCAGCCCCAGCCCCAGTCTGTCTTTATCCCTCGACTTTCCTCACCCCACCTTTGATGTGCTTCTGCACTCCTGGAACTGGCAGTGAGAAGACATGGCACTGCAGCCCAGATCTGGGTGATGCCAGGAGGCATTTGGCTTCCCACAGCCAGCTCCTGCCCCCGGCAGAACCTTCCAGTAGATGAGCAAGACAATTTTCCTTACAATTGCTCATCATGGCAAGAGCTGCAATTATTAATGACCGTTCCAGCTGTCAGAGTGGAGAGGGAGGAGAACACCCACTTCCCCACACCCGCTGCCCTCGAGCCAGTTCCAGCTGGAGGTGCTGGTGTGGGCTCACACCCGTCCTTCGGGACGGCAGCTGCATCGCGTGAGCGAACGCTTGGCTGCTCCACGCTGGAGAACGCCCAGAGCTGGTGCACGTGGCCCATGCGTGCCCCATGACTCCTCAACCCCTCTACAGTACTCAGGCATAAGGACCAGAGGAGACTGCCAGGTACAGAGGGACCTCACTAAGGTCCGACCCCTTCCTCATCTCCCCTTGCTGCATTTTGCCCCCCAGATTAATTACTGCCTCCATTAGCGGTCCTGCCTGCTACAACAGGGATGACCCAGTTGACACAAGGGGTCAAGCCTGGGCTCACACAGGCAGAGGAGGAGAAATGTGAGGCGAAGAGTTTTCCCTGGAAAGCTGGAAGGAGCTGAGTCAGGCCCCAGAGGGAGCGGGATGAGGGCAGAGCATGACCTTCCCAGCCGGCCGCACCTCACTCGGCAAAACCACTGGCCTGGAGACAGCCGGCACTTGCAGAGACGTGTTTATTAAAGGCACTAAAAGCACCGTGGCTGCATCAGCCCGACCAGAGGGTGTGGTTTGGGGGGAGGCATCGGTGGCCCCAGGATGGCAGTGGCAGAGAGCTCTTTGGTAGGAAGCTGTGCCCAAGCCTCGCAGGAGCAGCCGCCTGGCTGGGCTGGCATCAGCACACGCTGCCAGCCCTCAGCTGGGCCACGCTGGGCTGGGGGTGATGCCAGCCCCAGGGGAGAAGTGGGCCAGCAGGGTGGGGGGCAGGAGGGACAGACACCCCTGGAATGCAAGCGGGGCAGGAAGGCACCGCAGCAGTTTGGGGGGGGGCTGGTGGGTTGTCACGGGCAGGGCCCCAGGGCTGGGTCTCCAGCCCCAAGCACACAGCAGGGAAGGCTGGGGAGAGTGAGACAGAAGCTGGTCCTCACCCGTTCAGGGAGGGATGTGTAAGGAGTATCCCTGCCCCAGCACTGAGCTGCCAGGCAGCAAGGGAGCAGCCCAGCTGTGGCAGACCCTCTCCAATTCCAGCCTCAGCATGGCTGTACCCACCATGCTGCATGCCTCAGGGGCAGGAGATCCATGCAGCATCCCATTCCCAGGGCTCCTAGGGCCAGTTGAGAAGCATGTAAGAAGCCACCCAGCTATAAAAGGTTCTGGACCCAGCACTGTATCTGGCTGGAGTTGAGCCAGGAGCTGCCAGGAAAGAGGCAGGAGCAAGGGAAAGGGCCAAGGGCCCAGCCTGGCTCCCTGGGGCCAGCAGGGCAGGGGGAGAGGAGCATGCAGGGCCAGGGGCATGTGTGGGCACAGCTGAATTCCCACCCCTCACACATGGGAGAAAGCGTGGCTCTTGCACAGCGGCTTGTCCTTCTTGGAGTAGAATGTCTTCCCTTCCAGGTTGGTCTGGCAGATCTGGGGAGGAGAGTGGAGGTGGTCAGGTTGAGTCAGCCTCTGGGTCCCCCACAGCCCAGCACTGGTGTCACAGAGGGACCTCCACATGGCCCTGGGGCACTGCCAGGGACTGGAAGGCTCAGAGAGGAGTCCCAAGCTCCCAGAATGGAGGCAAATGGGAAAAAATCTTGTGGCAGCAGGTCCCCTGAGCTGCTGGTACACCCCACCCAGAGCAGGACTGTGGGGGAGAGGCACAGGCCCTGCAACAATCAGGGAGGGAGGCACACTGCTCACCGCACAGACAAAGCAAGTGTCGTGCCAGCTGAATCCCAGCGCCTCCAGGAACCGGTCCCCAGCATCGATCTTGAAGTCACAGCCACGGCACTTGGTGCCAAACATCTTCTCATAGTCTGTGGGGAAAGGCAGAGGCCAGGTCAGCACTTCCATGCACTACAGCTGCTCATCCCAGGGGAGCAGGGCTGCAGCTCAGCAGGGATCCCACAGGCACAGCCTGGGGACAACTCTGCCAGCCCCCATCCAGGTGAGATAATGACCCGGATACCCGGGAAAGGTGCAGGGTGGCTCAGCCACCACAGGGCTCCAGGGGGAGGAGGAGAACCTCATCTCCCAGGATGCAGCACTCGCTTTGATGTACATCCTCCCTCATTGCCATGGCAACATAGGAGCATGGCACTACCCTGCAGCTAGGGAGAACCAGGATGGAGGGCTCAGGGCTGTGGGATTGGAGTCTCCGTGCTCCCCACAGCCCAGGGGAGTCCTGTGGAGCAGGGCAGCTCATGCCCCCAGCCCCGTGTGCAGCTGCTGAGTCCCAACGGCACCCCAAGGCCACACAAGGTGACACATGGGGTCCCTGGGTCCTACCTCTCTCGCAGTAGGGCTGTCCCTCCTCCATGTAGAAGGCTCGGTTGCGGATGGGAGTTTTGCAGGCATTGCAGGTGAAGCACTGCACGTGCCAGGTCATCTTCAGTGCATGCATCACCTCCTGGAGGGGAGACACTGTCAGCCAGGGGCAGGACCACCAAGGGCAGGAAGGGACAAGGAATCTCCTGAGATGGACCAAGGCGGGAAGGGACAGAGCCAGGCACTCACAGCAGAGGACAAGGACAGGAGATGGAGGACAGCAGGCTGAGGGACACTCACCCCAGTGATCTTCTTCTTGCACTTGGCGCAGCTGGGTGCGTAGCGCGTGTCGTAGCACTTGGGGCAGAAGATGGAGCCTTTCTCCTCAAAGAAGCCGCCCTCATCCAGCACCTTCCTGCACTGGCAGCAGAGGAACTCCTCGGGGTGGTAATAATGTCCCAGCGCCACGAGGTACCGTCCCCTGGGGCAGGACAGAGCTGTGTCAGCCACGCCGGGGCCCAGGACGCTGGCGTGGCCGCGGGGGCGGCCAGGGCTCACCTGATGACCTTGTTGCACTTGTAGCAGAGCGGGGTGCGGCCGGGCCCCTCGGGGGCTTGCTGGGCCGCCTGCACGATGGAGCTGCGGTTCTGCATGGGGGTCGGCGTGGCCGGCTGGCTGTGCTTGCTCACCACCGTGCTCGTCTTGTCCGGGGCGTAGCGCTCGGCAAACGAGGGGTCCACAGCCCAGGGTGGGCGGCTGGTGGGGCTGGGGGTGGCACTGGGGGTCCTGGGGGCTGCACACACACACACAGGTCTTAAGGAGAGTGTTTCTGATCCCTCAGCAGCCCCTCCCCAAAAAGCCCAGAGATGTTTTGCTCACCCAGTCCTGGCTCAGTCTTCATCGTTGCTCCTGGGGATGGGTCCGGCACAGAGACCTGGCTACAGAACAAGCAGTTAATCCAGCCTGCCCTGCCCAGGGGCTGCAGGCAGGGCTCCCCACCCCAACAAGCAGGAGGGAGCTGGCCAAGCCCCCATGTCCAGCAGTAACTGGTTTAGTGATGAGGTACTGAGACATGGGCCTTCAGTCCTGCCAACACACAGCACCCCCAGCATGTCTGGTACCCACTGTGGTGGTCTGGGGAGAGGCAGGAGGGAAGGTTCTGGGCTTCTCCAGGGACCCCAGGGACCACACAGACTTTGGCTGCCTACTAATATGTGATGATCACTCCCAGTCTCATTGGGGTGCAGGGGGACCTGGATGTGACCTGATGCAGGGAGCCACAGGGTCCAGCTCAGCAGCACTGGGAACAGGCAGGACAAGCAGGAGATGGCAACAAACCCAACTTTTGTTTGTGTCAGAGCAAACTGAGCAGAGCTGGTACCCAAGGGCCATGGCACCAGGGAAGGAGGTGTCACAGAGAAGTAAAGGCAAAAAAATGGGGTGCTGTCCACCCCCCTGCCTGATTGCACAGAACAAGGAACAACCCTGACAAGCTGGTGGCATCCACGAGCTCAGCTGCCCCACAGCCCCACACCAGGCTTATAGGACACTGTGTCCCAGGCCCAGATGCTGCCCAAACATCACAACAACCCAGTGAGATTTGGCCAGTGCCATCAGCCATTCCCAACCCACCATTTCTGGGACACCACGGCGCAGCTCAGCATTCCCAGCTGAGGGGCAGCAATGCCCAAGGGGTTCTGCCCAGGACGTGCAGCCCCCCAGCTCCTGCTGCCACACACTCCCCTTACCTGGGCTTCCTAACAAACACATCATCATGATCCTCCACTGAGCGCAGCAGGAGAGAAAGGAGGAAACAGTCAGTCCTCACAGACCGAGGCCCAGGCACAAGAGGGGAAAGGGAAAAGAGGAAAACCAACCTCTCCTCCCACCAACCCCTGCCCCAAAACAAAGCCCTGCCCGGCCAGAGGGCAGATCAAGACCCCAGACCGGTGTCACCACCACGAGACCACGCACAGCCCCACCAGCTCCCACTGACACAGCCACCCCACAGGGATCACATGGGGCCAAAACCGACACTCCAGCTCCACTCCAGATTCTGCTGGACCCTGGCCCAGCCCAGGGAGAGTGCAGCACCCCCAGGCAGTGCCAGGCCCTGTGGGAACTCACTCTCATCTGTGCCCGTCAGCTGGGCCAGCTTGCGGAAGGTGCGGGACTGCGAGGTCCCGGTGCGGGGCTGCCAGTCCTCAGCATCCTCCATCAGTCGCAGCTTCCCGGGGTTGCACCCGGGGGTGCTGGGGGGCTCCAGAGGCTCCCTGTGAGTGACAGAGGGCAGGAGCTCAGCCAGCACAAAGCACAGACCCTGCTCTGGAGCAGGGAAGCACTCCAAAAGGTGCCCTGGCATATGGTAACACCTGCCAGACCCTGGCACTCACCGCTGCTCCACCGTGCCCCAGCTGGACCCGTGGGCATCCCTGTGGCATCAGAAAACATGGTGGCACAGCAGTCAGTGCCTGATCCATGGCTCAGCCCGTGCTTTCCATAGGCACCCACAATCTCAGAGATACAAGAACCTCATGGAAATGCCGACAGCATTCACTCCTGACCAGCCTTGCAGCCATTCCCTGACCCCACATGATATCGTGCCCCAGGTACAGTGCCTGCCCTGTGACTCCAAAAATGCCCAGCAAAGTGTGTCACCAGCCATCCCTACTCATTGTGCTGCATATTAACCTCCCCAGCTTGGTGCCAGCAGTGCCCAGTGCGTCTTGCCCGCACACCCATCTGGGGACAAACTGTCTGGCCAGTGGGTGTCCAGGCAGGAACCTCCCAAGGTGAAGGTCAAAGCAGTGGCTGAGCACTGGCAGTGCCTATTGTGGGATGAGCACAGGGTGGGCTCTGCAGCTCCACCACCACCTCAGCTCTGGGGGAGGACAAAGAGGGAGGGAAGAATTCACAACAGGGCAAAGAGTTTGCCCAGAGAAGTAGTGATGCTGAGGGGAAGGAAATGAGCCAGGAGCACTCACCCAGCTCTGCCACACCAGGCACACAGGACAATGTGCCCCAGGTGCAGGCGTTACCCAGCACCTCCCAACATTCCATAGCCAGGTTTTCCCAGCGCCATCAGCCTCTTCCACTTCTTGCCCAAAAGGCTAAGGTGCAGCTCAGCATCCCCAGCTCAGAGCCAGCAGTGCCCAGACACCTGGGACATGCAGCCTCAGCACATGCTCCCCTTACCTGGGCTTTTTAACAATCTCATCCTCACCATCCTCCACTGAGTGCAGCAGGAGAGAAATAGGGAGACGGCGTCAGTCTGCAGTGACTGATGCCCAGGAAAAGCAGGAAAGGAAAGGAAGAAAACCAACCTCCCCACGACCATCCCCTCACCCCATCACACAGCCCTGCTTGGCCATGGGGCAGAGCTGCCCCAGAGCAGCACCACCACGAGCTCACACACAGCCCCGGGCAGCTCCCGCTCAAGGAGTGACTTGGGGCCAAAGTGAAACTCCTGATGCCACATCACCCCACTGTCTCCCCCAGCTTCTGGCTATGCCAAAACAGTCCCACATCCCCAGGCAGTGCCAGGCCCTGTGGGAACTCACTCTCATCTGTGCCCGTCAGCTGGGCCAGTCTGCGGAAGGAGCGGGACTGCGAGGTCCCGGTGCGGGGCTGCCAGCCCTCAGCGTCCTCCATCAGTCGCAGCTTCCCAGGGTCATACCCGGGGGTGCTGGGGGGCTCCAGAGGCTCCCTGTGAGTGACAGAGGGCAGGAGCTCAGCCAGCACAAAGCACAGACCCTGCCCAACACTGCAGCACAGGGCAGTGCTGCCAAAGGTGACCTGGCACACGGCAATACCTCTGCCAGACCCTGGCACTCACCGCTGCTCCACTATGCCCCAGCTGGACCCGTGGGAATCCCTGTGACATTGGAAAAAACAGCAGCACAACAGTCACTGTTTGACCATGCCTGCCATGTGCACCCACAGCCCCACGGAAGCACGAGCCACATGGAAATACTGACCAGCAGCCTTGCAGCTGCTCCACAGCTGCACAGGATGCAAAGCACCAAGACCAGTTGCTGCCCAGTACCTCCCAATATCTCCAAGCAAGGTGTTGTGATTGTCACCAGCCACCCCTACCCAGGTGGGTACTTGGGGCAGGATCCTCCTGAGGTGACGGTCAGAGCAGTGGCTGAGTGCTGGCAGTGCCCACTGTGCAGCTCTGAAAACACCTCAAGTCTGGGAGAGGGGATAGAGAGGGAGGGGAGAACCCCCAGCAGTGCAAAGAGCACCCCCAGAGTGACTGCAAGCAGCAAGGGTGAAGTGGCTGTGGGGGCTGGCATGGGCACCTTGTGGCTCCCATTGCTGCCCCTTACCTGGGCTTTTTAACAGGCTCATCCTCACCATCATCCACTGAGGACACCAGGAGAGAAAGGGGAGATGGAGTGAGTCTGTGGCAACTGGGGCCCAGAGACAGCAGGAAGGAAAGGGAAGGAAAGGAAGGAAAGATGCCCTCTCCTCCCACAGTCCCCCTGCCCCAACACACAGCCCTGCCTGGCCACAGGGCAGAGCACAGCTCCAGCCCAGCCACACCACCAGGAGCCCACACAGCCCTGGGCAGCTCCTGCTGGTTCAGCTGCCACAGAGGGCACAAATGGGGCCAAAACCAATGCCCTGCTGTAACAACACACCACGGCCTTTACCAGCTGCCCCAGCAAAGCTGGGCACACCTGGGCACTCAGCCAGTGCCAGGCCCTGCGGGAACTCACTGCTGCTTGCGCCCATCATCCGGGCCAGCTTGCGGAAGGAACGGGACTGGGAGGTCCAGGTGTGGGGCTTTGTGTCGACAATGTCCTCTAACATCCTCAGCTTCACTGGGTCACACACAGTGTCACTGGGGGGCTCCAGAGGCTGTGGGGGCTGCCTGTGAGTGACAGAGGGCAGGAGCTCAGCACCAGGATTGGACCCTGCTCCGGAACAGGGAAGCATCACCAAAGATGCCCTGGCACATGCCAACACCTCTGCCAGACCCTGGCACTCACCGATGTTGCCCTGTGCCCCAGTTGGACCCACGGGCATCCCTGTGGTATCAGAAAGAATGGTGGCACAGCAGTCAGTGTTTGACCAGCCCACCCCTCCCCATACACATTCACAGCCCCAGAGACGCACGAGCCTTGTGGAAATGCTGACAGCATTCACTCCTGACCAGCCTTGCAGCCATTCCCGGGCCCCATATGACACTGTGCCCCAATTCTGGTCTAGTTCCCTACCCTGCCACCCCTGACACACCCAGCAAGGTGCTGCCAAGTGCCACCAGCCACCCCTGCCCACTGTGTCCAGCAACTGTGCTGCATCTTGGCCTCCAGCTTGGTGCCAGCAGTGCCAAGCAGGTCCTGCCTGCACACCCAGCATGAGGACACCTCATGTGGGGACAGCCTGCCTGGTAGGACCCTCCTCAGGTGACCGTCAGAGCAGTGGCTGAGCAGTGGCAGTGCCTGTTGTGGGGTGAGCCTGTGGCTCTGCCAACAGCTTGGCTCTAAGAAAAAGGAAAGGATGGGATAGAGGGTGGAGGTTAAGAAGAGGAAAGAAGAAACAGCAAAAGGGCAAAGAGCTTCCCCTGAGTGACTGCAAGCAGTGAGAGAGAACAAGCCTTGTGGGCTGAGCCCAGGGTGGGCACACTGTGGCTCCTGCTGTTGCCCTGGCACACGATCCCCTTACCTGGGCTTTTTAATAAATTCATCCTCACCATCCTCCACTGAGTGCAGCAGGAGAGAAAGGGGGAGATGGAGTCAGTCTGCAGCAACTAAGGTCCAGGAAAAGCAGGAAGGGAAAGGAGGAAACCAACCTCTCCACTTGCCTGGCCCCATTGTACAGCCCTGTCTGGCCACAGGGCAGAGCACAACCCCAAAGCAGCCCACACACAGCCCCGGGCAGATCTCGCTGGCTCAGCAGCCCTCAGGGAGTTAATCTGGGCCAAAACCAACACTCCCGGGTGCTACATCACCCTTCTGCTCCTCCCAGCTTCTGGTTACCCCAGAACAGTCCCACATCCCCAGGCAGTGCCAGGCCCTGTGGGAACTCACTGCCATCTGTGCCCGTCAGCTGGGCCAGCTTGCGGAAGGAGCGGGACTGCGAGGTCCCGGTGCGGGGCTGCCAGTCCTCAGCATCCTCTAACATCCTCAGCTTCCCAGGATCACACCCAGGGGTGCTGGGGGGCTCCAGAGGCTGCGGGGGCTCCCTGTGACAGAAGGCAGGAACTCAGCCAGCACCAAGCACAGACCCTGCTCCAGCACAGGGCAGTGCTGCCAAATGTGCCCTCACCAGATCGTGGCACTCACCACTGCTCCACCGTGCCCCAGCTGGACCCGTGGGCATCCCTGTGATATTGAAAAGAACGGTAGCACAGCACTCAGTATTTGACCACGGCACAGCCCATCCCTCACAGATGCACTCTGGAACTAGGAGAAGTCAGAGACACTCACCCAGCTCTGCCCTGCCATCCTGCAGCCCCACACCAGGCTCACAGCACGCTGTCCAGCTGCTGCCTAGCACCTCCCAATACCCCCAGCAAGGTGTTCTCAGTGCACCAGCCTTCTCCAGATCCCTCTTCCTCAAGAAGCAATGGCAGAGCTTGGCCTCCCCAGCTTGGTGCCAGCAGTGCCCAGCAGGTCCTACCCAGCACAGGACATCTTGTCTGGCTGGTGGGTGTCCCAGCAGGACCCTCCCGAGGTGATGGCCAGAGCAGTGGCTGAGCTCTGGCAGTGCCCACTGTGGCGTGAGCGCAGGGCGAGCTCTGCAGCTCCACCAACAGCTCGACTCTTGGAGAGGGAGAGAAAAAACAGCAACAGAGCAAAGAGCTTCCCCTGAGTGACTGCAAGCAGCAAGAGAGAACCAGGTGTGTGGGCTGAGCCTGGAGTGGGCACCTTGTGGCTCCTGCTGCTGCTCCAGCACATACTCCCCTTACCTGGGCTTTTTAACAAGCTCGTCCTCACCATCCTCCACTGAGCAAAGCAGGAGAGAAAGGGGGAGATGGAGTCAGTCTGTGGCAGCTGAGGCCCAGAGACAGCAGGAAGGGAAAAGGAACAGGAAAGGGAAAAGGCCCTCTCCTCCCACTGCCCACCTGTCCCAACACACGGCCCAGGGGCAGAGCACGGCCCCAGCCCAGCGGCACCACCACGAGCCCCACAGCCCCAGGCAGCTCTGCCTGGCTTAACTGCCCCACAGGGCCAAAACCAACACTCCACCAGGCACCAAAGCCTTTATCCAGCTCCAGTTTCCCCAGCAAAGCTGGGCAGTCAGGCAGTGCCAGGCCCCGTGGGAACTCACTGGCGTCTGCGCCCACCAGGCGGGACAGTTTGCGGAAGGAACGGGACTGGGAGGTCCAGCTGGGGGGCTTTGAGTCGTCAATGTCCTCTAACATCCGCAGCTTCACTGGGTCACACACAGGGGTGCTGGGGGGCTCCAGCAGCTGTGGGGGCTGCCTGTGAGTGACAGAGTCATCTGTCAAATCTGACAGACCTGCTGGGGCTGTCCCCCACCTTCCCCAGCACGGAATCACAGCACACCAGAACCAGAGATGTCACACCTTGTTTTATAATCCACCCCCCAACTCCTCCCTCACAAAGGCTGGGCCTGTGAAGGACTGACTCTGGAATGACCACCACACCATTCCTGGCAATTTGAAACTGGCCCCAAGGGCCAGAAAGAGAAAGGACAGAGCAAGAATAAGCCAAGGTCAAAAAACACCATCAGGGAAGCTGCACCACAGCTGTCTATGGCAGTGCCACCTGGCCACGGGCACGGTGCCCAGCACAGCCCATCAGCCCTTGCCCAGCACAGCCACATCTTGGGGAACAGGGAATGGATCACACACAAGGACACTCCAGGGCCCCAGCAGCTGGCAGAGACAGGCAGCTGTCCCCTCTACACTGGGGACAGCTTGGTGCCAGGAGTGACCCACCCACGTGGGCAGAGCAGTGCCTGCTGCCCATCCCCAGGATGGCCCTGCCCTGAAGGACAGGGCACTGGCAGGGAAGAGGCATGCAGGGAGGACAGAGAGAGCAGGTAAAAGGCTTACTGACTTGTCAAGGCTCAGCACCTGTAGGGAGAGGGAAAGAGAAAGGGAGGAGAGAAAGAAAGAAAAAGGAAGGTGAAATTAGACCTACAGCACCCAAGAAGTTTCCAGAGCTCACCTACAGCCTGCATTAGCCCCCTATCCCTGAGTCTCACACCCAGCTCACCCAGGGCTGAGAGCACACTGGGACACAGGGGCAGATGCCAGTGGACCAGACTGTGCTCCCACAGCCCCCACAACAGGCCTGGATGCCCAGGGCAGTCCATGCTACATCCTACCCCACTGCCCAGTTCCTGGGCAGTACGGCAGCTCTGGCAGGAGGAGCAGGGACCAGCAGCTGCTGCACACATGCGGCAGAGCCGGGGAAACAGAGTGGCAGGGCTGGAGGCCATCACTCTGCCCAGCCCCTTCCTGCAGCCAGGGGAACAGCAGGACTTCCCCAGGCAGGCACCGGCCGGTGGTCACAGCCAGCCACCGTTTCCCTGCCACTGCAGATGCCAGCCAGTGTCCTGCCACAGCCACCGTGTCAAGCCTGGCAGGAGCCCCCACAGGCTGACACGTCCCTGAGCAAGGGACCGGCACGAGCGTGGCTGTGTGTCCCTATGTGAGACAGACAGTTCTGTTGTGCCACCTCAGCACCAGCCACCGGCACGGGCACTGCCACCCGCTCCCACCCAGGGTGCCTGGCATGCAAGGCGCAGCAGGGCCGGGCAGCAGGCTGCCCCCGATCCTCAGGGAGCAGGATGGACAGCAACATACCCGTTGTGCTGGGGGGTGCAGGCGGGCGCCAGGGGCGCGTAGGTCACGGGTTTCGTCACCAGCCCGGGCCGTGGGTTCGGAGGTGAGCCGGCCCCGAAGGGCCGAGCTGTTTTGTTGAGGGCGGTGCTGGGAGCGAAGTTATATTTCAGGGGTTCAGAGCAGGGGAGTGAGTCCTGAGCGAGACAAAACACACAGACACGGGCTCACACGTCAAGCAGCATGCAAGGGGCAGCCCCGGGCCAGGCAGCGCAGCAGGCAGCCAGGGAGGAAAGCCGGACAGCACGTGCACCTTGGAGACCAGGCTCTGCCAGGCTGGCACTCACTCCACTGGGCCCAGCGACAGCAGGTCACAAACCCAGCCTGAGGGTCACTTGGAGATTAGTAGGTGCCCCGGACACTCGCTGCTGCCCGTGGCAGGGCGGTGCATGCACACACGCCGACTGCAAACATCCCATGGCACAAAGCTGAACACATGCAGGTGGCTTCTGCCCAGGAGCCACCAGTCACCAGCCCCAGCCCTGCCTCCCTGTGCCAGGACACTCCCCAGCACTAGCAAACATGGTGTTGCACCTGCCCAGCCTCCTCCCCTGTGCTGGCCCCTCGGCATCCCTGCCCACACCCAGCACCAGCAGGGGCACAGACAATCTGGGCCCAAGCACCTACGGTGCACATCCTGCTCCCTCTGATCCTCCACGGTGCCAGAGGTCAGAGCTGCTCCTCCAGCTGGGCTTTCTAGACCTTGAAACACACCCCAGCTCCCTGAAAGCCCCAAAAGCAAAGTCCATTTGTTTCACTACACTGAGATTCCCTTCCCCTGTGATGAGGCTGAGCTGCCACTGCGGCACCAGGAGCCACACGTACCTTCTGCGGCTTCCCCAGCTGGTTCTGGGCTCTGCAAGAGAGGAGACAGATGGGCAGGTACTGGAGTTGGTCCAGACACCACCAGCATGCTGGTACCCCATGGATGCAGCACCCAGCCGAGGGGAAACATGGCCAGCTGGCACTGCCCTGTGGCTTGCAGTCAGGTTAAGCCTTATCCAGGCAAGCCCTTGGACACAGCCAGGGACTTCCAGGCTCTAAGTAAGGAGCAGAGATGCTGGGAGATGGTGATACCAGGAGGTGGCACTGGGCAGAGAGCCCTGATTACACTCCAGTCATACCAGAGCCCCATGTTTGAGGGACCCACAATTCCTACCTGCTCAAGGTGAGGCAGAGCCTGTCCCCACAGGCACGGATCCTGTTCTGGGCCTCGATGTGTGTCATGGCACTGGTGCTCTCCCCGTCGATGTACAGCACCCAGTCGCCCACTCCCACGCCGGCCTGGGCTGCCTTCCCACCCAGAGTCAGCTGCAGGACAGACAGAGTTAGGGACAGCTGGAACAGCCAAGCAGTGACGTGGGAGCAGAGGAACATCCTCGTGAGGGCAGGGGCCTTCCAAGACCCAGGATCCCCAGCCCAGCACAGGACCCCACACTGACATGACCCAGGGGAAAGCGGGGATCCCCAGATTACTCCCTATTTCCCAGTGAATGAGCCCAGAGCAGCCTCTTCCCCTTGGCAGCAGCAGAAGGCAAAGCACTTCTCCAGGGCACTGCCCAGCCCTTTCCCTTTGGCATGCTTGGGGACCCTGCCAGCACCCCAGGGCCTCATTGCTGTGACACCAAACACAGAGGCAGTGCTGCCTCAGCCTCAAAGCCCAGCCTCACCCTGGAGTCATCCCTGTAGTCCCGGGGCAGGAAGAGAGCACAGTGAGTCAGGGCAGCCCACATCTCACTGCAAACCACAGGCATGTCCAGCCCTTCGCCTGGGGCGGGGAAGGACAGGGGAGGCACCCCTTGGGCACTCCCCCCAGCCGCCTGCGCTCCCGGCCCGTTCCCACCAGGCACAGACATTACCTCATTCCCACAGAGGAGCAGGAGCCCTGCCGGGGCAGGGAGACACCCGCCCCCAGCCGTGTGGCCCCGCTGGGACAGCCGGGAGCACAGCCACAAGTCTCCGTTCCCGGCCACGGTGCCAGGGATGCGCCTTGGCCCCGCTATGGCTCCATGGCACGGCTGAACGTCAAACCCGTGCTGGGAAGAGGAGGCTGCCCTGCCCTCCCCTCCCACCAGGGATGCACAGCCAGAGGCGAGCAGGGCCCGGAGCACTGCACACAACTCCCAGGCACTGACAGACAGACAGACAGACGTGGGCAGGCTGCAGCCATTCCTGCTCCTCCAGCATGGAAGAACTCGAGGCGCTTGGACCCAGACCAAGTATTTCCTCAAGTCCTGTTAGACATGAACATAAAAGGAGCGAGCCAGATTCCCAGCACTGTCAGAGGGCTGAAAAATCCCTGCCACAGAGTCCTGGCCCCTCCTTGCAGAACCCGGCTCGCCCCAGAGCCACACATCCCTTCTCTAGGCCAACACCAGCCCTCCATGCAAGGGCTCCAAACACCACACATGGACTGGATGTGGCCCAGTTCCACCTGCATCCCACTGCTATTCCCAGCAGGACATGGGTATCCCCACATTGCCCTCCCATTCCTCCAGCCTGGCACAGGAGGGTGCCCTGAGCAGCAGTGATGCCCCCAGCCCCTGGCCACGCTGCTGCAAGCCCCAGCTTGCTGCCCTGGAGGGCTGGGGAAGGCACGGGGCAGCTGCGTGGGTTTGGAGGCAGCAGCAGGAGTTGGGAGAGGTTTTCACACGACTGCCCAGGAAGGGGAGAGCACGTCAGGCTGCGTCATGAAGCCTCACCCAGCCTGGTCAGCACTTCCCGTCCCCCTCCATGCCAACGTGCAGGAAACCCTCCTGACAGCTGCCCTCCTACTTCCCACCCAGACCAGCTAACCAGGGCTTCCTTCCTCACCTCTCCACCCCGTCTTTTGTTCTCTGCACCTCCATCACCACATCCAGAGAGGTGCTCACCTACTGCCCCGTCCAGAGGCCTCCAGGTCAGAGCCTCTCTCAGTGCATCCCTCAGTGCCTTCCCACCAGTAGCACCCAATGTCTCTCCTCTTTCCCAGCTGGCAGATGCCAGGATGTGCCATGCAGCATCCAGCTATCCAGACTGCAGTCCTTATCCCAGCTCCAGCACAGGGACCATGGTTTACAGCCTGCCTAGCCAGGGGGCCAGCACCCTAGCAGAGCCCCGTACCACAGGAGGTACATGCCAGAGGGCCATGAGCTGAAACAGCCTCACTGCTCACCCAGGAGTGCCACAGGGATGGACACAGCTGAAAGTCAAGCCAATGGACACACCAGCCTTGCCCTGTGCTGCCCACCCCTGCAGACCTGCAGATCAGGGCCCCACTGCAGCCACAAAACTGGGGCAGGATGCTTCCCTCCAGCCTGCTGCGACAGGTCGAGCTCACGGGAAGCAGTGGCCAGGGACAGCAGCATGCTCTGGGCAATCTGGGTCTGGAGATGCCTCTGGAGTGCAGAGCAGCACAGGCTCACACCTTCCCATCAGAGCACACCGCCCTGCCATGCAGCCCAGCCTCACCAGAGAGCCCCCAAAGCTGGCTGCATCCCCTGGGAATGTCCCTCCTGCTCCTGCCCTGTCTAGGACACGGCAGCACTGCCCAAGCCTCACCAAGCACTGCTTCACGAGGCCCCTGCCCCAGGCTCTGGGAGGCTCCTCCATCCAACCAGACCCTTTGTTAAGAACTGGCTCGCAGCCAAGAGAAACATTTTTTAGAGAATAAACTCGCTGAATCTGTCTCTGCGTGCTCAGCAGAGATCAGCAGGCCCCAGGGCAGCGACACAGGCGACTCCAGCCTCACGCAGTGCCCTCAGGGCCCGTGCTCCACGCTGGGATGCTGTGGAGATCTGTGCCCTCTGGGGCAGGTGTGCAGTGCCCGGCTCGTGCCAGGGGCAGGTCCCCACGCAGCACTCGATGCCACAAGCAAAGCTGTCCTTGGAGAAGCAGCCTGCGTGCCAGCTGCCCCAGCGCCAGCGGCACAGGCGATGCAGTCACATTCCAAGGCTTATAAGGCAATTGCGTGGCCAAAGCTGTGGCCAGCACCCGCCCAGGGACGGGGACCTGCACACAGCCAGGGTCAAACCCGGGAATATTGCAGCGGGAGAGGCTCAAACCAGCGGCCATGGGCACAACCAGCTGTGGCACAATGGCTCTCACTGGAGAAATCGGAGAGTTTTGTGGAGGGAGTCACATCCCTGTGCAGGCAGCAGTGCAGCTTCCTCCTCTCCATGCCCATTTCAGGAGTGACCCCAGGCACAGAGCTGGGAGCCATGCTGTGGAAAGGAGGGCAGAAGGGCACTGGCTCAGTGCTGGGATGCCAAGCCCACTGCTGGGGTGCAGACCAGGAAGCCAGTCCCACATCTCAGAGAGCAGATCCCCTCCTGCTGTGGTGAGAACGCTCCAGAAGGGGCCTCCCCTGCCCCCCTCTGCTGAGGCTGTGCAGAATTTCACGTTCCTGCCTGCAGCTCTCTGCCCGGAACACCCCCGTGCTGGGCTGCAGCTGATAAGGGACCAAGGAGGCTACGTGGAGCCAGGCAGGGCAGGATGCAGCATTCCGGGGGCCCCAGCTCATCCACATCCCCCGTATGGCTCTGCCTCAGCCACTGCGGCCTCCCTCCCACAGAGGCAGGAGGAAGGATGGGTGTCACCAGCCTTGGTTTCTCTTACCCTGGAGATGGAGAGAGGCATGCTGAAATCCTTCCCTCCCTGCAGCCTGAAGCCCCAGGGTGCCGGCCCATTCAGCATCACCTTGTAGGACTCCATGTCGCCCATCTCTGCAAGGGAAAAGGGTGTGATCCCAGTGTTAGGGTATGTGGAAACAATGCAGGGAGAGCAGGCGAGGAGAGGGCTCGGCGCCTGGCTGGGTAGGACAGGAGGCAGGTCACGTTTCCAGCTGTAACTCCACCCTGACCATCCTACACTGTGGTTAGAGACGCACCCCAAATCCATCAGCATCTCCTCCAGCAACGTCAGCACTGAGGGGCCCAGGCTAACACTGACTAGTGCCAGGGAGCCAGGCACAGCCCTGCTGCCACCCACAGTGGAGTGTCTGTGGGCTCTACTCTCTTCCCAAACCTAGGATGTACTCTCCTTTCCAGCACCCCAGGAACTTCTGTGAGCTGCTGGGAGCCAAGGCTGCTCAAACCACAGAGAAGCAACAGCAGGTACAGAGCGACAGGAACCAGAAGCATTTTTGCCGGATGAATTAGCAGCAGCACAGGAGCTGCGTGATGCCACCCGAGGCGCCTGGCAGAGCAGCCGGGCTGGCGCTCCGGCAGCCGGCCGAGCAGATGCTCCCTGGGAGCGAGCCCGTCTCCGGGGCTTCGGCAGGAGGGAATCCCGGCACTCCCCTGCCTGACAGCTGTCAGCCGGCCAAGGCTCCGGACAGACGGGCCAGCACCAGCCTCTCGTCACCTTTTACCTGGAAGAAGCCGCCAGAACCCCTACGAACGGCCCCAGGACCTTCCTCCCCAGGGCGGACAGGGCCGGCCGCGGGGCTCCCCACGCCTCGCACGGGCCGGCTGCAGGGCCGGGGGCCAGCGTGCCCCCGCTCTCCCCGGGCCGGGCCGGTCTATATAAGGCGTGTAAGACGACACCAGCCCGCTCCCCGCTCGGGAGGGCCGGGGGAAGAGCTGCGTGTCAGGCATTCCCGGCGTCCGGGAGCCGCGCAAGCCCCGGCGAGGCGCCGGGACGGGGCGGCCCGGAGCGGGCGGATACCCCCACCCCTCCCCGGCGGGACGGGGCCCGGCTGCACCGGGGGTCCCCAGCGTGCACAGGCTGGGCAGCTGTGATTATTGCTGGGAAGCCCCAGTCCGCGGAGGGCCTCGGGACCCCTCCCCATCCCACACCGCTGCCCCCCTCCAGGGGTCGGGGACGCCGGCTCTGCCCTGCATGGGCCCGACCCTGACCACCCACCTTCCCCTTAAGCCAGGCCACAGGCCTCAGCCCTCCCACCCCTCACGCCCCCATCCCCCCCGGCAGAGGACGGAGCCCCCCGCCACAGCCCGGCTCCCCGGACTCACCCGCGGCCAGCGGGGCCCGGCCAAGCGGGCGGGAGCGGAGCGGTGCGGGCCGACGCGGGACTCGAACCCGGGCACCGCCCCCGCCCGGCCCGGCCCCACCATATATAGGATCGGGAGGGGGCGGAGCCAACGGGCGTTTTAGCCAATCACCGCTGGCGCCTCTGCCTGCCGGGGCGGGCACGGCGGCGCCCTCTAGCGGCGAGGCTCAAGCTGCCCCGCCCGCCCCGCTCACTCCTCGCAGCAGCGGCGGAGCCGAGTCCGAGTCCGGGAAGGGCCTTTATTGACCGAACGGCACCGACCGGTATCGGCCACATCAAGCCCAGTCCCGCGCTCCGGGGCTCTCCCGGCTCAGCAGCCGCACCAGCTTGGCCCGAAGGGTGCTGTGAGGCTTGTGCCCGGAGCGCCCTGACAGCGCCTCCTGCCCTCCGCGCCCCCAGCCCGCGGCGCGGGGGGTCTGTGCCATGGCGGCCCGGTTGTCATAGACGGGCCCCCCCTCACTGCTGTGGCCTTCAGGGGCCTGTCGGCGCCCCAGCTCCCACTGCCCTTCCTCCTCCTCTTCCTGGGCCCCGGCTGGATGTGGTTCTGCAGTGAAGATGTTCTCGTAGAGATGCTCAGGGAGCGGCTTCCCCACGGCCCAGGGCTCCCCAGGGCCTGGCTGCCCTGACACAAAGAGAGGCTGCTGGCCCCGGGCGATGGAGGCATAGACGATGGGGCATGAGGCCTCTGGCTCTGGTGGGGTGAAGCGGAGGAGGTTGGCAGGGGGGTGGGAGGCAGGCTGTGTGCCCTCCAGGGCTGGGCTGGGCTGGGGATCTTCACTCCCAGGCCCCCAGGGCTGGGGCTCAAGAGACACAGAAGAGTGGGCAAAGAGCTGGGGGTCTGAGACACAGAAGAGTCTGGGGTCCAGGGTGTCCTTGCCCTGCTGCTGGCAGGCAATGGCAGCAGCCACAGCCCGGCAGAGCTCAGGGGCCCGTGGGGTGCTGAAGGTGAAGGTGCCCTCGCCAGAGTCACTGCGGCGGCCAGCCTCGAAGGAGAAGACAGCCTGCAGGGTCAGAGGGGAGGGTGAGGGGCTGCCGCCCACCCTGGGCAGGCAACAGCCCCAAGAAGGAGTGGGGGACTCACCTGATCCTGGCCAAACTTTCGAAGGAAAGGGTAGGGCCAGGTGAGCAGGGGCTGGCGGGACTGGGGATCCTTCAGCGTCAGGCTCTGGGGAAGGGCCGAGAGCAGGTAGTGCCCGTGCAGCCCGCAGCGGGTGGCCGCCTCCGTCTGGACCAGCAGCACCAAGAATTCAGTCACTGTGGGAGCCAAACAAGCCAGGGGTCAACAGTGCAGCACTGAGCTGCAGCCCACCCCAGCCCTCCTCACCACCCCTGCACGTACGGTCCTGCCAGGACGAGTAGAGGGAGTTCTCCTCCATGGGGACAGCAGGGCCGGGCTGGGTCCTGGCACTACTTGGCACTGTCTCTTTTGCACCCTGAAACAAATGAATTTGAGTATGACCTGGGACAGGGCAGGGGGGGAAGAACAAATCCCCTGCCTGCCCTGGAGCTTCCCAGCTTACCCAAGCCGGTACCTGGAAGGCCAGCTGGCAGAGCTGGGTGATCCATTCATCGCGCTGCTCGGCCGCCAGCACATAGCTCTTCTCGGTGGTGGTGAGGTAGAAGGCGGCCGTGGCTTTGGGGCAGCTCTCCGTGCCCGCCGGGCCCACGGAGACGCAGTCAGAGAGGCGGATCACCCGGCGGGCACACCGCTGCAGGGACATCTTCTCTGGGATCGTGCCATCATCCCGCACATCAAACTTCTCCATGCGGGCCACGCCGGACGGGCTGGCAGCAAACAGCTGGGCTCGCATCTTCCTCCAGCACCTCTAATGCATGGAGAGGGCAAACACAGGGAAAAAGCGGGTCAGCAAAGAGCTGGCTGCTGCATCTGGCAGCGCTGCCCTCCATACAGGGCACGAGGGGCACAGGGGAGTCCCGGCCTGCACCCACCAGATGCTGTTGGAGGGCACAGAGAACAGGGGCCAGCACAGAGCCCTGAACTGTGGGGCAGGGCAGGCCCAAAGCTGGGCTGAGGGGGGCCTTGCCCCAAGCGGGCTTGGCATGGCTCACTGGGTGAGTCACACTCACTCCCGGCTCCCTGAGCACCAGGTCCTGCTCTTTGTTCCCTGCTGCAAGTGCTGGCCTGCCGACCTGCAGCTGAGCTCTCAAAGCTGTTCTCAGGACAGACCCTGATGCAAATTAAAGCCATTTTGAGCTGCAAAGGCTCCTGCTGGCAGCCTCACATCTGCTGAGCAGCCTGCTTCCTCCCAGGGGAGCCTCTGCAGCACCAGCACCTTCCCAGTCTGTCATGGGATAGCGGGGGCGCGTGCCACCATGTACCTCAAAAGTGCAGCAGAGCCTCCGCCCTGCAGGAACCAGATGCAGCCAAGCACCCAAAATACCCACCACCCCCAGCCCACCTGCCTCTTCATGGCAGGGCACCAGCTCCTCACACACAGGGCTGCCTGCTGTGCTTCCAGGGCTTGGTTCTCGTTCAGCAGGGAGGTCAGAGTGCGATTGCAGCCCCACACATCCACTGAGACACCCACAGGACACGGCCACCCTGCCACGGTGTGAGCAGTGTGCCAGCAGGACCTACTTTGCCAACACCTGACAGCTCCCTGGAGCTGGCCCGACCCCAGGTACTCTCACCGTGTCACCCATACCCTGTCCCGAGGGCTGTGGCACTCAGTGACCCCTCCAAGGGCACAAAGGAGCAGCCCAAGCCACGAGGGTGTCGCTGGATGGTGCTGACCCCACAGGGCCGGGCCGATGGGGGACACAGGGACATATCCCACATGTCCCATGTCCCCAGGGCCCCACTCACACACACACACACACGCTGGAGCTGCGTGATATTAACGCATGTTTATTCTACCACTGAGACTCACATGGTGACCAAACAAGAAGAACCCAACACATGGGCGAGCCAGAGTGTGGGTGCCCACACAGATGAGTCCCCTCAGGCCCACGGGAAAGCCCCACTTATGGAGCTGCTGAGCCCAGGGCTCCCCCAAGGGCAGCTCCAGTAGGTCTGGCTCCTTCCCAGGTCGCTGAGGGCCCAGTCCCGGGCCCAGCATCATGACAAATCAGGGCAAACCCTCTACCAACCCCAAATCCACCCTTTACCTTTCCAAATTTGGTGTGCTGAACATAAACGATCCCATCCTTCACTGGTCTCTCCATGGGCCCAGTTCACCCTGGCAGCCAGGCAAGGATAAGGGACTCGGGCTACCCGCAGCGGAGAAAATGTGACTGCTGCAGTCGAAGGAAAGGCATGGGGCAGACTTCCGTCTCACAGAGACTTCCCCTTTTTGGGGTGTGGGATGGGGGGCAGAGGCTGGGCCACAGGAGGTGTCCATGTGCCCGCCCTCCCCCTCACAGCAGGGCAGTGGGGCAGAACGCGGGGGCAGAGCACAGGAAGAACCTCGGGGAGCGCCTGACACGAGCACAGCATGCTCCACCTCACCCTGCCTGCATCCTCCCAGCATGTCTGGGGAGACAGGAACAGCCACCCGAGAATGTGCAAATCCAGGTGAGCAACATGGGCCCAGAGAAACCGGGTGGATTTCTGAGGAGCAACACAAGATCCTGACCTCACCACTGCAGGGGGATGGCAGTGGCAGCAGGCAGCAGACCAGTTGCCCCACCTGGGGCTTTCTCTTGCCCTGAGGCACTGCTACCTGCTTGCCCAACACACTGCTGATGTAACGGGCTGTTTCAGCACAGCTCCATACATTTCCTTCCGGGCCAGGAGCTTCGTCAGGCTGAGCTGGCAACAGTCCCAATGAACAAAATTCTGGAAAAGGGGCCACAGCAGTGCAAGACAGGCCTCTGGGCTGAAAGGAAACCCAGGCCCATCGAGGGGCAGCACACTGTCCAGGCTAGAAGTCCATAGAGCTGTGGGCCAGGTAGTCCTTGCGGCCGATGTTGCTGACTTGCTTGGTCTGCATGGCCTCCAGCTTGGGGCAGTCGGTGATGCGATGGCCCAGGCCGCCACAGAAGGCACAGCCCCGCTCACCTGCAACGGGAGGGATGGGGTCAGGGCCAGGACAGTGCCACACCAGGGCAGCACAGTGCCACAACACCAGGACAGCAGCCCCCACCCCAGAGCAAAGGGGCTACACCAGTGTCTCCCCAGTGCTGTGGCACTGGGAGCTGGAGGGTCCCCTCTGGAGCCCAGGTTTTGCAGCAGCCCCACGAGGGTCTCTATGTCAGCCTGGGGTCTCTCACCATTGATGTCCAGCATGGTCTCATCCCCACAGTGCAGCACCTGGAGCACAGGTGGCACCTTCTGCTTTGCCTCCAGGAGCAGGGCCTTCAGGTCCATCAGCACTGACTCGTCTGGGGGCAGAGACATAGGTCAGGCAAAGCCATCCTGCTTGCTCACAACACCCCCTTGGCACTGCCCAGCTGCCTCCTCCAGCCCTGTGCTGTTCCTCACCACAGGCCTTGTTGATGAAGGTGGTGGCGATGCCGGTGTTGCCTGAACGACCCGTACGCCCGATGCGGTGAACTGTGGAGACAGGGACAGGATCAGCCCCGCTGAGCACAGTGAGACAGACCACCCCTGCCCCAAGACACTGCAGACAGGCACAGAGCCTTGCTGGCCTCCAGGCCCCTCCCACAAGGCCCAGTGCCTACCATAGTTCTCGATCTCCTCTGGCATGTCGTAGTTGATGACGTGCTGGATGGCTGGGAAGTCCAGGCCCTTGGAAGCGACGTCAGTGGCAACCAGGACATCCTTCTTCCCATCCCGGAAGGCCTCAATGGCTTTTGTCCGTTCTTCCTGATCTGCAAAAGCCCAGCAGAGAAGACCAGTGAGGGCAGAGCTCCCAGCCCCACCTACTGCAGCAAACACTGTGGCCTCAGAGTCAAGCATTGCTTCCTCGTGCAGCCTTTCTCCCAGTGAGGGAGCAGAGGGGCCTCTACATCCCTCAGGGACCTGCACTGTGCTTATGCCTGCTTTGTACAAGGTGGAGCTCACTCCTGACACTGTCACAGCCCTTCCTGACACCATCAACAACTGCTGCAGGCTGGCACCTTCCACGGCCACACACATTCCTGGTTGGAGTGGGGTCACACCAGCAGCCCAGGCCTCTCTGGAACCCTCACTGACCTTTCCCTCCATGGATGGCCACAGCTTCCACACCCTTGAGCAGCAGGTACTCGTGGATTGCATCGACATCTGCCTTCTTCTCAGCAAAGATCAGCACCTGCAGCAGCACAGGCATGGTATCAGAGCCCTTTCTGCAGGCTGGCACTGCTGGCACCAGCACAGCCCCCAGGGGAAGCCCATTCCCTCCTGCTGAGCACAGCACACAACACTGCTGATCCCCAGCATGGCTCAGTCATGTGCCCACTCTGCACACTCCTCCCAATTCCCCACGCCCCAGTGTGACCACACTGTCCCCAGCATACTCACAGGTGGAGGGGTCTTCTGCAGGCACTCCAGCAGGTACACCATCTTAGCCTCCTCTTTCACATACTCCACCTCCTAGGAACAAGCAGAGATATGGGTCAGGCAGCAAAGGAACTGCCATTGCTTGGTATCCCTTAGCTGGGAAGGAGGGCCATGAACCCCAGCTCCCTGGCAGAGAAAGGAATTAAATGCCCTCATGAATGTTTCTGGCCTCCCACACAGGCACGGGGGAGCACTCAAACACCTCACCTGCACAACATCCAGGCTGGCAGCACCCGCTCGCCCAACGTTAATGGTGATGGGCTTCACCAGGGCACTCTTGGCAAAGTTCTGGATCTTCTTGGGCATTGTGGCACTGAAGAGGAGGGTTTGCCGCTGGCCCTGCACAGGGAAGAAGCCTTCAGCACCCACCCAACCTGGCATATGCAGGATTGAGCTCCAGGGTGCTCCAATTGTGGCAGTTCAGTACCTTGAAGTAGGAGAAGATGGTACGGATGTCCCCCTCAAAGCCCATATCGATCATCCTGTCAGCCTCATCCAAGGCCAGGTACCGGCAGATGTCCAGGCTCACCATCTTCTTCTGCAGCAGGTCCATCAGGCGCCCGGGGGTTGCCACCATCATGTGCACCCCACTGTGGGGTGAGAAGAGGCCACAGTCAGACCCTTGGCATTCCTGCCCCATGCAGGACACCCCCCTGGCACACCACTTTCACCCCTACGCTCTCCTCAAGCCAGGGCGCCACTCCTTAGCTCCCTGGCAGACAAGAGAGCAGCTCCAGCCCCAAGGACTCCCCCAGAAGGTTCTCACTGTTTGATGGTCTCCATCTGCTCCTTGACAGACATGCCCCCGATGCAGAGGGCGCAGCGCAGCGGGGGCAGCCCATCCTCCTGCAGCAGACGACAGTAGTACTCCAGGATGCCGTGGGTCTGCCGGGCCAGCTCCCGCTGCAGAGACAAAACCAGCTCGTTCCTACACCTCTGTGCAGGCAGAGTTTAGGACTGCCACTGCAAGTGAATCACAGCCTCCTCCTGGCACTCACCGAGGGACAGATGATGAGCCCATAGGGTCCCTCTCGCTTAGAGAATGGCAGCCTCTTCTCCTGCTCCAGGCAGAACATGATCACCGGCAGGGTGAACACTAAGGTCTTCCCAGAACCAGTGAATGCAATGCCAATCATATCCCTTCCTGAGAGTCTGCCAGAGAAACAGGGCCGATGGAGAGGAGGAACATCATGGAACAGCTCAAACCTCCAGGGCTGAGCAAGGTGACAGGGTGCATCTGTCACCAGGGAAGAGCGCCTGGTCCGCACCCCTGAGTGGGAACAACAGCTCTGTGCTCCGGGATGGGGACAGAGACTCACATTGTGGGGATGCCTTGGATCTGTATGGGCGTTGGCTGCTGGATTCCTTTTTTCTTCAAGCCTCTCAGGATAGCTGTCAGAGAACAAGGCACAATGCATGCTCATGACCTGAACTATTTCCTCTCTCTTCCCACTCAGGTCCCAGCAGCAGCTCTTCCACCAGTGACAAACACCCCTCAGGCAAACAGCCAGGAAAAAGGTGGGATCCCTTCCAGGCTCCACTCCTGGCCTACCTGCTGGGAACTTCATCTCCTTGAAGCTCTTGATGGGGGGTGGGATGCCCTCCCCCTCCACCAGGATGTGGTACTTCTTGCGCACGCGGTCGTGCCGTGCCTCCGACATGCCCAGGATGTAGCGAGGAGCTCTCCAGCTGTGAAAGCAGAAACAGGGTGCAGGATGAGGCCAGGGCTCCAGAACCGGCAGCTCCCACGGAGGAATTCAGGGGAATTCCCTGTTAGGCTCCAATAATCTCCCAGATAGAACAGGCAGCCCCAAGGGGTTCCATGGAGTGAGGGCAGGAGCAGATCTGAGCCAGTTCCATGCATTAAACCCTTCCCCAAAATCTCAGTGAAGCGAATCTCAGCTAACAGCTGAGAACAGCCTAGAGATGGTGGATGGAACATACCAAAAACATCTGGACACACCTCAATCATCTCCCTGACACTGTCTCAGAATCACTGAAGTGGGAAAAGACCTCTGAGATCATTGAGTCCAATCTGATCAATCACCACCTTGACAATGCTGCCTCCAAAGGCTCCTCCAGACTCTTTCTCTGGCTTAGTGACCTCCCAGACCTGAAGACAAACCCTCAGGCCTCCTAGTTTAACATAAATGTTCTTCATCAAGCCTTACTGTACACCAAACAACATCCAATGTGACTCAACAGTGTTTGATTTTACAGATAATGACACAAACCCAGTCACTCAGGCAGGAGGCTGCAGAGCTGCACTGCTCCTGCAAGACTCTGTGGCTTTTAGCCCTCTTCAGCCACGATGAAGTGATGTTTTCAGAAGGACAACTTCTGAGCTGTGCTGTGAAACCCACCTGGTTTTGATTGGGTCATCGTAGGTGATGCCCTTGGCCATCTCCTTCACCGACATGAGAGCTGCAGAACAAAGATGATCAGTCAGAGCAAACTCCTCATGCACATCAACCTCACTGACAGCTACCAGGGCAAACAGCCTGGGACATCATGTCTGGAGACAGAAGAGGAGAAGCAGCAGCACAGACAGCCCCTCTGGCACAGGAACACCAAGTGCTGCTGTGCCCAGAGCCCTGTGACAGCCACGTCTCAGCTAAGGCAGGCAGTGCCAGCTGAGGGCACCCACTGTCACCTCCAGCCTCACCCCTGGGTGTGAGCATTCCCAAGGCAGGGAGCAGCTCTCCTGCTGCTCTGGGAGTTCTGGAGACAGATCTGAGAGACAGAGCTCCCACTCACCTCGGCCCTCTGCCACGCTCTCCAGGATCTTCTCTTCCTCCTTCAGCTGCTTCTCCTTGGCCGACTCCTTCCGAGCTGGGGGAGAGCCAAAAAGCAATGAGGGGCTTTGCTGTCCCCTGAAAGCCACCCAGTGCGGCTAGCAGCTCCTCCCTCACCTTCCGCCTTCTCTTTGAGGTGCTGGTGCTGGTCCAGCAGGCTGATGTTGGACTGCGGTCCCAGCGGGATGTCATCCTCGTCCCCGCGCTGCTCGCTCCTGCTGTCCCGCTGCTCCTCCTCGGACACCACCTTCCGCCGCATCTGCAGCAGCTTCTGCAGCTGCAAGGACGCGAATGGAGGCGGAGTGAGCGGCCTGGCGGCGGGAGGGCCGCTCGGAGCTCTCCCCGGGCAGCCCCGTTCCCCCATTACCATCTGCTGCTTGCGCTGCTTGACGGGCACGTAGGGCACGTAGTCGTCATCATCCTCTCCGGACAGGTCGGACGTGTCCGCCGGCTCCTCGCGCTGCCTCTGCGGGGAGACACGCCGTGAGGGGAGCCCGGGGCGGCACCGGGAGCGCGGAGCGGGGGGTACCGGGGGCCGGGCCCGCTCCCACCTTCCGCTCCGCCGCGGCCTCCATGGCTCCTTCCCGGAAGTGGTACAGGAAGTTACGTCACCCCACCCAGCGCCATCGCCTAGCAACGCGCAGGGGGCGCCACTGGGCGGGAGCTGCGACTCCGCACGACGGGTCCCAGCGGCGGCCAAACTTGCGCAGAATGCGTTCTACACCTCCTCTCTCCCGCCCCCTCACTTTCCCCGGCGCGGCAGAAAGCAGCAGACACCGGGGTTTAAATAAAATAAAAAATTAAAAAGTTCTTTATTGGGTCCAGCACGGTCCTTCCCCGCGGCACGGGGAGCCGTGTGCCCGCGGAGAGGGGGACGGGACGGCCGGGATCACCCCGCGGGGAGGGGCAGGAGGATGGAGGGAGCCCCGGGGGTCCCCGCGGGGCAGGAGAGCACCGGGGCCCCCCGCGAAGGAGGGGACCCCACCAAGGTGAGGCGGGGGGCACAGTGAGGAGAGGCGAGCGGCCGTGGGTGGGTGGGGGTGGCCCCTCCGCACCTCACTGGGCTGCACTGGAAGTGGTTTTCTTCAGGGTGAAGTTGGTCCAGTTCACGGCCACCTTCTGCCGCGTCTGCTTGGCCGAGTCTAGGCAGAACCTGGCACGGAGAGCACAGCCCCAGTCAGCCCCCAGCCCCAGTCAGCCCCCAGCCCCTCTGTGACCCCAGACCCAGTCAGCCCCCAGCCCGTCGGGACCCCCAGCCCCGCTGTGACCCCAGCCCCAGTCAGCCCCCAGCCCATTGGGACCCCCAGCCCCTCTGTGACCCCAGTCCCAGTCTGCTCCCAGCCCCTTCACGCCTCCAGCCCTGCTGGCGGAGCTCAGCCCTGCACGGTTCTCCCCTCACCTTTTGAAATACTCCACTTCTCTGTCAGTCTCGTCCATCTCTGCCCCATCCAGGTCCTTGGGCAGGAACACATCATCTGGGAAAGCAGAGCAGAGGGTCAGCGCTGCAGGGCAGGAAGGGGCTGCCAGCTGGGCAAGGGGCCACAGAGAGGATGGTGGCGCACAGCGGTGCCCCCAGCACTCACCGATCGAGGTATTGGATTTCTCCACTTTGTTTCGGCTCTTCCTGCTCTTGCCCTTGGGCTGGGGGGAACCCCCCAGGGCAAGGTGGGTGGCCAGGGTGGGTGGCTGCTGCGGCGCCAGCTCCGGCAGCTCCGCTTTGCCCTCTCCCCTCCGGCCTTTCCACTCGCTGCTTCTCTCTTTCTCCACCCTGGCAGCGCTGCTGGAGGCCCAAGGCTGCCCCTTGCCGCTCTCCCCGGGCTCGGCACAGCCGCTGGCCCGCTGTGGCTCCGGGGCACTGCCCTTGGAAGGGTGCTTGGTTCCCAGCACCTGCCCCTTCACACCAGGGCTCTCCAGCCGGGCCTGGCCGCTGGGCACAGCCGCGCTGCCCTCCCCTTTCTTTGCCTGCCCGTTCTGCCGCTTGTTCTTCCTCTGCCGGCTCCCGGCGGGCAGCGGCTCCGGCGGCTCCGGCCCCTTGGGCTGTGGCCCCTCCCTGGGCTCCAGGCTCAGCCCGTGGCCGTCCGCAGCGCACTCGGCAGCCTTGGACTGCACCCAGATCATGCGGGACAGGCTGGGCACGGCGCTCAGCCGTTTCACCACGCCGTTCTCGGCCGCCGGGGCCGGCGGGGGCTCCCCGGGCCCCTCGCCCCACCGGGGGCCCAGTTCACCCCGCAGCAGCGTGTGGCTCTTGGCAGGGCCCAGGCTGAGCGGGGCCAGCGCCAGGTCTATGTCCTGCAGGTCAGAAGAGCCGTTGAGGTTGGAGAGCAGGTTCTTCTGCTCCAGGACAGCTGCCTTCTTGGGGAAGTCATTGACATCCAGGTTGAGGTCATAGACGCTGAAACTGGCCCGGATGGAGTCCTTGATGGTGTTCTTGATCTCCTGCAGCCTGCTGCTGAGGAAGCTGTTCACCCGCTCCAGCTCCAGCTCTGGCCACTCCAGCAGCTTCTCCTCGGCCGGCTCCCTGGCCTGGCTGGCTGCAGGGGCACGCTCGGCCCGTTTCTGGGCCTCTGCCTCCAGCTGGGCTTTCTCCTTCTCCTGCAACACAGGAGCCATGAGGATCATTTGGGCTGGGCCACAGAACCGTGGGTGCAGGACACAGAGCTTCGCTCCAGCTTTGTCTGACAGCAAACTCATGGGTAGATGCTCAGCACAGCTATGTCACATCTTCCACAGCCCCAAAACTGTCACATTTCCCCCGTGGGCACTGCAACAGCTGGACACTGCACACCAGACACTGCTCTGGGCACCAGGCACCAGAAAGAGCCATCATGGCACCACCTCTACCAGAGATGCAAGGTGTCAGAATGTGGCATGGATCAGACAGGACAGTGCAGCCCAAAGCACCCAGGAGGGCTGGGCAACCCTCTGCAGGAACAGAGGCAGGGGAAGTCCTACACGGGGACAGGCACTGCTGCCACCTTGGTTGAGAGCGACACAGAATTCAAGAACCCAAATGGATGCAAGGGAGGGAAGGAAAAATCCTACCAGCAGCACATCAGCCCTCCTCCTGCAGCCCCAGCCTCACCTTCTTCTTCTGCTTGTGCCGTGCCCGCTTGGCTGCCTTGGCACTGTTCAAGGGCTTGGGCTCTGTGCTGTTGATGTAGTCCAGCAGCTCATCCACATTGCGGTGGTCCACAGCGGGCTCCCCTGAGCTGCTGTTGTGCCCTAGTTTCTGTGGCAGCTCCTCTTTTCTCTTGGTGAGGCGAGAACGCAACTTCTCTCGGATCTCAGCGTAGTTGCGGCTCGTGGGAGCGGCCGGGGGCTGTGGAAGGCAAGTGCTGTCAGCCAGGCACCAGCCAGCGTGAGGGGCAGGCAGCCCCCCGTGACCTTCCAGCCACTCCCTTCCCTGCGGTCTCAGGGACAAGTCAGCACAGCCCTACTCAGCTCTTCCACCGTGAAGCCACAGGGCTTGGCCGGCTGCTCCGAGCCCTGGGGCTGGGCAGGCGGCTGCGAGTCGGGAGCAAGGGACCAGCAGGCTGATGAAGCAAGGCAAAAAGGAAGTGGGGGATGTACATGCCTGCAGGAAACAGCTGTGGCCAGACCTGCCCACCTCCCGCTCTGGGCACAGGGACCGAGTGATGTCCCCCAACCAAAGCAAGGACCAGGGGTGGCTGCAAACCAGCCCCTCACTCACCGCATTGTGGCCGAAGAACTCACAGTAGCAGCAGTCACAGAACTTCCCATCTTTCTGGTTGGTGGAGGAGGAGGTGCAGGAACTGCGCTCTGAGCTGCTGTCCTCATCCTCCCCGAGTCCCTCGTCTGCCTCGCAGGGCTGTGGTGGGTGGCAGCTGGTACCGTTTGGGAACTTGTGCCCTTTACAAGAGGGGTCCCTGAGGAGAAGGGGAGAAGGGGGACAGGTGAGCAGGTGCTAGGGTATCTCAAAAATTGCCCCATGCTATGCATGTAGGAACAGCCCTCCTGGGAAAGTTTGTGCCCAAGCAGAAGGAATTGCAGGACAAACCCCCTCCCCTGCATTCTCCTCTTCTGGGAAGATGCCCCAGGAGCCCACAGGAGCAGCAGCAATCTGTCACTCCCAGCCCTCAGGGCCTCTGGCGAGCAGGAGGCTGGTGCAGCAGAGCCCCAATGAGCCAGGGCTGAGAGCAGGGCAGGGCACAGTACTCACTGGGGGTAGCAGGTAGCACAGGTGAGGAACAGTGGGACTGTGCAGCTGCCAGACATCCCCATGTGAGGCAGGCCCAGCTCACAAGGGCACAGGCTACCCAGCTCAGAGACAGGGAGGCCAAGGGCACAGCCCACAGCATCATTTCTCAAGATCCAGCTCAGAACCCGACTGGCTCTCCACAGAGAGAGCTAACTAGCAGAGAGGAAGCAACGTGCTCTCTTCCAGGGCACAGGCAGCCCAAAGAGGGCCAGAGGAACAGGTGAGCAGAACAAGTCCACAGGCTTCATCTTCTCGAGAACCTTTGCTCAGTGCCACAGCTGCCTGACAGGTCTCAATGACATAGGTCCTGTTGGCCAACTGTAGGTTGATCAGGGTGTTCCTTTGGGTCTTTTAGCTGGAGGAGAAGCACAGCCTCTTCTGCACCACAGAACCAAAGGACAACCGCAGGAGGAACATGCGCTGGGAGAGAAAGAGCTTCACCTTCGGTCTGCAGCAGTGGAACTGGCCCACAAGGACAGCAGCTTCATGCACCACCATGCCAGGGCGGTCAGTGCCTCCACAGGGAGAAGTGCATCCATGGTCAGGGATGGGAGAAAAGGCACGCGGCCCCGCAAGGAGGGGCTGGAAGCAGGCAGGGTTCCCCTACTCACCTGTTTGTGCTGGGCAGCTGGTGGGAGGCAGGAGGAGGGATGAGTGAAGTGCTGCAGTGCCCGTTGCAGGGATGAGCACAGCCCGACAGCGGCGGCGGCATCTTCAGCAGTGGCACGTTGGCAGGGGGCAAGTGAGGGCTCTTGCAGGGCCCTGGGCTGTGTGAGGCCGTGCTGGCCGGAGGGGACTCGGACACCGGCTTGGGAGCCGCTGCCTGCGCGCTGGGAGCAGGGAAGAGCGCGGCCTGCGAGGAGCTGCCCAGCGGGATGTGCGGCGGGGAGCTGAAGGGCCCCGCATGGGGAGGTGTCTGCTTGGAGGGGATCAGCGCCGGGGGCTGGGAGGGGAGGCCGGTGGGACTGTTGGGAGGAGCAGTGAGGTCGGAGTGCTGATGATGCTCTGAGGAGTGGAAGGCCTCACCTGCAGAGAGGCAGGAGCAGAGACAGTCAACACACCGGCTGTGCTGCACGGACCAAGGCCACGCTCAGAGCCACCCACCACCTTTGCACAAGCTGTTTCTCCTCCCAGACATCAGAGTGCTTGGGATAGAAGCCATCCCTGCTCACACAGGGCCTTGGGGTCAGTGTGCCTCTCCCACAGGACCCAGCCCTGCCCCATGAGAACAGGGCAAGAGGAAAGGCTCTGGAGCAGCAGGCTGGGAGGCGGTGCCGGGGCTGTCCGGGGCCACGTACCTGGCGGGGTGGCCCTCCGGCACAAGCTTTTGAACTGCTTCGGCAGCGTCTTGCAGAAGTCGAGTGAGGTAGGCAGAGGCGAGCCCGGTGTGGCGCTGCTGGAGGTGGCAGAGGCCGTGTGGCTGTAGGGACAGGCCTTCAGCCCCGGCACCATGGCCGACACCTGGCTGGCGCACTCCGGAGACAGAGCAAGGCTGGGGAGCTTGTCACCTGGAAGGAAAGAGGAGCTGAGGCTGAATCCCTGCACCATCTGCCTTTTTCGAAGAGGCCCAATATGGGTACTGAGATTCAGAGGCCCAGCCTGCCCACCCCTGCCCACAAGGAAACCACCTAAGCCAAGAACTGCTCTGCTCCACCCCACAGCCAGCTTCAGCTCACCTAGTGCAGCTGGGGGAGCCCCAAGGGGGCTGCCCTGCACGGTCCCGTTGGTGTGCTGCGAGTTCCAGAGGCCCGAGAGCTTGTGAGCAGACAAAAACGAGCTGGGGTCCCAGTCCCCTGAGTTCCCGTGGCACGAGGAGGAAGAAGACGAGGAGGAGGAGGAAGAGGAGTGTGAGCCACCCCCACAAGACTGCGACTTGCAGGATGTGTGGGACAACGAGACCTATCAAAGGAAACACAGAATGCTAAGAGGTTGAGGGGACACCTTGGCCCCCAGCACTAAGACTCCCTCCACTGCAGCAGGGGCTCAGCTCATGTGAACCACTTTTATCACTGTCTTGGGAGTGACAAACACCCCCTCCATCCACACCAACACAGCCTGGCTCACAGGGGCTGGGCCACGCCAAGGGCCACACACCTGTGCTGGTGCCACTCACACCAGGGCAGGGTTAAATAAAGCCAGGCAGAAGCCAGCTCCTGTACCCGAGCCCCACGCACAGGCAGGCACTTGCCCTGGCAGCCGCTGCCTCTCTCTGCGTCATGAAGGGAGCAGCCCTGGGGCTGGGGGACGCGGCACAACGCGCAGCAGAGGAAAGCAGTGGCACTGTCAGCCTTGCCCAGCCTGGCAGCTCCAAGCCATGGCAAGCTGCTGGATGAGCCTCCACAGCACCACACAGTGCCCCAACAGGGCCTGTCCCTGCTGAGCCAGAGGCAGCCCTGAGCAGGGAAGTGAAGGCTGGGATGTCTGGGACACTCAGCTCAGAGCGAGGATGGGACCCGCACACCCAGCCAGTGCCACAGGGTGCTCAGCGCCCTGTTCCCACAGCTACAGCCCCGGCTTCCCAACCCCAGCACCGTAACCGCGCACCGCCAGGGCCTGCTCCTGCACCGCCCGCCGCTCTTCCTCCTCCACGCTCTTCCGGCAGCTCTGGCAGATCCACAGTGGCATTTCTCCCAGGAGGTTCTGCACGAGCGTTGGCACGAAGTCTGGTGGCAGCCTCTCGCCCGGGGAAACCAGCCCATTGTGGGACGGCCCTCCCCAGTCCTTGCGCTCGCGGTGACAGAGCAGGCAGCAGGTCTGCACGGACTGGTTGGCAGTGGGCAGCACCTGAGGAAGGACACACAGACTGTGAGTCACCCAGGTGTGATCTGGCGCAGATGTGGGGCAGATGAGGCAGTGAAGGAGACCTCAGGACGCTGCCACCAAACCAAGGAAATTCTTACAGGCTACATGTGGTATTGCACCTTCTCCCACTGGAGCAGAGCAGCCTCAGGCTGACCAGCTGCTGCCAACATGCCATGTGCCAGCTTGGGAGTGTTTGGACTTCTGGGAAGATCACAGCATGCCAAAGAGCCAGCCTTGCCACCAAGCAAGGCTGGGAAGCTGTCAGCAACTCCCACCATCACCTCTGGTACAGTGAGACTGAGAGTACACGCATGGCAAAGCAAGACCCACAGAAATCCCACAGAGATACGAAGGGTGGGTCTGACAGCCTCAGCTCTCCCTCCTTGCCCATCAAAGATGCCCCCGCTGTGTCACCCAAGAGCCCCAAGCCCTCTCTCCCGCCTCTTTGTTCTGCACAGCCAGCGGTGCCGATGCGCCAGGGTGGGGTGCAGCCCCCTGTGCTGCTTCACACTCTCGCTGCACAGGCACAGCCAGGTTGGGGCTTCCCTGCAGGAGCCAGGCTGCATCCCTCGGGCTCGCCGGAGCCCTGACAGCCGTGACGAGCCCGGCGTGGCGCGGGCGAGGGGGCCCCCATTGTCTGCCGGCGCAGCGGGGCCCTGCCACAATGAGCCGTGCATTGAACTGCTGCTGCCAAACAGATGGCGTCTGCAGGCTCAAGGTGAAGCAAAGGTCAGAGGCCAAGGAGAGCAGAGTGGGGGCACAGCCCCCCTGCCCACCCACGGCGAGGGGGGAGCAACCGGGCCACCCCACGTCCCAGCTGACACAGCTACCATGGCGGGTGACACCACGGCTGGTGACACCACGGCTGTCCCCAATCCACCGAGCACATCCACACCCGGTGCCCACCCCCGCCTCCCTGCCCACAAGCCGGAGCAGGTGGCGGCAGCCAGGTGTGTCCAGCAGGGAGAAGCGCGCTGCATGAGGATGCTGGAGCCACCTGCCATCGCCCAGCGGCAGGGCTGAGGCAGGGCTGAGGCAGGGCTGAGGCAGGGCTGGGCCCTCCCGCGGGGCGCTCTGGGAACGCTCCGAGCCCCATCCGCAGGGATGCTCCGAGCCGGGGGTCGGGGCGGGGATGGGGCAGGGCCCGGCGGGGATGGGGTGCAATGGGCAGGGCTCCATCCCCGCCCAGGCTGAACCCCCCTCGGAGCCAGCCCCGTGCCCGCCGCAGCGCTACCCCGGTACCTGCGCGCTGCCTCTGCCCGACTCCCCGCCGCTGCCCGCCGCCGCCGCCACCTCAGGCGGGGCGGGCGGTTCCGGTGGTGGTGGCGGCGGGGGAGGCCCGACGTCGGGACCCGCCATCCTGTCACGACGAGGCCCGGAGCCACCTGCCGCCGCTGCCGTCGCCGTTGCCGCCGTTGCCGCCTTGTTCCGCCGGCGAGTCATGGCGAGCCCGCCGCAGCCAGGACAACAGCCAATATGGCGGCGCGGCCCGTCCGGCCCCTGCCCGCGGGAAGGAGGGAGGGAGGGAGGGGGGAAACGCTCGGGGAGGTGAAGCCGCCGCCGCCATCTTGGCTGAGGGCAGCGCTGCGCTCCCTGGCGGACAGGGGGAGCGGCGGCAGCGCCGCGGGTTCGAATCCGCCCGGCGCCCCGCGGCTCCCGGAGGCGCCGCCGGGGACCCGAGATCGGGGGTGCACGGCGATCCTATCCCCTCCGGCTGGACCATCGGAGTGCAGCTCCTCGGGTTCACACTGAAAGAGAGCAGGATTAGATTAGATATTAGGAAAAAAAGTCTTGCCTGTGAGGGTGGTGAGGCACCCCGGCTGCCCAGAGAAGCTGTGGCTGCCTCATCCCTGGACGTGTTCAAGGCCAGGCTGGATGGGGTTTGGAGCGACCTGGGATGGTGGAAGATGTCCCTGTGCATGGCAGTGGGATGGAACGAGATGATATTTAAGGTCACTTCCAAACTTCTCTATGATTCTGCGATTCCTGGCCTTGCACAGGAGAACCCCAAGAATCTCACCCTGTGTCTGAGAGCATTGTCCAAATATGCTCCTGGAGCTCTGTCAGTCTTGGTGCCATGATCACTTCCCTGGGGAACTTGTTCAGTGCCTGACCACCCTCTGGGCAAAGATCCTTTTCCTAACATCGAACCTAAACTTCCCCTGACACAGCTCTAGCCATTCCCTCAGATCCTGTTACTACCACAGAGAGCAGAAACTGGAGCTGCCCTCGGCTGCCCCTCCTGAGAAAGCTGCAGCCCATAATGAGGTCTCTCCTCAGACTCCTCTTCTCCAGACTGAACAGACCAAGGGACTTCAGCAGCTTTTCATGTGATTTCCCCTCTAGACTCTTTGCAGCCTCCTTTGGACACTCTCTAACAGCTTTATTCTTCTTTTATTGTGGTGCCCAGATCTGCGGGGACCGGTGGGACAAGCAGGGCTGCAGTCTCACTGTGTGCCCAGGGATCCCCATCCAGGGGAAGCAGGACATGGCTGAAAACAGAGCCGGGCTCTGTGGGGTACACAGGGAGCCCCAACAGCGGGGCCAGTCCCACCCTGCACCTGGGCACTGCCATGACTCAGGGACTTTCGGAAGCCGAGGACGTGCCGCTGCCGTGTTTGTTCAACCACCCTCCACGGATTCTTTACCCATGAATCCACGCCATTAGGCTTTCAGCCACCTGAATTATCGGCACCCACATCCTGTGCCCAGCAGTGCCAGCTCTGGAGCAAACACGTCCTTTGGCACAGCCGGGGTGGTTTGCTGTGGCCAACACCCCCGAGCACCCCCTGGCACTTCTTCCTGGCCGCTTGGTTCCTCTTTGTCCCACCGAGGGGCCACTTTACCCCCTTCCCACCGCATTACCCCGCTCCGCACCCCGCACAGTAAAGGTGCCTGCGGGTGCTTCTCCCCATCACTCCGGGAATGCTCGGCGGGCTGTGGGAAGCGCTGGGGTGTCCCTGTCCCCGGATTGCTGGGCTGCGGGGAGAGAGGAACCGGGGGAGGATAGCCGGGGATGCAATTGGGAATTTGAGACGGGAACCAAGACCGGGAAGGAAAGCCGGCGGTGAAACCCATCCCGCCCCACGGCAGACGCACCCTCACCCTTCCCATCACAGAGAACCGGTCCGTCGAGGAGCGGACGGGTCGTCCCGGTGCTGGGACTGGGCGGACACCGTTCCGGTCCGCCCCCCGGGCGGTGCCCGGTACCGACCCGCCCCGTCGGCGAGCGGCGGGCGCGGGGAGCCGGGCGGCCGCAGAGCTGCGGGACGCGCCATGCTGCCCGCTGCCCTCCGCCGATGGCTCCGCCGACCCAAGGTGAGACCGGGGAGGGTCGAACCGGGCCGCCCTCCCTGCGCCCGGGACCGGCGGAGCCCCCGGACGGCCCCGTCGGGGCGATCCAGGAGCTGCGGCCATCCCGGGAGCAGAGGGGCGGCCGGGGTCCCTCGTGGTGGAGCGGGAGGAGGAAGCGGGGGGACTCCGGAGGACCTTTCCCGGTGTTTACAGCCACGCACGGATCGGTGCCAAAGCTGCCGGGATGCGGCTGAGCTTGTTCATCCTGCTCTGCCCCCGGGGAAACTGAGGCACGGGTGGGTGGGGAGGGCGGCGCTCCTCGGGAGGAGCCAAAGCTGCCGTGGGAGGTCCCACGTACCTGCCCGAACAGGTGTTTGTGGATCCCTGGGGTCCGATCCCTCCGCGCCTGGGGGAGCGGGGGGTTTGGGATCCCGCTGGAGCAGCACATGGAGATGCGGGGTGCCCCCCCAATCACCCCTCTGCCCTTCCCGCAGCGCTCCGACCCACGCCTGCTCTCCCAGTTCTTCTTTGCCGACGAGAGGGTGACACGGGTGGTGGCCGAGATCAACGGGCTGGATGCCGAGCTGGATCCGCAGCAGTACCTGGTGCTCCTCAACCAGCTCCACCTCAGCCAGGTACGGGCCAGCCCGGGTCCCGCTGTGACTCGGTCCCCCCGGAGGCCGCGGGTGACACCCCTGCCGTCCCCAGGCTCACCTGCTGGCCGTCCTGGAGCGGATCATGGAGGAGTGCATCCCCACGCAGCGGCACAGCCGTGACTACCTGGTCAAGTTCCCCGAGGAGCTCTTGGTGGACAATTTGGGGAACCACATGCTGTTTGCTGCCGAGGTGAGCCCGGGGCGATGGACACCCCACCGTGAGCTGACCCTGGGGTAGGCATTGCCTTGGGTGCTGGCTGCTGACAGTCCCTATCCTGGCAGTGTCTCCTGGCTGGGACCTTCCTGGAGATGGAGGAGTCAGACGGGGCACAGCTGCGACCCCAGGCCAGGAATCTGCTGTGCAGCCTGGAGCTGGTCAGGACAGTGCTGCGGGAGCAAAGCCTGAGCCAGCCCAGCTCCTACCCAGAGCCTGTCCGGGCTGTGCTCATCCAATTTGACCGGCTGTTTGCAGAGTTTGAGCTGAGGTAAGGGGCAGGGTTAGGGTGCTGGGGTCGTGGTGGGCTGTGCCAGGACTGTAGGGGTCTCACAGTCTCCCCATCTCTCCAGCTATGTGTCCTCGCTGGTGGCAGTGAAGTCTCCTGATGAGATCTACAGGCAGCAGGAGATCATCGTGCTCTTCTGTGAGACAGTGGAGAGGTGAGTGAGGGGCACTGTGTGTCAGGTGGGGGCTGCAGGGATTCCAGCCCCAAGGATGGGCAGCATCCCACGGCTCAGATCCACTGGAAGGGTGTCTGTGTGTCCCCAGAGCCCTGCACCTGGGCTACCTGACCCAGGAGATGATTGATGGCTACGAACCACTGCTGATGTTCACCATCCCTCGCCTGGCCATTATCAGGTGGGTGCAGCCCCTGGACAAGTGGGTGTGCTCCCTGCCCTGTACCAGCCCCTTCTCCTCATGGGGAGCTGAGGTCCCAGGCAGCCCCTGACATGAGTTGGGCTCTGTTCCCTCACAGTGGTCTCCTCATCTACCCCGAGGGACCCCTCAGCCTGGAGCGGAGCCCTGAGGAGATGTCCCGGGTCTTCAGCCCCTTCTACAACCTCCTGAAGAAGATCAGGTGTGCAGTGGGGGTGATGGCAGGGCTGTGGGGCAGCAGTGGGGCCCTGACATGGGGCTGATGCCAACCCCTCACGGCAGGGACCTCTTGTGGGTGCTGTCAGCAGAGGAGCTCTGCCTGCTGGAGAGGAGCCTGTGCACAGCCGAACAGGAGGATCCCTGCAGTCCAGATGCCCCCCCAGCCTGGGGGCCATCTGTGCCCAGTGTGGACCCCCCTGCTCCCTTCAGTCTTCTGGAGGTCCCTAATGCCACCCAGCCACTCCCCACCTGCCAGACACGACTGGGACCCCCCAGTGCAGTGCATGACCCGGGCACCGACCGGCAGCAGGGGCGTGCGGTGGGCAGGGAACAGGGCCAAGATGGCAAATCCCTGTCCACTGGCACAGGGATATCTCATGCCATCCCTGGCATAGTGGTCACCTCCCCCCTGCGCAGTCCCCAGCCCCTTGGGAGCGGCCCAGGGACGGGGGTCAATGCCACCCCAGGTGCCCGCTGCTCGGAGCTGCGCTCCCGCTACAGCAGCACCAAGGACATGCTGCACACCCTCTTCGTCTGCATCTCGGGTGAGTGACCCCCCAAGCCGACCCCCCCAGCTTCCTGATCCCCCCAGCACCCTGACCCCCCACCCTCCTGGTGCAGGGGTGGCTGATCAGCTCCAGACCAACTTTGCCAGTGACATGAGAAGCATCTTGAAAACGGTCTTCAAGATCGTGTGCTCGCAGGCGGAGCCCTCGGGGGAGCAGAGTTACAGCAGTGAGTAATCCCCAGGGACTGCTCCTCTCTGCCCTGCCCATCGCCCATCCCTGCTGAGACAAGGCCACAGCCCTAGGCTTGGGAAAAACGTGGCCATCGTGCCCGCCCAGCTCCAGCTTGGCTGGACCCAACCCTTGTCCCCGCAGAAGAGAAAGATGGTGACTCCTGTGTGACAGATGCTCCTCGTGTGGCTGACTGCCCACTGTGCTCCAGCCCTGCAGAGGCTGCCAGGCTCCGGAGGGCAGGTGAGGAGCTGCCCAGCGGCCGTGGCTCTGGGGCAGGGTGTGAGCCTGGGGCTGATCCTGCCTCAGGGGGTCCGGCTGTGAGGGGAGCCAGGCTGAGGGCTTTTTACCGATGTGTTTTGCCCAGCAGGTGCCCGCCACCTGCCCGAGTGGGTGCCGGACAGCACATGCAGCCAGTGCTCTGCCTGCCGCTCGCCCTTCACCCTGCTGCGGCGCCGGCACCACTGCCGCAGCTGTGGGAAGGTACGGCGGGGTTGGGACGGGGCACTTGGGGCTCCCCGAGGCACCCGGCTCTGCTCAGCCCCTCTCTGGCCTCTCGGCAGATCTTCTGTGCCCGCTGCTCACCGAATACCGCAGTGCTGCCCTACTACGGCCAGAGCAAACCCGTACGAGTCTGCACCCACTGCTACACCACACACCTGCCGCCCGCGTCCCGCTGTGCCCGGAGCCAGTGAGAGCCCCTCTGCCGGGTCTGCAGCGTGGGAGGCCGCGCAGCGCGGTGTCCAGGGCCGCTCCGGGGCTGCCGGGCAGCACCTCGGCCCCGTGACTCTCCTCAGAGCTCGGTGGGCATGGCGGCAGGACCCCCCCACCCGGCGTTAGGCTTCCCCCGTGCACAGGGGCAGGGCCCCACACGCGGTGCAGCGATGGTGGGCGCAGGACCGCCGCTCCCGGTGCGCCGCGGCCGGCTCCGCCTTGGGCGAGCTGCCTGCCGCTGCCGTGCACCTGCCCCCCGGCTGGAAATGTGCTTCGTGGTGGTTTTTTTTTTTTTTTTCAGGTGAACTTTGGCTGCTGTTGGGCCCGGGGCAGAGTCTCCCCCCGGGGCCTGGCCTGAGAAGGTGCAAACATCAAACATCCCTCACATGACAGCGGGTGCCCCGGGGCCGCCCGTGCCGTGCCGTGCCCGGGAGCTGGGGCCCGGCGCTCCCCCTCCCTCCCTCCCTATCGCCTGCACCCTATGGATTTTAATAAAGAGATAGACCCGTCTGTCTGGGCCGTGTGGCGCTGGCCGCGGCCGGTGTGGGGACACGCGCGGGCCCGGTGGGGCGGGGGCGGCAGCGCGTGCGCGCTCCCACACGGGCGCGCGCGTGGGCGGGCGCGCCTCCCCCGGGGGCGTGGCCTTTTGGGAGGGCGTGGCCTTGAGGCGACAATTGCTTAAACACCGTCAGGGGCGTGGCCTGACGCCGGGAGGGGGGCGTGGCCCGCGCCGTCCCCTCCCGCCGATTCAAATTTGAAGCACGAGCTTTCCCGCCTGAATTTGTTTGCCCGCCGAGGTGACGTCAGCGGCGCGGGGCGCCCCGCAGCCAATGAGTGCGCGGCTCGCGGGTCCCCCCCCCGCCCTCCCGCCATGGAGCCCGCGGCCAGCAGCATCCAGGTGCTGCTCCAGGCGGCCGAGTTCCTGGAGCACCGCCAGCACCGGCACCCGGCCGGCCTGGCCGAGGCCGAGCACGGCTACGCCGCTCTCTGCCCTGCGCCGTCGCGCCGCGCCGTGGGCAGCGTCAGGTGAGCGGCGGGCGAGTGGATGGGTGGGTGGACGGCGGCGGCGGTGCTGATCCCCCGGGTCTTTTCCGCAGGTCGGTGCACAACGCGCTGGAGAAGCACAGGTACGGGGGCGTGCGGGGAGAGCGGCGGGGCAGGGGGTGGTTGGGCCCGTGCCTCTCCGTGGCTGAGCCCCGTGTCGTTCCCCGCCCGCCCGGCCGCAGGAGAGCCCAGCTGCGGTGCTGCCTGGAGCGGCTGAAGCAGCAGGTACCGGTGGGTGTGGGACCGTCCCGTTCCACCACGCTGAGCCTCCTGCACCGCGCCCGGCTTCACATCCAGGTGAGGGGGGTGGTGGCACCGGCGTCGCTCGCTCCCTGTGTGGGAACAGGGCCGCCCAGCTCGGCCCCCGCTCACGGCTCACCGGGCCCCCACAGAGGCTGGAGGAGCAGGAACTGAGGGCACGAAGGGCCAAGGACCGGCTGCGGGACCGGCAGCGGAGCCTGCAGCAGCGGCTGGAATCGCTGCTCCTGCCCACCGATGGGGAACGGGCACGGGCTGACAGCCTGGACTCATCCCAGATCTCAGAGCCCTCTGAGGAAGGTAAGAAAGGGGAAAGAGAGAGGGAGGCTGGGCAGGGAGACAAAGCAGCCAAGGGCCTGACCCGGCCTTCCCCGTGCCCAGAGGATGCCGAGGTAGAGGTGGATGGTGTGGTGTTCAGCGGGGACCTGCTGCCCAGCTTCGGCACCGGGAGGGAGCACAGCTACTCCAGCCCCCACAGCCCCGCATCCTGACGGTGCCCGCTGCCCTCCCTGCCTGCCTCCTTCCTGCTGGAAACCCAGCCCCACCAGCCTCATCACAGCTGCCAGGCTAAGGGGCCGCAGATGGGGGCAAGAGTCTGGCCTTACCCCCCCACAGCTGGGTGGCACTGGCTGTGGCACTGGGTGCATGGGGCTGGCACTGCGCTGTGGCACCTGCTGGGCACCACGAGGCACTGGAAGAGGTGCTGGAAGAAGGCCCAGCTGTCACTGAGGACACTCCCCTGCCTCCCCCTGTGCACCCACGGGCAGTCTGGGGGCTGCCTGGTGTGGGAACGGGGCAGTGCTGCCCACTGCAGACACCACTACAGAAAGGCTCTCCTGCCCCTGGAGGGCCAGGAAGGGGAAATGAGTGCATTAAGCAACCTGCCTTCGTGCTCCTGCAGCCACCCCGCTCTCTTGTACAGACCCAACATTTTTATAGTAAAGGCACTTGGTAAAACCCTGGCCTGTGTCTTCCCTGCAGAGGGCTGAACCCCCAGAGTGCAGAGCAGCGCTGGGCTCTGCTCCAGCCAGGCCAGCCTCAGCCAAATCAGAGGTGGGAGTAGATTCTTTAATGATAATTACATCTCAGAAAGGGTCAAGCAGCAGCTGATTGTCAGACTTATACAGTTTCATTTAAAAATATAAAATCTAAGGAGTCTCCTATCTGTCCTGGTGCAGCTGGCCCCTCACACGTACTGCTTCTTCTTGGTGGCTGCCTTGCTCGCCAGGTCCTTGGCTTTCTCCGTAGCAGCCAGAGCTGTTTCCTTGGCTTTCTCAGTTGCTTCCTTGGCTGTCTCCACCAGTGTTTTGGATGGAGCTTCTCCTACAACATGGAAGCTGTTAACCCCACAGGCGTGCCGGCTGGACCGGCCCTGACACTGAGGCACTTCCCCACGCAGGGAGGAAGATGAGCCCGGCCTTCCTGACCCCAGCACGTCCCGGGGGGAACCACAGGCACGTGACTGTGGCCATGTTCCACCCCCTCCTGCACTCCACCCTTGCCCTGCCCTGCAATCACTGCTGGCCTGATCCACTCAGGAAGAGCAGGCTGTGCCAAGATGCAGGGCAAAGGCAAGGGGTGAGGATTTCACAGTCAGATTAGTTCAAGCAACAACCTGCCCATGGACTGGAGTGTTCCCAGTGCGACCTCTAACTCCAAGAGACCCATCCCGGTCAGCCCCAGCCTGCCCTTGGTGCCCACCTTGCATTTTTGCTAGCACATATTCAAATCCCTTAGTGCTCTTGGTCACGTTGCTTTTGAACCTGGCCAGACCAAACTCCTGCAAGAGAAAAGTCAGTGAAGGTGTGAGCTCTGTCACACACAACCCCTAGGGCTTTGTCCCAGCTTGAAAAATCACAGTGACTTCCACAGTGATGGTTCTGGGTGCTGAGGATGGGGGGGGAACAATGGGAAAGGGTGTAAAACCAGCACAAGGAAAGGGTATAGCAGGGGCAAACAGCAGCTTTACTGCCTGAAAAATCACAGTGACCTTCACAGTGATGGGTCTGGGTGCCTCAAGAGCTCGCGAGGATGAGGGGGAACAATGGGAAAGGGTGTAAAACCAGCACAAGGAAAGGGTAGAGCAGGGGCGTGCAGCAGCTTTACTGCTCGAGCTCACCTGGATGGCCCGCGAGACGCCAAATAGGCTGGAGGATACCCAGGCTTCCCGCTTGACCTCGGTCCAGTTGCTGTTCTCGGGGTTCACCCGGTACTCGCAGCGCTCCTCCACCACCTGCAGGAGGCACAGCCCGGCCGTGGGCACCGCGGGGTCCCCTCCACGCCCCCCCCAGCCCAGCCCAGCCCAGCACCCACCATGAGACGAGCGTGGTTGATGTTCCAGGTGAATGTGGTCATGGTTCGGTTCTTGGGGTCCACGATAGAGTCCTCCAGGATGTAGACGGAGTGGGCGACATTGGCTGGGAAGAAGCGCTCTGCCCAGCGCGGCATCCGGTTGGTCTTGGTCAGGAGCCGCCGAGAGAGCAGCTTGTGGTCCGGCGTCACCTCCCGGTGCACGATGTCTTCGGTCAGGACATGTTTGCTAAAATGGGGAAGAAAACATCACGCCCTGCTCCTCGCCAGCTCTCCCGCGGGGCTGGCAATCGCCAGGAGCTGAGCGATTAAAGCAGGGAGGAACCAACTGCGCGCCGGGACACCCATCCCCGCCGGCTGGAGCCCGCGGGACCCCGGGGGACAGGGCTGGGCCGGGCACCGAGCCCAGCAGGGACCGGGGGGCGGGGAGGGCCCCGGCGCACCTGTAGGGGTTGGGGTAGCGCTGCCAGAAGGCGGCGAACACCTGGTCCCAGGGCCCCTTGAGGACGCCCAGGCTGGCGCAGTATTTCCCCATGGCCCCGGCCGGTGCGGCCCCGCCCCGCGGCGGCGGCGGCGCGAGGATGAGCGGGAGGCGGGTGGACGCCAAGGTGGTGCTGCTGGGGCAGGAGGGGGTGGGCAAGAGCAGCCTCGTGGAGCGCTGCGCCCACGGCCGCTTCCGCGCCGGGCCCTACCAGAACGTGAGTGACACACCGGCGCCCCCCGCGTCTCCCGAGCCTCCCCGGGATGAGCCCCTCGCGCGGCGCCCCCGCATCCTGCCCGTTTCCGCGCCGTGGCCCCGGGATGCTGCCACCCGCGTCTCTGGACGGCGGCCCCTCGCGTTGTCCCCCCGTGTCCCGGTGGGACCCGCCACGTCCCTCCCGCCCCCGCGGGTCGGTCCCTTCGTTTCCTCACCTCTCTCCGCACGCCCCGGGGTGAATTCCCGCGTGTCCCTGCGCCGGTTTCCGCCGTGTTCCCAGGCCGGGTGCCCCCGCATCCCCGGGCCGGTTCCCACCGCTCCTCCTGCTTCGCTTGCAGACGATCGGAGCCGCTTTTGTGGCCAAGGTGATGACCGTGGGCGACCAGACGGTGACCCTGGGCATCTGGGTGAGTGCAGCGGCGAGGGCTGTGCCAGCGCCCCGCTGACAGTCCTGGCCACCCCTGGTGAGGGAGCCCTGGGACCCTCCGAGCGCTGTGACCTGCCTGTCGCCCCCAGGACACGGCGGGCTCGGAGCGCTATGAGGCCATGAGCCGCATCTACTACCGGGGAGCCCGGGCTGCCGTCGTCTGCTACGGTAAGGGCATGGAGAACGGGAAGGGGAAGGAGCTGGGGAAGCTGTGCCTGTGGCTGCAAAGGGCCCGGGCCGGGGTGGTGACACCGGTGGGTCGGGCACTGAGGAGCAGCGTCAGCAGACCCCGATTCCTCTCCCCAGATCTCACCGACAGTGGCAGTTTCCAGCGAGCCAAGTTCTGGGTGAACGAGCTGCAGAACTGTGAGGAGGTGCGGGGGTCTGGGGGCTCTGAAGCCTCCCCAGAGGACAAGGGGGCTGCTGGTGGGACGTGGGCACACCCCACCAACCCTTTTCCTGCCGCAGGGCTGCCGGATCTACCTGTGTGGCACCAAGAGCGACCTGCTGGAGGAGGACAGGAGGAAGCGGGGGGTTGACTTCCACGATGTGCAGGACTACGCTGATGGTACGGCCGGTGCTGGCCCTTCCCGGGCTATGAGCACTGAGCGGGTGGGGAGTGAGGCAGGATTGAGCTGCTGTGTCCACAGCAGGAGCTCTGCCCTTGCCGTGGGCCCATAGCAGATCCAATGGCACCAGGGCTCCCTGTATGGTGAGGCACCGGCTCTGCCAGGGACCTCCCTGGGCACAGCGTGTCCTGACAGCGGCAGGCACGTGGCCAGCTGGGCCAAGGGGCCGGGAGCCCTGCCCTGTGTCCCTGCCAGCCTGCTGTCAGCAGCTGTGCCCCAGGGGTGACTCTGGGGGCAGACATGCCCATGGAGCTGTATCTGCTGAACCTGCAGCAAGTGCCAACCTGGGCCCTCATTTCAGAGATCAAAGCAGACCTCTTTGAGACCTCCAGTAAAACGGGACAGAGCGTGGGTGAGTAGCTCCTTGCTGGGGCCGTGTCCTGGCTGAGCAGGGCTGGGGGCTCTGCCTGGCAGGGGGGCACCCACACTTTCCATGCCTCCTCTCCCCCAGATGAGCTGTTCCAAAAGGTGGCCGAGGACTATGTCAACTTCTCCGCCTTCCAGGTGATGACAGGTGAGTAGGCAGGACGTGTCCCTCCCCAGACACCCTTCCCTGTGCCTCTGGGTGCAGAGCACAAGCTCTGGGGGTCTGGCAGTGCTCCCCTTGGGGCTCCTGTGGCTCCGTGCCAGGGATTGTCTCAGAGAGTTTGAGTTCCATCACAGCATCCCCATGCCTGCTCAGGCCAGGCTCAGCACATCCACCCAGCTGGCTCATGGTGGCATTTCAAAGCCAGGAGCCTTGCTGGGCTGCACGACTGGCTCAGCTCTGCACCAGCCCTGCCCAGGCATGCTCAGCCTGGCTGTGCCTCCTGCCCTGGGCTGGGCCGTGCTGTGTGAGCTGTGCCATGGCCCTGAACCTCGCCACTTCTCCACGGGGCACCAAACCCTCCCCAGGGGACCTGCCGGGGCCCACACCTGGGACCAGCAGCTTTGGTGGCGTGGACGTGCCAGCAGCCTGCTGCTCCTGCTCTCTTCCAGAGGACAAGGGTGTCAACCTGGGCCAGAGGAACAGTCCCTATTTCTACAGCTGCTGCCACCACTGAGCCCCTGTGCCAAAAGGGAATTGCTGCTGCTGGACGGGCAGCTGGCGCTCACCGGACTCCTCCGGTTTTTTACCTGCTGTGTTTTAGCTGTTGGGGCCTGTGTGCAGCACAGCTACGGACTGCTCTCCTGGCACACAGAGCGGCACAGGGCTGCCGTGCAGTGCCAGGAATCATGGACTGTCACTCTGGGGACCCCCTCCCTGCCACCTGTGGTGTTTATGGGAGCTGTGGTGGCCCAGCGGTGGCCAGTAACTTATTCTCTCAGAGATGCTCGATTCTTTGCAGATTTATTTAAGCGTCTTCTCTCGAGGTGTACAATGTAAATAAAACGCGTTGTGGTCTGAGCCGTACCCCTGCGCGAGGCCGTCAGGGCTCTCCCTTCCCTGCCTCCCCCCACTCAGCAAGACAAACCACAAGAGGACATCGAGAGTAAAGTTAAACTTTACTTTACAGTAATTTTTCTTCTATATACAAAGAATTACAGTACATGTTCTGGGAGCACCTGGGCAGGGCAACCCTCTTTTCATGATAAGTTTCACATACACAGCCAACAGTCTAAGGGGAGCAAAATGAAAGTAATCAATGGTCCAAGACTCTCCCCTCTCCCTCTTCTAAAAATAATATACATGCTGGAAATATGTAGTTTACTCTCACCTGCTCTGGCATTCCTTCTTACAACTGACAGATGACTCCTGGCCAGGGCTGAGCACCCCCTTTGTCCCCCCTGCAGTGCTCTGGCGCTGGCATCTGCCTTGGCTGGGATCCTTGACTCCTGATGTGTTTCCCTCTGCCTGAGCCTGCACAACAGGACCCTGTGGGGGACCCCCATTCACCACCACCCCATGGGCAGCAGACCTCAGATGGGAAGGAAGGCAGCGTGGGGCTGCTCACACCAAGGTTCTTCCCACGAGCAAACCTCTCACTCATGGCTCCAGCACGAGTTATGCTGCTGCCATGAGTCCCCACGTCCCTGGGCAGTGAGGAAGGGGCAGTGGGCAGCCACCCTCCCCGGGGCCCTCGGCCAGCTGGCAGCCAGGACCCCAGCTGGGAGCACACAGTGCTGGAGGGTGGCAGGGGACAGTAACAGCGAGGCACGGTGCCCAGCATGGTCAGTGTCTTGGGGGTGAGCAGGCTGCTGGGGCAGTGAGCTCAGCACCACGGACACACAGGGCTGGGAGTGCCACTGCTGGAAGCTCGCAGGGAGAGCTGCTCCCTGCCTGCCCCTGCTGCTGCAACACATCTCACCTCCCACCCACGCCGGGGCCACCCTCAGCTCCAGCCCTGCTCCACCTTGAGCCTCCCGGTGCTTGCTGCTTTTTCTTTTAACAAGTTCCCAGTGTCTACAAAAAATACACAAAACCCAGTTCCTTGAAGTCAACAACTCGGAAACATCAGAAAAAGAAACAAAAACTGAAACCAGCTCAGTACCAAACGGACACGAAGAACATGCAGTAGCAGATGCCTGCTTGCTTCACGTGGCTCCACGGGCTCCCCACGGGGCTCAGTGGCACACCGGTTTAGTCTCAAAACCACCATAAACTGAAGGAACCGAGTCACTCCTTGTCCTGTTTCAGTCACACGTGCTGAAGCCCGGCCCCAGCTCCAGGGGGATGGGATCAGCTGGCCAAGAAGCCCCAGCCCGTGGGCCAGGAGCCGTGAGTCCAGCCCTACTGTGCTAAGCTGCCAACGGGTTTACAATAGCACCACAATAGCCCAAGGGCTCTGCCAAGGGCAAACATGATTAAAACTTTACCTTGAAATAGGCCATAGCAACAGCCATTTCTCAGATTTCCCTAGGAGGTAGATTCAGTGCTGTAGGGACTGTCCATCACTGCTGCTCCTCCAGCCCGAGCTCACACAATCTGTCCTGTTTCCCCGGCACCAAACTTTGCTTACATCACTTCTGTAGGACCCTGAGCAGGAATCTTGCATCCTCCCCTCTCCTGCTAAGCAAGGGCACTGCCAGCCCACAGGCAAGACTCCTGCTGAAGTGGCAGAGCAGCCCCCAAGCTCCAGTGTCTCGTGTCCCAGGCCCTGGGAGCCCCAAGCACCCATCAGCCCAGCTGTGCTGCTGCAGGAGGAGCAGCCTTGGCTGCAAATGCTGCCACCAGCGTTATCACTATCACAGGAGGGTGGGTAATTAGCGAGGGCAAAGCCTGGGAGATCAAACACAGCATCCCCCCATACTTTCAGAGTAGCTGCACGATTTGCCACTTTGCTTTAACACTCACTGGCTAGCAAAGGCCAAAAGCCTCATCAGTAATTTAGGGCAAAGCACATTACAAGCAGGTTACAATTATGGTTATTCCAAACATCAAGCAAAATCAGAAGTTAAGGCTGAAATTAAAAATAAACAGAAGATGTTGAAGGTCTGAGGTTTCTCAAACTCCCCCTGCCCTGTCACAACGATGGCTGTGGTGTCCAGATACGAGCTGGGCACACCCAGAGCACGATCAGGGCTAACACACTGCCAAGAGCACCAAGCTAGGGCTGCTTTTTCTTTCTCTTACGTTTTTTGGTTTTTTTTCCTGTGAAACTAAGCTGAAGCTTTTCTAGCAAATGCACTGTCTCACCTTAGTTCTTTAATGTCCTTTACATTCAATCATCTCTCTTATCTCCCGAACTTTAACACCAGCCACACCTTCAGAGCCTCTGCCTGCAGGGGTTTAACCCTGAATTAACACGTGCTCCCACAGTACCACCCAGATGCTTTGTGTATTGAAGTGACTGGTTCCTGTGGAGCTTTTTTTTGTTAAATAGGAAAAGTTTAACTGGAGAACAGCAATAAAGCAAGTTGCCATGAGCTAATTTGCATCTGGAAACGTGCAGTAGGTGAGCTGATTATTCCTTACAGTGATAACTCTCCTGGCTAGATTCACCAGAGCCCTGGCTGACAGTGGGCACTGGGGAAGATGGAACAAGCCACGCAGAACAGTGGCCGGTGCACGCTCCCCTCCTGCCCACACATCCCACACGTCCTGTGGTGGCTCCTCCTCTGCAGCCCTCATCCCGACAGGGCACAAGCCCTGACCATGCTGTCACCCCTCATCAGAGCCCCTCTGTCACAAAGGTCTCTCCTGCCCACTAACGTGGGTCCTCTGGTGGGGTGGAGGCCACAGGCCACTGCTGACCCCAGCCCACTGCTCTGAGCAGGGCAGCAGCTATCCTGGCAGCAGGGATGTTGACCAGCAAAGTATTCACACAGCGGAAGAGCCTGCATCCCCTTCAGAAATGGGAAGAGGGAGCCACTCCTACCAGGAATGAGTGTGGAAAATTCCTGTGAGCCATCGTGGAACACCAGGGAAGGGACAGAGATAATTACACCCTTGATTCTGCTTCTACAGTGCTCCACACACCAGTGAATCAACACAGGAGTCACCTCTCACCACCTTGGGTGCAATTAGGGCTGACCCAGGACTAAGGACCAGGTGACTGGATCCCTCCAACACAGCAAGAGAGCAGCACAGCCTTGGCACGGAGCTGTTGCACAGGTCTGAGCCCAGCAGGAGGCTGCAGCAGTGTCTCCCACAGTCTGCCAGGGGTATGAGTTACTTTGTCTCTACCCTCTACTTTTAAAATCCCTCGTGATTCAAACTGGCTGAATTCTGAAGGCAGCAACAAATGGCAACAAACAAACCCAAATGCTTCAACGCAGACACGTCCCTCTCCTCCTCCAAGGGCTGCCAGCTGCCACCACAGTGAGTCACCTTGACTACAGAAGATGCCCCTACTTCCTTCACCAGGGTTTTGCTGCCTGAAGCTGTTCATGCTCCCTGATGATGGCAGGCTGGACAAGGGCAGGGCTGATGGTCTCTCTACAGCTGGTCAGGCCTTGTGTATGTGACCCAGAAAAGCCCAGAGACTCCCAAAAGCACCACTACTCCCTCTGAAAAGCCCTCCTGATCTCATGGAACATCAGCCAAGGCTCCAGCAAGAGCAAAGAGGGAGGAGCAGCTTCCTGGCTTCCTTCAGTGATGCTCCTCAGCACCAGCCAAGCAGCCTCCTAGCTAAGCTGAACTCAACTTCCCAACAGCAGCTGCAAGATAAGAAGCCAGAAACCTGGATCCTTGTGGAAAAGGGAGACAAGAAGAGAGAGGGGGTACAGTAGCTGCAGCAAAGTAGGCTGTGGAAAATGCCATGCAATGGTTTGATCCACATTCACTGTTCCAAACAAGCTTTTGGGTAAGCACCTGCTGGCATGAAAGGTGGCTGCTGCCATGAGCCTCATCTTGCCATGTGAGCCCGCGATTTATAGAAGTGATTTTTTTCAAACCTGCTCTTGTGAGAATTCGCTGAGAACTTCTCCATTTTACAGATTTAAAAAAGCCTGCACCAAAAATATTCACAGTTTATTTTTTCATGAAACAAGTAACTAGTTAACACGTGACAATGCGAAGCAGAGGTGGACAGAGCAGTGCAGAGACCTCTCTGGTTACAGTGGGAGCTAGCTGGGTGCTGGCACTGAGGAAACCCTACTTACACAATCTACATGACTAAGTCCAGCTCATGGGAAGGCTTATAAATGTAAATTCAAGATTTATTTTCCTTCTCACACATGATAAATACTTAATATACTGAACGCCATAATTATTTTTTAAATTTTTGTTTAAAAAACCTTAATGAATGCCCTTAAGGTAATCTTCTCTCTCAATGGATCTGAGTTGTCCTGATTCCCTTTGTGGAGGAGTCACGCAGAAATGCAAGCTGCTTGCATTTCCTTAGTTTCAGCAGCAAGCAGGAACTGACCTGCCAGTCTTCCCAGAAAAAAAACAACATTAAACAAGAAAGTTTCCATAAGCCATAAAGCTTTTCCAAGTTGTGAGCTATTCTACAAAGGATCTGAAATGATTCGGACTAGAGGAGAGATAGCACTGGTAATGTCCCCTTGTGCCCAGCACACCCGGCCTCTACAGCAGGACGTTGTCTCAGGGTGCACACATCAGGAAAGGAGAATCAGGATTTGTCTTGGTACAGGTGTCTGCCTCCCTTCATAGAAAACTGCAAAGCTCAAGACCGTCTGCTCTGGGAGCAGCAGGCACTCGCAAGCCAGGTGGGAACAAGGACCTGCTCCCATGTTGGAGGAAGGAGGTCAGCATGGGGCTGAACTCTCCCTTCCTGGGGAGGGGCCTGTGGATCTGCCTGGAAGGAGAAGGAGAAGGATACACACACTGGAGCTGCGCAAGGGTCTGGCGGCGGCACGGAGATCCGAGGCTGTGGCCCCAGACTGGTGGAGCTCAGGTAATTACAGAGGTAATGTGTTGTGAGAGTGGGAAAAAGCTGGTCAGCAGCGTTTCCTCGGCAGGACACCAACCCTATCCAGGCCAGGCAGTGCCACCAAAGGAGGTCTGTCCTCCTCCTGCCTGCGAGGGTGCCGGTGGTCACAAGATGCTGCAGGTCCCTGGGACTCTACTGCCTGCCCCACGAGCACCACAGCCAAACCAACTTCTGCCTCAACGCTTGAGTGAACGGCTTTCAGCAGGCCTAGTCTGGACACCAGCCCGATGACCACCAGGTACTAAACATCGCCTTCACTGTAAAAGGGAGAAGAGAAAAAAAGAAAGCCAGGCAGCTGCTGGAGCCCACCGTGTTCCAGTGTGAGAACTACAATTCAGTTGGATGGACGCACACGCGCACACACACATGCACACCAACACAGTCCAGTTAATTCAAGTCTCCTTTGGTTGTAGAAGGGTTAAGCCAGAAGCTACACAAAGGGGAAGGTGTTGAGATGGGTCCCGATCCAGCTACGCCACCCTCGCCTCTGAGCAGTGAGCAGGACAGGCTTGGCTTGCTGCTGGCAATACCAGGTGCGATGGGAACGCGTCCTGAACACATCTGAGGCAAAGGGAGAAGGGACTGCTCAGTCCGCTGGCTCACGCTGACAACAGAGGTCTAGAAGAGACTGGATGGAAATTTGAAAGGGAGCACTGTCCCCCTGGCAGGGCAGTGCTCAGCACCTCCAGGAACCCACTCTGCTCTGCTCCGCTACTGCTGCTTTATGGGTCACTACGTTGTCAAGTGCAGGAAAACACTCCGCGCATCCTGTGCTAAAGGATTAGGACACAAGAATGAAAAATCTCCCAGATGACTTCTTCCAAGATCTCTCTTTTCCCTGACTTCCTCCAGATTTCCTGCTTCTTGGGCCTGGCCAGTCGCAGCTCTGTAAAAAAGGAGCCTGAATGGATACTGCCTATTGCTGAAGAAAACTGCACAGAGCGAGTGCAGGAGCTCCTCTCCCATCTCACTGGAGATGATCCCTGTCCTTGAGCAAACCACACACACAGCATGTCCCAGTAAACACATGGACAAACCTCGTAAAGCAACGCCCTGCAGGGACACAGACCTGGGCAGGTGACATAAAATCCCTTCCCTGCTTCTGGAGTCTGGTAAGGACATACACCTGACTGCTCACCACATGATCCCTGAAACATCTCCAGTGGCAGGGCAGCCTGACTGATCCATTTTCTTTAAATGCAGTAACAAGAGCAAGGCCCTGGCTGTGCCTAAGAACTCACCTACAAATCAAACCTGGAGCTTGAACATGCTGGATCAGTAATGTGACCATTTCAATGGAATTGGAGATTTTTACCCAGAGTGGACTCTTTATTTCAGCTTTACCATTTGTAAAAGGAAGAGGAAAAGGTCACGGATGCTCTCTCCCTCTGGCTGGGCCAGACTCAAGATTTAAGAGAATGTCCTTGCTCACGTCACAAGAGAATATGGATGGGATGTGCATGGGTTAGGGGCTGGGCTCAGGGAAGTGAATAAAAAAAACAAAACAAAGATTCCCCCTCCCTAAACATTAAACGACTTGAGACCTGCCTCCCATATTCACCAACCTCACTTTGGCTCTGAGTCAGCCAACTCACGACAGACAGAATCCTGGTTACGGGCTAGCGCTGTGTTTTGTTCAGGCAAAGGGTCCTGCCCCCGAGGAGTCTGTGCTTTTCCACTCAGCCAAGTAATCTGATCAATTGTCTGAACGTTCGTGACAAGCCACTCCATCTGCTCCGGGGGCACCGGCGCTTCCCTGGCTGGCCGAGGGGTCTGCTCGAATGCACACAATCTCTCTGATGTCCACGGGGTCTGCTCCGAGGGGGCTGAGGCCACTTCCCAGCTGGGCTGAAGGGTTGGCTCTGGTAGTTTCTCTGCTGTCCGGGAAGGCTGCTCCGCAGGCGTCAGGGTTTTCGTGGTGGACCAGTGGCTTTGCTCGTGCGTCTGTAGTTTCTCTGTAGGCCAAGGTACTTGTCCAACCTGTGTCACCACCTTCCCAGCAGACCAAGAGATTTGCTCCCCAGCTAACATGGTCCTCTCTTTCTGCTGGGGACTCAGCTCCATGGCTGGGGCTCCTCTCTCCTTGAGCTGAGCGTTCTGGTCGACGGGACGCAGCGCCTTCTCTGACAGCAACAGCCTGGGAGCTGATGCAGCTAGAGGCTTGTCTAAGGCTTGAGGCCGAGGAGCCACAGCAGGAGCCAGCTTATCCGATGCCTGAGGCCAGGATACAGGGGCTGTAAGAGTGAGAGGCCTCTCCAAGAGCTGAGACCGAGACACCCCAGAGCTGAGAGCCTTTTCCAAAGGAAGAACCCGCAGGGCCCCGGAGTCAGCAGCCTTCTCCGGAGGAAGGGGTCGCAGCACCCCAGGGGAGAGAGACTTCTGTGTGAGCGGGATCCGAAGGGCCCCTGAGCTGAGACCCTTCTCTGTGGGCAGGACCTGCGGTGACCGGGAGCCAGGGGCCTTCTCCGGAGACAGGGACCATGGCAACCCTGAGCTGGGAGCCTTCTCTGTGGGCAGGATCTGAGGCATACCCGAATCAGCAGCCTTCTCTGGAGGCAGGGGACGGGGTGACCCAGAGCTGGGAGACTTCTCTGTGTCTGAGACCCGCACTGTGCCAGAGAAGGAAGCCTTTTCTAGAGGCGGGGATTGTGGTACTGCTGATCCAGGAGCCTTCTCTGAGGGCAGGACTCGTGAGACTGGGGAGTCTGGAACTTTTTCAACGGAAACAGACCACAGCACCTCAGGACTGGAAGCCATCTCCAACGCTGGGACCTGCGGCACCACAGAGCTGGAAGCCTCTTGCACAGCCTGCAGCTGCGGACTCTGGGCAGAGGAGTCGTCCAGCGGCTGGAGCTGATCGGCCTCAGGAGGCTCATCCTCCGGCTGGGACTGCAGCATCCCCACCGTGGCGAGGAGTCTGTCAGACAGTGGAGGATGCAGGCATTTCACGGGGAACTCATCCAGCAGCTCGGGCTGCTGGGCCCTGCTGTCAATGAGGGGCTTGTCCGATAACTCCAAAACCTCGGGGGCATCAGGAGTCTCATCTGCCAGCTGGAGCTGCAGGTCAGCAGCAGTAACAAGTGACTCATCCAATGGGGACTGAGGTGATCCTGGGGGAGATTTGCTCGGCAGCTGAGGCTGCGAGGCGTCGCTGGAGGCCTCGTCCAGCGGCCAGAGCACCGCGTTGCTGGGAGGTTTGTCGGGCTGCTGAGGCCGCAGCGCTACAATGATGGGCTGCTTCTCTGACTGCAGCCTCAGGGACAGGGCAGCCTGGGGCTTGTCTGATGGCTGCAGGCGGAGCGACAGGGTGGTGGGAGGTTTGTCCGAAGGCTGAAGCCGCAGCGAGAGGGTGGTGGAGGGTTTGTTGGATGGCTTCAGCCTCAGTGACAAGGTGGCGGGGGGTTTATTTGACGGTGGCAGTCTCAGAGCCAGGGTGGCAGGTGGTTTGTCTGGTGAAGGTAGCCTGAGGGCCAGGGTGGTGGGGGGCTTGTTTGATGGCTGCAACCTCAGGGCAAGGGTGGTGGGGGGCTTGTCTGAAGAAGGCAGCCTCAGCGCTAGGGTAGCAGGGGGCTTTTCTGGTGACTGCAGTCTGAGGGCCACAGACTGAGGTAGGCTGTCCAGGGGCTGAACACTCAGGTCTGTGTCTGCCTCTGTTTCTGCAGGCAGCTGCTCTGGTGGCTGGGTGTCCTCACCGTTAGTCAGGCCTTCTATGGGAGGTGCATACTCACGAATTTCTCCTGGCTCTAGAGGGTGAGGCCCACAGGGATCATGTTCTGTGCAGCACAATCGTCCATCCAGCTTGGAGATGAAGAGCATTCCTTCCCGGTGCTGCTTGCAGAAGGACCTGGGGCACATCTCGCAGAACGAAGCTGCTTCCTTACCACACACGTCACACTGATGCCACGGGCACTCCCACTTTCCTGCAGCATGGACATGGGAGAAAAGACACACTTCAGGAGTAGGACATGGGCAAGAGACAAAGGCCTGCTGCAAAGGGAGTTCAGGGGAAAGTGAGAACACTCCTGTAATACCCACATACAATTCTACACGTCCTCTTCAGTTTCCGCCTTAGCTTGACAGGCAATTAACATCAATCTGCATTCTCAGAAGCAGCAAGGGCAATGACAATCATGACAAACACAAGCCACATCAGCTCAGACCAAAAGCCCATCTGGCTCCTGCACAGCACTGACCAACAGAGGTGTCTAGAGAGGAGCAGACATCCCCAGTTTGCACATCTCTGTAGCTCTGATTTTCATAGAGAACAGCAGCGGTTATCTGTGCACAACACCCAAAGGACTTTTTAAGCTAACATGTCAGATTCATCTATTAATTCTGGGTCAGAAACCTCCCTTCCTGTTTTTTAGAAAGAAGAAGTGAGAGAGCAGTGATCACAAGGGCTAAGTTCCTATTGTCTCTGAAGCCAAAGGCACATCCTTAACCTCTGGCCATCTATGGCCACGATAAAGCAAAGCTGCTCCCCCAGCAGCTCCATCTTCACAGTGAACCTACTGACCATCAGTGCCAATACCACCAGTAGGCAAAACACAGCATTACACTTCAGACATTGCTGCTTTTCTCACTTGTAGATGATCTCACTGGCTCAGCCTCCTGCTCCCTCAGCCAAGGCTGTGTCTGGCTCTACCAAGTGCTTCCAGTTCGTGGACACAACCAGGTACACGCTGAGCCCCTGAGCACAGGATGAGCAAAGCTGTTTTTCCAAATACACCTGTGCCTCTGTGCTCTCCCAGCTCCCCACACCCCCCCATCTCTCCAGCTCCCTGCCTTGCTGTGGGGAGCAGCTCCTCAGAGAGCAGCCCCGACACAGAGCCCTGAGCCAGAGGGCAACCACGGACACCAGCCAGGCCAGAGCACTTCCCAGCCTGGCTGAACCAAGCCCACAGACCTATGGCTACCAGCTCCTTTCCAAGGAGGCTGGTTCCTGCAGAACAGCACTGAGCAGCTGTGGGCATTGCTCCCTGGAGCTGTGCAACAGCAGCTCTCCACTCCCCTCTCTCACGCTGCTTTTCCCCTGGGGTTGAAGGCAACACGTAGTAACTTTTTCCCCTCCTTTGAAGCCAGTCCAAGGATTCTGTTCCAGTCTCAAAATATGCACTCTGCTTTTATGTATCTTTTCCAATTTTTCAGCATTTTTTTCCAAGTGAGGATGTTTAACACTTCCCATGGTCTCCCCTGTTCCTGGCTCATGCTGCTGCAGCACAGGCTGTCACTGCTCCCCCTGCACCAGCAGCATCCCAGAGAGCCACACAACACTGCCAAGACCCTGCGACCACTCTTATAGAGGTCATTTGTACAGATGGAAAATAAAAAAAGTCAAAACCTGATCCTTTGTTGCAGAAAGGATAAATCCTTTCAAACCACTCTAATGGTCTTTGACAGGATAAAAAGGTCTAATGAATAAGCACTCTCTCCAGGGACAGCCCAGAGCTCTTGGAAGTAAGATCACACAATTAGCAAACATGCAAACAAGCAGGAAATTCCAATTACTTGACAGCAATGCCCATGGCAGAGGAAACATTTGAAGTAGAAAGTGCTGAACCTTTCATGTCCTGAATGATACTCCAAGGAGCAGGGTATGAAAATCACTGCCTATGTGTAAAAAGAGTAAAATTGCTACAACTGACTGAAAATTATTCTCAAAAAACAGTTATTAATGGTCTTGTGGCAAACTGAGGAGGCATTTCAAATTACATCCTTCAGGAATGTATTTTAATCTGTACAATAATTTAAATTTCTGAAAGCAGAACAGCAAATACTCTTACAGATACAGGTAGATAACATCGAGCCTGTAAGGGACTGAAAAAATCCAGTTGGACAGGCTCAGAATTTAAACTGGACAAATGCTCTTGCACCAACAAGGTGTAATTAAATAAAGACAGGTGCAAAACAGGATTGCAAGAGCAAGAAATAAATACGAGAAAAGGATCAAGATGAAAACTCAAGAAGGATAAAGCAAACCATCAACATCACATCAATATAAGTTATTTTTTGCAAAAGAAGTAAAACATAATTTCCGAAGAAATTTTATGTAAAAACCAAAATATAATTATTCTTTTCTGTCAGAATAAGCAAGGCCTCAGCTGCAATGCTGCTAAAATACTTGTTTCCAGTTTTAAAAAAAAAGTGTAGGCAAGTGGGACATGGTCCAGAGTAGATCAAGAATAAAAACTTCAGGCTATGTTTGTACAAGCCAGAAAAGGACTGAGACAACAATCTTGCACTATATAAAAAAATGTATCAGAGAGCTGGCAATTCTTTGTGTTTTTAAGTCAGGCTGTTAGGAGAAACTTTGCAAATGGAAAGTAGGCGAGCAGGCTGGAGGCTGGCCTGTAGTTTTTGAGTATTTTTTTATTTCAATTTTTGTCCTCATGTCACACATACTAAATATGCTTTGGTACTGCTCTCTTACTTATGAACTAATGGGTATTCAGACAATTAAGAGATTCTTTTCTAACTCCTATTTTCCAGCATCGCTTCTCCTCACCATTCAACTCACAATTGTCTTCAACTTTGGGTAAACAGCCAGTGTGATGACCAATACCTCAGCTATTGTTTGGATTATGCTCTGCAGCCCCAAGAATGGGGTCAATTCACAAGCACCACCTCTTAGGCAAGGACCAGCTCCCCTTTCAGCAACTAGTTCACCTTTTTGCAGTCACAGTGGGGTGCAAACCAGGGCTGGGTTGGTTGGGCAACAAGATCTGTTCAAGTGAGAAGGATTTCTCTAAACGTTACGAAGCTGTGAATAGAAGGCAAGGTCACCCAGAGCCAACACTGTGAGCCAAGCAGAGCACTGACCTGCAGGTCTCTTGGTCAGGTTGAGGCAGTCAGCGTGGTACACCTTGGGGCAGCCTGACTTCTTACAAGAGACCAGCTGCCCGCCGTCCCCGCAGCTGAAGCACTCGTCCTCCCGCTCCTTCATCACCTCCGCCTGCGACCTGCGCTTCATCTGCGGCCGCCTCTTCAGCTTCTTGGACTTCTCCTCGCTGAGACTGGGCTGGCTCTGGGGGTGAAAAGATGTTGGTTAACATCCACCTGCTCCCTTCCTGCTGCAAACCCTGCTGACACAAATCCCACTGCCAGCTATACCTGGGACCTGTGCAGCATCTCTAGTGCTGCTCGGTATTTGGCAAGCAAGTTAATACAGCAAAAAGCTCCCAGTTATTTTGAAAGAGCCTGGAAGTCATGCAGCAAAGCTTGACTGGATATGGGATTTATCTAACTAGCAACAGCAGAATGAGGAGCTGGGGCTGCCTGGTGTCACTGAGCTCGTGCCACCTCTCCCAGATCTTCAGGTCAAAGTAGTCAGGTGTCCTGGCACCCATGACTCACAGAATCTATTCAGGGCCTTCCTGCACTTTTTCACATTCATCACTTCCCTCTCCAATTTCAGTATGAATTTATCTGTCATCAGTTTAGACCTATTTGTTCTTGTGTCAATGGTGTTCTTTTGCACCAGAATCACAAAATCTTTACAGCTGGAAAAGACCTCCAAGATCATCAAATTCAACATTTGAAGCTTTTCTGTCTCCCTGAAGAAACCTCTAGGACACACTCTCCTGCTTGCAAACTGAAACTTTCACAGTCTACACACTCAGTCTTCCCAGTGGCTTTTCTCTGCCCTTGAGTACATTTGTCCCAAAGTAAAGTTACAGAATTACACATGCTACCTCAGATAACACCTCTCATACAAAGACAAAAACACTTAGCCAAAAGAACAGGAAATTCCCCCAAAGCACTGCCCCCATTTGCCTTTATTGAGTACATTTGTCCCAAACGAAAGTTACAGAATAAACATGCTACCTCAGATAACACCTCTCATACAAAGACAAAAACACTTAGCCAAAAGAACAGGAAATTCCCCCAAAGCACTGCCCCCATTTGCCTTTTCCACAGCTGTGTCCCACCACAGCTCAGCAGCTGAGCTGCACAGTGCCTCCTTCTCCACCACGACCTTCTCATGGTGGATTTGTTTCTGCTGTTCACTCTCCAGGTGTGTACTGTGGAATATCCAATCTCCATTCCCTCACACCCAGTTATTCCTTTGCAACTGCCCCATCCTCTCACTCTCCCACTCCAATGAGAATTGAACTCTGCATGATCACTATAGTTAAATTATCTGTGTAGTGAAGTAACTACAACTGGACCCAGAACAGGCAACTAAATGGTTCAAGTGCTCTTTTCTCTGGCCTAAGGCTTCCTCCAACCCTGCTCTTCCAACTCCCCCTCCAAGCCAGGCTGAGCCTCCCATTGTGTGGAACACTCAACTCCACAAAGATGATGCTTCTTGCCCCAAGTCCTGACCTTACCAAAGCACCATCACTTTAGTTTATCTAAAGAGACATGAGCTAAATTCTGTGCCATTTTCTACATCTCTTTGTGTTCAAATATGTGTTCTCCATGCAGACATCTCTGTGTGCTGAGACAATGCCTATGAAGCAATTTTTACATCCTTTATTCTTCAAAAGTATCGTGCATAATATTTTCATCACCAAAACATTTAAAAACCTTGGTCTCCAGACTTATAATTTCAGAACTCTACAGTTTGCTATCCAGCTTTCCTGTCACCAAGGAGTTACATCTCTTGATTGTTTCCTTCCCATTCACATGTGGATGTTTCTGCTTTCATACCATCATTCCCCCTGATAATGGGGACAAGCCAGCTCTTCCTTATCACTGAAAATGCAGGCACTGAAATGCCCCCACCTAACCTATGCCCCCGATTTTCAGCGCCTAGTTCCTGGCCATCTAATTACAAAGAGAACAAGAAAATCCCTTCATAGCTATTTTGAAAGTCTAAGAGAGGTCTAACAGCTGGACTAAGCGATTCCCACTTGCTCCCTGCAGTACCACAGACTCCCAAACATTCCTCCACACTCCCGGTTAGAAGGCACTTTTAAGAGTGAACTTGAGTATAATCAGTTTTGTCTTGCTGTATCTTCAGGAAGCTTAAAAATGCATCTATTGTGAGAAGAATACTTTAAAAAAACACCCCAAGGTATTGTTTTCTCGGTACTGTTCTTAGCCCATCTCATCAAGATGGAATGAGAGCCTCAGATATCACAATGGAACATGAATGCCAACTAAAGGGCACCTTTCTCTCATTTCCATCATGCACCTGCAATTTCAAGGCAAAAATGACAGTCAAGCCATGTATAACACAGGGGCAGCACAAAATCAATTGAACTTTAAATTGCAACCCAAAAAGGAGCTAAATACATCAGATGTGCCACTCCCCTCATCTGCCAGCTTCTGAAGACATCAATTTTTTATTTTTGTGAGTTAATTTTTCTGAAGAACTAATCTCTGGAGAATTCATAAAACCTTCCCTATATTTTGATGGGGCTCAACAACTGTGCTGCTGGAGGTTTTTAACCCTTAACTGTGGGCACGGCAGGATCCACATGCCAGAGCAGAGGGATTACAGACTGATTTGGTGAAGCACTTGTAACAAACCAACAGCTGAGACATAGATTTAGCGGGTGACAGCTGGGAACTCGGCCAACTGCTCCTGTTTTTTCCTTTTCCCAGTGAGAACCAGCTCACACAAGGAGGTAATTGAAATCAATTCCTGTTACTGCAACATTACAGTTACAAATCGAAGCCCTCAAAAAGCCAGTGAGCTCTAAAAGCTGGTGGTTTTTCAACTACAGATATGGCAGATTTCTTATGTCTGTCTGATGTGTAAAAATCGGTCCTTTCATTAAAACCAGAATAAAACCAAGAACTTTACTGGAGAATAGATGGTGAAGTAGCAGCCTTTGGCTCTAAAGCAACTTCAGTGTGAAGGAATGTGAGTCTGCTGCCGTTCCATGCATGCTCACAATTTACTTTGGGAGCCTTCACTTTGGGAAATGGGCTGAGCTGTGTTTTCTTGGTTATCTAATGACGTCTTTCCCATGCCTGTTCTTTGCTCCTCCAGTGCTATGGAAAATGTCATGATAAGAAGTAGAAAATTTTTAAAAAAATTTTAAAAAAACACTCTCTTTCTTTTACTCTTTCAGTGTAAAATAAAGCTTCCTGTCGTTATTTATAGCAACTCTGATAACTGAAGACTAAGACTTGCTCTCAGAATGAAAACTCGAATATTTAACTCATTTCAAGCACTGTTCCCATGGCCACACTTAAATGATCTCTTCAACCAGAAACCTCTGCAACCAACGATTGATACACATCTATGCAAAGAGGCAATCTGCAAGAACAAAAGCTTAAAGGAGGCATCATACCTTTGGCCTTACTCCTAGGAAGCCACTGCAGTTTGGGGCACCACATTTACAAACGGTCTTTCCATTTCCCAAACACTCCAGATTGTAGTTGAAAGTCAGCTCAGTCCCTGGCACAAAAGCAGATCAAAACCAAGCAAGTTGTTAATGAATTACACAGTAGAATGTTTTACTGCTAAGGTAAAAGCACTTTTTAAATACAGTGTCACAAATGACTGCCACTACTACACAAGGACACCAAACTATTAATCTCTCCAAAGATCTGTGTAGATTGAAAATTCAGTGCAACCCCTCACCCCTACCACATTTTACAGCTAAAAAGGGCATTGAATCTGTAGCAGGGCCCTGTGTCAGCCTCCACTGATACAACGGCTACATGTGTTTCATTATGTTAGTGCTGCTGCTAAGCCACATGAATACCCCAATGAAAATAAAAATTAAATCTCCTTCCAGATAGCTACAAACCCTCCCTTTTCCTTACAGAACCCCCGAGGCCACTGCAGGCATTGACAGTGTGTTCCTTACCAGCTTTGATATTTACAAGTGCGAAGAGCCCGACCCGAGTGTCACCATTCACACACCACTTCTGAGTCTCACAGTTGGGCTGGCAGCAATGGTTCATGAACCGAGCATAGTTGCCCTTTGGCCCAGCGTCAATGATTCGATCCTGGATTGCAAAAAAAAAACCCCAGAAAACCACATTTCAATCAGCTGTCATCAGCTGCAATCAACCAGCTCTGACGCCTCTGGCCAGTGCTGGCAGATCACACGGCAGCCTCCTGCACATCATCCTCCTCCTCAAAGACACAGGGCTCCCAAACAGCCAGGACAGTGCCACTGTTGCTTTCTGGGAAACAAAGTCTCCCTGTGGCATCAGTACTGGATAAACACCACCCCCACACATTTCCAAGGCAGTGCTTGTGGTTCCAGGCCCCAACTTCTGCTTGAAAGCAAAACAGCAGTTCCTATTTCTTACATGTTAGGGTATGGAAGGAAAACAGGAAGAGTGTGTTAGCTGAGGTACACTGGTGCACAGCTTGTTATGGGGCTGGAGAGGAGAGGGAAGCTGCCACTGAGATTTGCTTTTGTAGTAATGAGGGAGATATTAACACTTGGGTCTGCCCCATCAGCCATACAAGGAGAACAAGATATGGTCAGTGTGAATGTACAGCAGGACGAGGGGAAAGACAAAGCAGCCACTGTTATCCTGTCCCACACTGTAGAGCTTCCTCCCCATGTTTGCTTTCATGGTTTCCTTCTCATCTTTCCATGGCTGAGTGAAAAAGTAGGGAAAGCAGCTGACAAAATCACTTAAACCTCTGAAAACCAGGAGGTTCATAGCAACAACCTCATCTGCAGGACCCACTGGGGAGCCTGTGGGTGTAACTAAATCCATCAATCTACTCAGAACAGCAAGACCTGAGATCTGAACTCAGATGAAGGTCTTCCTGTGCCTATAACTTACATGCCTCTTCTGGCACACACCAACCCTGTTCTGGGCTCTCCAAAGTTCAGCTGCTGGGAAGGATCCCAATGTTCTCAAATTCAGCCTCTTATGCTGAAGTAGGATCTACAGCCCTCAGACAACTGTCCTCAGCTCTAATGAATACACTCAGGCAATGCCTGTTCAGACTTTCCTCCTAACCCTGAAATCCAGCCTGAAGCTCCTCTATTACACATTAATTCATTAGGCATTTCAGAGGAAATGCAGACCAGCTCATCAGCAATGTTTAGCATCTTTTTGCTAGATGGAGTATCATGCCTTCCTTCCCATCTTTTTACTTCTGTTCAGGATGCTGGCAGGAGATTCCTTGCACATACCTTATCCAGTGTCAACATGTAGAAATTGGTGATGTCGTGCTCCTGAGCATAGCGGATTCGGGCCCGGCACTCCTCTTCGTCAATGAGCTCCCCAACATACTCATTAACAAATTCACCCTGCCAGACACAAAACAACAAGTTCATAAGACAAGACAAATTATCTGCAGGATGGAGGGACGTCCACCTTTGTGCTGGAACTTAGCTCCTGTTTCCTTCCTAAAAATCTCTCCCTGTGCTCTGCAGCCAGTTTGGCCTGTAACCTTCACCAAGAGCCCTGAACCATACATCCGTTTCACACGCTCAAATAACTCAAAATAAATTAAATAAAGAACTGTGACCACCAGGTTATTCTTTGTGCCAAAGAAAGAATAAGCATCCAGGGACAGCACAGAAGTTAACCACAAGAACAGCACTTTGCTGCAAAGCTCAAAGCACAGCCCTAATTGCATTCCAGCTGAAAACAATATCCCTTTGGGGACCAACATACGGAGCAGCAGGATGCACCTGGAGCACCTGCTCCTGCAGTGAGTGCAGAAGCTCTCCTGTGGTCAAGTACTCCAGCCATTAAAGAGAAACCCAGCTCTGCTCCAGTGGGGCTAACAGGTCCCCCCACTAAATAACTGAATATTTTCTGTTTCCAGACTGTCTGCTGAAAGTGAAACAAGCACATGGAATGGCAGAGATATCCTTTAACTAATGGCACGGCAGCCAGCAAAGTTTTCAACAGGACAGACTCACATTTTGCCTCTTCTATCAGGGCCTCCCTCTTATCATGTCATCACTACTCCCTTTTCAGACATTCTTCTCTTACTATGCTAATAGTCCTCTGTTTCACTTTATCCTTTATTAGCTTTGGGGTTCTTTTGGATTTAACATTCCTCCTCCTTCATTCAGCACAGATGTGTGTCCAAAGAATTGTTCTTCTTTGCATTTAAAAAACACATACAAGTGTTTTAGGTGGAGATAATCAGTTTCAGCAGTAATAACAGCCATGTCCAAGACACTGCCCTTTTTTAAGTTCCAAGCCCTGTTTTCTGTTTCTGACACAAGATTCTCACGCTGGATAAGCCTGGCTAGTCAACAGTGGGGGGGAGGAATAATCATTGTTCCCCATCTGGAAATCCTGAGCACCATCCCATTGTTCTTACAAGCAGACTGACCAAGCAATCACCTTTCTTACCCTGTGGGACATCAACATGCAAATAATTTTCTCGGTCAGCTGAGCCAAAACAGGAAAGATTAAATCAAATTTTCTTTCTAAATGACATTCTACAGCAAGAAGTCTTCTTCAAACTCACTTTTCAAACCAAGAGCGACCAAGAGAGAAGCGACAAGACGAAACGACACAGAAAGAGCGCAGGTACCTTCCTGATGTCTGTCTTGGCCTGCAAGCCCCAGCCTCGTGCCAGCGTGCGGAAGATCTGGACCTCGGGGTACTGGCGCTTGGAGAAGCACTGGTTCTGGCAGCGCTCTCCAGCAGGACACACCAGGGGGTGGCACTCGTAGAGCAGCATGCGGTTGATGCACTCCGAGTCCAGGCCGCAGGGGTTCTCGTCCGTGGGTTTGCAGTTGCAGCGCGGAATCTCGGACAGGTCTGCCGTGAAGATCTGCACCTTCCCCACCGGCCGGTTCACCTTCAATGCACACGAGGGACATGAGCTCTTGGGAGCTACAGGTTACCCCGACAGGCACTTCTGTACTCCACCCTTGCCTATGAGCTGACGGGCTGTGGTGACTTAGTGACAGCAAAGGGCAGAAGGACACAAGTACAGGCACAGCTGTACTTCTGGGAATGCTATTTCGAGAGGCAGGTTAGAGGAAAGAGCTCAGGAGGATGCAGGTTCCCCATTAGCAGCACCTGGTGCAGTGAATATTCTGCGACCCTTGCAAGGTGAGAGGCTGCCAAGTGTCCCCCTCCCATCATCCAGCTCAAGTGGCCAGCCCAGTGCTCTTGCTGGGCACACAGCATCCCTGTGATCAGCACCAAACCACTTTCTGCATCAAACTGCACCTTTTCCAGTCTGAGTGTCAGGTGCTTTTCCTCAGCTTTCCCTTACTGCCCTGATTTTTGAATGTTACCTTCAAGCTGGTTTGTGCCCTCAGATGTCACACCTGTGACACAAGGCCTACCATGCAGTTACCTCCCTACCCAACTGTCCTGCAGATGTAAATGGAAGCCAAACCAGACAAGGCTGGGGTTGGAAGACACAAAGAGGAGCTCAGAGTTAAGGCAAGGAGCTCTCTAAAAACCGCTCCAGAAGGAAGCAGAGTGCAGCACCAGGTGGAGAAGCGACTGGCGTGTCTGTGGCATGAGCTGGGTCCTTGGGGTTTGGTTAAAGGCAGCAAAGGCTGAAAAGCAGGCAACAGAAAGTCAGGACTTTGGAGAGAGACACTGAAGAAAAGTTCCTTGTTGCTCTTTCCCTGGGTGAACCACTGTCTCACTCTCCTCTCCCAGAACATGAAAGGAAGGGATTTTAGCAAACCTATTCCAGCCCCCATATAAATTACCTAGTCCCACCCAGAGACTTTCCACATTGACAGCCTGTCTGAGGCTGGCCCAGTCCTGATTCCCCTTTGTTTAAACACAAACCCTGCAGAAACCCCCCATTAAATCACTTCAACACAGTCTCCCCCCCACCTTTCTCCTAGAACTGTGCCCCACCTCCAACCTTCCTTGTCACTCAGGTTCTCCTCTGCTGCTTCCCATCTCTTACCCAGACTCATTAAGAGTGGCAAGACTCACAGGATTGGGTCAATCCACTACTGGTACTGCTCTAGTACTGCCACTGCACACCACATATGCCCAGCACACCTTCCCTATTCTCTGAGGCACTGCTGAGAAAAAAACCAAAGCAGGGCAATGTTTGGACTCATCACAAGCCTGACATGATGAAGGATCCCAAGTGTATTTTGCAGCAGCCTCTCAGGTGGGTGTTCCTTGGGATGCACTTGAGGTGCTGACATTCTTAGAAGGAGTGGACACAAACAGCTTCATCCATTCCATCCTGAAGCCTTCTCCAGTTCACCATCTGCTCCTGCAAACTGCTTTGCTTTCAGAGAGACCGACAGCTTGCACCCAGACCTCAGAAGAGCTGCCATGACTAATGACCACAACCGTCATTATTTATATAAAAGGGTATTTCAAAGGCTCTAAACTGCTTCCAAAGTTCCTTCATGTTGTGGCCAGAGAGGCCTAAAAATAGCTATAATGAGAAACTACTTCCTCTGCTGAAGCTGCCAGGCCCATACTTCTGCCACAGCATTCAGTTGGGCTCTGTACACCACACAGTAACTCATGCAGGATATACCTGCCTGCCTAAAAATCCTAGCTAGATACAAAAAGTGCCAGAAACCAGTTAAGCTTTCATATTTTGCCACATAAAAAAAGAGAAGACAGAAGCAGTAAAAGAAGCAGGAAAAAAGAACACAGTCCCTGAGTCAATGGGTTCCTGGTCAGTTGGGACCCACTTCTCAGACACAGGCACATGCTTGGCCCCAGCTCTCAAGTCACCTCTGTCCTGTAGCTATTGCTGCTCCAATTCTAACTCAATAATAACAGTAATATTTAACAGCCCTTAATGTGAATAGTTCCCCAAAACTGAGGAAAAGGGCTGATATTGCAGCCTATACACATGCTTCAGTATTTCTGTTCAGTCACCAACTGATACAGAAAGAGAAATAAAACAATAGCAGATGATAGAAGATACTGTGGGTTAGCACACGCTCCACACAGCCTTGCTGCACTGCACCCTGACCACCTCCTGTCCTGGTTTGTCCACCTTGCCATCAGCAGCACGGAGCATTTGACCACACTGAGCATTACCAACCCTCTCCCCTGAGTTCTCAAGGTACACAGACACTTCCTTTGGATCACACAACTGACATGGTCAGCACAGACATGATCAGATCTGTTCCAGCAGACCAGAGCTCCTCTGTCAGTGCAGCCCAGCTTGCTGAGGATGGAAAGAGGATCAAAGGAACCTTCAAGAACAGCCAGACACCCAAACATCAGAAATGTTTCTGTATACCTGTAAATCACCTGCACCGACAGCTCAAGACTTCTCTTCCACACCTGCCCCCCACCACCTCCCCTCACCTTGATGTGTTTGTAGGGAGGAGGTTTCTTGTCATTCTTTTTGTCTTCCTGAAGTTGTCTCAGTTCTTTCTGTGCTTTCAATTCTTCAAATCTCACAGCAGCTTCCTGAAGAGCTAAGTGACAGAACAGGCTCTGTTATGAGGAACTCCCTCTGCTCACGCAGAGCTGAGCAGCCACTGTCCAGCCAGTGCTCACATGGTTCAACAGAGGAGGGTGAAGAAAAGGCCAATGCAGCAGGGAAGTGCAGAAATTAAAGTCAAGGGCCTGCTCATGGGTGATGAAGCATCCCATCTGTTGGCCATCTTTGCCTGCCCTCTTGGGCAGAGATGCCAGGCAGCTACACCCACAACTCTCAAGTGCATGTTTATATCAAGATAATGACTCTATTACACACAGGGAAGCTGACACAGCAGAAGCTCACTTGAATTTTGAGACATTATGTCAGAACTGGACAAGCATTTGAGACCTGCATACCCTTCTCCCTCTCTGGGAGTCAAACAAACACTCTGAGCATGCTGGATGATACATAAGCAGCAGCTCATTCTACACAATTAATTTCACTTCAGTTATAAGAATACATTTTTCTCTGCTACATGAATGACACTTTTCCAAAGAGGAATCAAGAGGGTAAGACCATGTACTTCCTTGGATGAAGACAAGTTACCTTTCTTGTATATGCCATCCACGCCCTTTCCCATCTTGTCTTTGCTGCTGACATCACCTTCCATGTAAGGGAACACACGAGCCTGGTGGGTCCACAGGTAGTCCTTGGAGCCAAAGAACAGCACAGGGAACTCACCGATGTCATGTTTCATTTTCTGGATGTTGACAGGAATTGTCCTAGGATGGCAAATCTCAGCTGGCCACCACCTGCAACACAGGAAAGGGCAGATGAAACCTCTGGCTTTCCCCACTTCCAGCCACCTCAAAAGTATGCTACTGCATGGAGACATGGGAAAAAGTGTGTGAGGGCTTACCAGCAAGGCTGGTGGGGAGAAAAGAGGCTACTGGAGAAGGAAAGCTCACATTTTACCAGCAATGTGCATGCAAAAAATGCAGAGGCCTGCTGCAATGAACCCTGCAGAGAGGAGCAGCTCCTCACCTCCATCACCATGAGCACTGCATGAAGAAGGGATGGGGACAAGTCTGTTCTATCTTCACCTACCTGTAGCGCCCAACTTTCACCCAGACTACTTCTTTGTAGTGTGGCTTTTTGCCTGCCTTGCAATCATTACAATACCAGCTTCCCTCTGGCATCTCAATGTTTAGACACTCACGGTGAAACGCAGCCGGGCATGACTCGCAGCATAAAAGGCTGCCCCCTGCAAAGAGAAACAGGAGAAATTTATCAGTCACTGTGCAGAAGCCCTGCACTCCCCATTTCCAGACAGACATGGAAAAAAGGGAATGATGGTCTCCTGCAAGCCCTTTTCAAAAGTTGAGCCCTATTCAAGGTGAAAAGAGAACTCTTCTGATAAGCCAGAAAAGGTCCTAGCCTGAAGCTGGACTTAAATGTGGAAAGACAGAGAGGCAGTCTGCTCTCTGCAGCTCCCATTGGGACATTCTGGATGAGAAAAGCTCCTGCCCTTTGTAACAAATTCTGGGCAGGGCATTCCCTGGTGCCAGGGGACCCAGGGCTGAGCACCTCACCTTCCGAGCAGACAAAGCACCAGCTGACGTTGACGTGCTCGTGGTTGCGGCAGCCCCGGCGCGCCGTGAAGTGGTTGGGGCAGATGATGCTGTTGGAGGCCAGGACCACGGAGCCGGCGGCCAGGCAGAAGTCGTTGGAGTGATACGCGACCGGACACCGCACGCAGCGCATCAGGCGACCTGGCACCGACAGCCACAGCAGTCAGCCTCTGAAGGATCACCACTCCTTCCCACTACAACTAGACTCTACTCATACCTAAGCTCAAAATGAGCTTTGGAGAAGGAAGCTGATTTTTAATTTTTATAGACCACCCATGATATACTCACCGGATTTCTATTAAGTTATTTAATGTAACTAAATATATATAAAATTATAAAATCTGTAATACCTACAACCTAAAATAAAATTGCATTATTTAGAAGTGAAAAATCTCCTGCATGCTGTGCAGAAACAGTTCAAGAGTTCACAGACTGGGACTGCTTCCTATCATACACAAATAATTACTAAATCAGCTCCGACAGTAATTACAGATGGGGTGTTCCAAGTGCTTAGCTGCACATAATGAAATCATCCATGTAGTTTCTGAAAACACAAGCACTTGCCTCTTGTTTATCAGATTTTACCCTGAAATTCCAGAACTTCCAGGCAATTCAGACTTCCCTACAGGCCTAGTTTATGTGAGGTTTTTGAGAGCCCATTTTCAGTTCCTCACAGCAGACTATAAACAGGAAGAATAGGTGGAAGAAAAGGGCTAAATGTGACCATTGAGAAGCAGCAGCCAGTCACCAAATGTTCAGTGGGGAAGTGGCTGGCTGTGGGCTTTTGGCCCTGGTGCTGTTTTCTACACCAAATATTGATAAACGGGGGCAAAAAAAGCCTACTTTGACACAGACTCTGAGGATAAAAATAGAGCCGGTCTTATTGTCACCCATCTTAAGATACCAAGGATTAAAGAAAGGCAGCATTAGAAGCAAACATACACAGCAATCACAAAAGTTTTAAGTTTGATCATGTGAAGTAAAGGTCAAGGCATTGCTGCAAACAGCTCAAACAAATGTTTGCCTAGGAAGCTTAGCCCAGGGGTGTCTCCACTACAAGATGAGAGTTTACACAGAAAAAAATGGATTAGTAGAACAATATCATAGTTTGCCCTGTGCTGCTCTCGATGCCGCTGTGTTGACAGCCCGTGCTGCTAAGCAAGGCACCATCTGCAGCACTGGCACAGTGAGGAGCAGGTGGGAGAAACCCAAGCGTGTCTGTACAGCTCCAGAGATTTACTCAAAAACCCACTGAGGCCTGAGGCAAGGCTGGGCGTGCAGGAATCCGAGCCTCGGGACAGCCTGAGAACATTCCAGCTGCCATGGCCGGCCATGGGGAGTGCTGCAGAGCCTCTCGCTCTGACACCACCCCTTCCACTCCCCTGGGAGCAGAGCAGCCACTCCTCAGCAAACACAGCCAGTGCTGTGGCAAGGACACAAAGGCAACAGAGCAAAGAACTGGTGAACCAGCTGGACACGAAACAAAGAAAAACCAGGTGACTGCACGCCCCAGACCACCCTGGAGGACTCAGGTACCTTTGGAGGCAGAGATGTTTGCTGGGTTAGCAGCATGGCAGGTCATGCAGATGTGCAGGGAGCAGCGGAAGCCCTTGTTCTGCATGACTGTGGGTGGGTATTTCTGTATGCAGGCTTCGTGGTAATACTTCCCACAGAGGGGCAGCAAGCACCGCTTCACGTCCTCCCCGCAGCTCTTGCACACAAAGCAGGTGTGGACCCCTGGAGAAAGAGCAACACACTGGTCACACAGGAGGGCTAAAGGAGGGCCTGGTGCTGTCACCAGGCTGCCTAATAGCACAGCACAACTTCCCAGCCTGCTGCACCCATCCCAGAGCACTGGTCTCTGCACCAGGCTGGTTTGGCCTGAAGCTGCAGTAGAATTCCACATCAAAATAAATATTATTATAGCTGAGACTTCAGGTCAGGGAGAAAAGAAAATTTTAAAAAGTCAATAACCCCACTTTGAGATTCCTCCTTTCCAGCCAGAAAAAACTTCTCCTCCCCACCAGACCCCTCTCCATAGTCCCAGGTAAGAATCTCTTTCCCAGCAGATCATGGACATTCACTTCTTTGTACACCAAGTCTGAATCAACAGTAAGGCTGGCAAATATTTGAAGCCATTATTAAAGGCTTCAAATCAATAAAGACTAGGTTTAGATTAAACATTAGGAAAAAATGAGGGTGGTGAGGTCATAGCACAGGTTGCCCAGAGAAGCTGTGGATGCCTCATATCTGGAAGTGTTCAAGCTCAGGTTGGACAGGGCTTGGAGCAACCTGGTCTAGTAGAAGGTGCTCCTGCCTGTGGCAGGGGGGTGGAATTTGATGATCTTTAAGGTCCCTTCCAACCCAACTCACCCTGTGATTCTAATTAGAAAGTCATTATCAGACACCAAACCAATAATCTGAGCACTGAGAGCTACCCAGCAGCTCCACAGCAGGCACATCACTCCAGCCAAGGAAGCACCAGGCAAGCCCACAGTCCTGCCCCCACAGAAGCTGCCCTACCTGTGGAACACTCATTGCAGATGAATTTGCCCTTCGGCATCTCGGAGAGCCCAAGGCACTGCAGGTGGAAAGCACCACAGCACTGCGCCTCACACAGCAACAACTCCCCTGGCTTCTCACAGATCTGTGGGAAAGAAACACAGTATCAGCTTGAGCAATTTTCTTCCCAGAAGCATCCCACACAGCGGCAACCCCCGTGCTGGCCAGAAAGGCCGGCAGAGACCCCCCGGGGAAAAATGCTACATTTTCCTTGTGTCAGTTAATTCAGGTAGTTTGTGTATAACCACTGTTATTTACCATCCAACCCTGATATCCTACATTGGGTAAAATGTATCTTACGCTGGTCACATCTCCCTAACCTCTGTGAAGTTTAAGAGGAAGAAAGGCTAATGCAGGAGAAATGCTTGACACGTAGTGCAAAAAGCTGGTTAATTCTATAATAAGCACTTGGAGGCTACCTGGGCTTACCTGGGGCACCAATGTGTCCCAGAACTTACACAGAAACACTTTACAGTGGGATAGTTTCAGAGAGATTTCTTCAGAACACTACCTGACACACATTCTCCTTGAGAGCTGCTCCTCCTCCACGCTCCCCCTGCATCTTTTTGGACGAAGGCACTCCATGGTCATTCTCTGACCCCTCCTCATGACCCTCTTTGGGGCTTGCAGCAGTCCCATGAACCGATGTCTCCCCCTTTAAAGAGAAAACTAGGATTAGGATTGTCAGTAGCACCTATCCTGACTTGGAAACTACAAATTCAGTCACTGAGCACTTAATGGGTTTGGCAGGTGATCTGTGTGTTACCCACCCTGGAGAGAACATCCCCCATTACAGTTCCACCAAAAGATTTACACGAAAGGAAAGGAAAGAGCTCTTAGTTTACCAGCTGATTAAAAATACACACTCAACACAATTATCTTCCTGTGCATAACCCCTCTCTGAGCAAGGAATCAGCCCTGAATGGAAACAAATCAGGTTGGCTAAGAAGTCAGAAGCACCCCAGTATCTACTTGCACTAGAAATACAAATGAAAAACCTCAATCTTCATAGCACCTGTCACACACTAAAAGAACTACATTTTCCTCTACACTTATCTCAGCTTGTCCTAACCCATGAAAAATAGAGACACAAAGGTACTCAAGGCCTGTGCTGGTATGAAGTCAGCCAACCCCAAAAGCAGCAGCACAGCAGGGCATTCACACCCCATCCTGACTGAGGTGTGGAGTCTCCCACCGTCCTGAACGAGCATACAGCACTGCCTGCAACATCCACTGGGGAAAAACCATCCTGGGGAGAGGCTGGCTTTCAAATGATAAAGGCCCAAGCACACACTCACAGGCCAAGTCAAGGATCCTGCCACAAGGCTTCCTTCCCAGTGTCCATGGCACCTGCCAGGCACTGTTAGGAGCAAAGCACAGCATGTATCCTAGAGACATTTGTTTCTGCCACAAAATACAGCTGTCCTGCAGCTACACCCAGCAGCAGTGCCACAGATTTTGTCAGGACAGGCAACTAAGAGCCTGGAAATACCATCCTTCCAGCTTCAGCCCACTTGGGAGTTCTAGGGAACACTTCAGTGGCCTCAGCAGCCCCAGCTGCCACTTCAGAGTAGGTACAATTTAAGGACATTAATACTGCATTGAAATGATGCCTTGAGCTACGTGCTTTGAGCCAGAACATTTTAAGGACTCTGCCACTTTTAAATAAGCCAGCTCACTGCAGGTAGCTGAGTGATCTCAGCGCACAGCTGCCAGCTCCTCCCTGGGTCACCAAGCTGTAGCCATTGTATACCCAGGCACAAATAGTACACCTGAGAGACCTTGTGAGAATTCTAAGTGCTGGCAGAAGCAGCAGCCATCACTCCCACACCTCCAGACCTGCTTGGTGCAAGCCTGTCCAGCTAACAATCACAAGAGGGAGCTTTGCACCACTTTCTGTATGGGAAAGTCTGAGCTGTGGTGCTACTAAAGCTTGTAAGCTGAATGGAATGCCTTTTGAACACATTCTGAATCTAGGCAAACAAAGGACATAAAGCTGGAAGAACCTGGAGCTAGTATTCTGCTCAGATAATGATGCTTTCTTTGCCTGAACTGTTGGTGTTTCCCCTGTTCCCTGAATGTACCAGTATGACTTTATTTGGGGACACTTTAAAGCCATGTGCCTTCTGTGGAACAATGATGCACAGATGCACTGAGGGTATATTGAAGTACACATTACAAAAGTGAATGGTATAAACTGACTTTATTGAGAGAAAAAAAGAAGAAAAAAAAAGCCAAGCCCCAACTACAGGCTACTGCCAGTCCAACATACCTTACAGAGTACAGCCTTGCTCTAATACTGCTCCCAGAGAACTGCCCAGAGCTAGACAGGATGAGCAAGGCCCATCCTTTGTGAACATGGAAAAGGGCATTGCCACTCAAGGATCTGCCACTGTTTCCCCTCCTTCCTCTGCCCAGCACAACCACTGCAACACTACAGACCTCCTGCAGAAAGAAAGGCTCATCCCAGGTCTTCTTCCAGAACCATCCCTGCTGCTGTGTCTGGCACAATCCCAAAGCCTGACCTGTTCTTTGGCACAGCCTGACCTCGGCTCACAACCTTGACAACCATTTCAACAGCATTTCCCATCCCATTCTGTCAATCTCTTACTGCCCTGATGTTGTAAATTTGCACTCCTGGCTCCACAGACAGGCAAGGTCAGAGAAAGCTGCTTAGCTCAGCCCAGGCTGACAAGCTTTCCTCTGCCCTCTTTTCCTTGGAAGGCAGCTGGATCCAAGGCTTCCCTGGGCTGTATCATCCAACCATGTATTTTTTCTAGCAAAGTGGAGCTCCTTTCCCAGTGTGTGCAGTCACTGAGGGAGCAGCATGGTCTGAATTCCACATGAAAGCACAACTGCAACTCCACAGCATCCCAATACTCACCTAAGCCAGGGGATGAACACCCACCACAGCAGCTAGAGAGACACAATTACATAGAAAGGGAGGCTGGCAAAGGTGCCAAGCATTGACCTTTTTTTTTGGCATGGTTTACACCATACCTGACTTCTGATACTGAATACAAATGTCTACATCTAGAGGCAGCTAAGACTGGGTTTCCTCTGCAGTCAGTAGTGAGTACAGGACTCAGAGCCACGGCCTAGATCTTTGCTGCTCTGAGCTGCCCCTCTTTTCACAGAGAATTTGCTGTCTCTGAGTGGGTAGAGCAGACAATTTTAACTGGCCCTGCCCAGCACTGGCAAAGGTATTTGTACAGGCTGTTTTTACACATTAGTCCAGCTGAGCACGCTTCAAAAAGAACACTAACACCAGCACAGGAAAGCTTACATGGACCAAGGGTATCACACCAATTTAGTAACTTTATCACAAATGCCCTTTCCAAAATACAACAGGATGGCTGGAACTGTTTGAAGTGGTGTGAGGTTTGTGTTCTCCTGTAAACTGTGTTACAACAACAAATATAACAATATTGATCTATAATTGGCTCCTGAAATACATACTGACTATCCTGCCTGCTGCTGAACCTGGGCCACTGGAAGTGAGAGGCGATGGCGAGAGGCCCAGAGGCGTCCTGCCTCTCCCAGGAAGTCTTGCTTCCCCTACACTTGCTGATAACTGGCTCATTCCTAAAAGGCAAAATGTGCTTGTCAGAGATATTTATACACTGATCCTGCTAATACGTAGCAGAGGGAATTGCCCCAGTTATCCCTTTCTGCTGAATGGCAGAATACAATCAGAGGCTCTTGTGAGCAGTCACAGTCCCCCCCCAGCCCCTCCAATGGGTTCTTGGCTCATCCTGGTGTTCAAGTGTAAGCAGAAGGGGCTGAAGTCCAGTCTAGTGCTTGTGCTTCAAACTGGTTTGTAAAAGGGCAGGAGTCCCACCCCCAGAGAAGACCTTTTACAGCAGTTTGATTTCTGAAGTGCAAAGCAAGATGTCAGGTAAAACCTGGTTCCATGAATTCAAAACAGCCTCTCTCACAGAGAATTAGCTGAGTACCATTTTGAAAACACAGCCTGAGTTAAGCATCATTACAAAATAGCTACTAGATCAAGGCAGTATCTTCAGCCTAACCCCAGCTCAAGCAGCTGCATCAGTGGGATAATTTCTCAAATAACAGGCCAAAAGATGTCTCTGGCTTAGGCTCTGCCAAGTACCCTGGGAAGCAGCAAACAGGTTAAAGGAGCATGAAGATCCAACAGTACCTCAGAGTGTGGGGTCTCCCCCAGCCCCTCCTCATTTTTCTCCTTCTTGGAATGGACTGCAGCAGAGGTATGGCGCTGTCTCTTCCGCTTTCGCTGTTTCTCCAAGAGCTTTTCAGAAGCTGGGATGCAACAGAAAAACCATTCAAGCAAAATGCAGAAATAATTCCCTTGCTGCAGGTGACACCAGCAAGTTCTGCAGCCTGAGAGCTTCAGGCTGGGTCCTGTATTCTTTGAGGGCCTAAGGGCTGGGGCAATAGCAGCCTCCAGGCATTCTGCCCATCACAGAAACACCAGCTCATACTGGTTTAAGCAACTTTTGCTGGGCTGCTGAGCAACAAGCACTTACACACACACACAGAGTTCCACAGGCACTGATTCAAATACCACAACAGTCTGCCCTGCTATCCCTGCCTTCACTCACCTTCTCCCAGGTCCTGGAAGTGGGCTGGTGAGTAGAGCTCAGAGCTGTCACTCTCTGAAGGGCCAGTACCCTACAAACACACAGGAGAGAGAGTCAAGTCACCAGATGAAAACAGAGACACACACTCCTCAGCTGTGAAACCTTTTGGAATCACTGAAAGACCTAATTTACCATCCAAGTCATGAATTTATCAGTCATTAGAGATTTACAAGAAAATATTTGGTTTGTGTGATAAATCACACATGTAAAAGTCTGTCTCTGGGAAGGGAGGAATGTAGAGTCTGATTTGTTATGTGCTCATCAGCACCATTCACTGCTTCCTGTGCTCTCCCAAAAAGGCTGCTAATACTCTGTAAGGTGTTGGGAAAAGACATTCTCTTCTGAGTTTACATTTTACAGACCTTAAGACTGAAATACACTGGTCTCTACATTACTGCAATGGAGATAACTGTACTAAGTCTGTGCCTCACAGTGAAAGAAAAAGAAAAAGGAAAGAAGTGTTATTAGTCAACTCTAGGAACAGTGGCAACAAGTTCTGTGCAGGCACATGATCTGAAATGCAAGTTGCACTCTTCCCAACCATGTCACTGAATATTGAGTGTTCAGTGGAGAAGAGCAGCATCTTCTTTTAAAATCTGAACCAAACAAGGTATCCTACATGTCATTCACTTCAAGCCTCCATCCTGCTTCAAGCTCTGCACTTACATGCATTCACCAGCTCACTTGGGAAGGTAACAAAGAAAACACTGCTCAGAGGAAATCTGATGGAAAAGGACAAAGCCTTAGGTTCAAGTACAAGCTACACTGTAACATGACAGAAAGCCTCTGTGCAGAACACTTCTGCTCATACCTTTCCAGACAGCATCCAGATGACTCCTTTTCCATATAAATCGATTTTTAAAAAATTAGATTTTAAGCCAGTATTATCCTATCCCCATTACAAGCGTGGAGGGGTGGGGGACAGTGGATTATTTCATCATAACAGAGCAACCAGCACCTTTGGGAAGGGTGGACCTTTGCTCCTGGGCTGCAGCCAACAAAAAACCACATCCCATTGCACTGTGTCTTGTTCAGCAGGATCTGCTGTCTGGGCCTGCTTTCTATCCAGTTTTCTAAAGAGCTGGAAGGGAAGTACCTTCTTTTGGGGAGTCCATTCCTCCTTCTTTGGCATAAAGGCAGTGTCCAAGTCATTGGATTCCAAGAGCTTTTTAGTGGGTTTCCTTTGACGCTTGCTTTCGAAGTTTCCTGCAATGAAACCCTTCACATCAGATAAACAGGGGTTTTCTTGTCTTCCATCAGATTAAGACTGTTAAGTAAATATCAGCCAACAGTTCAAAATAATCTGTTTCACCCTGTCTTTGAGATCATAAGCTCCTAGGGCAGAGATGCCAATTACCTGCTTCTGTACAACTTCAATAAAAAACAGACCTCAGTCTGCCATGACCTTCAGGCTCACCTCAATATGTAATATAAAAATCCACCTACAAAAGAGAGGCTGTGAACTCACTGCCAGCAGGTAACACATGCTGGCAGCACAATTCACATCATAATTTCCCAAACACTTTGATCTGCATAAGCCAGTCCTACCACTGACACAGCCCTGCCTACACTCCCACACCTCTCACACCAGCACTCATGCTGCTGCAGTAAACAGGCTGAAGACCACAATCCTGGTTAAAACTACTTGAGAGAAGATACCCCAACAAAACTATTTCCTACTCAAGCTTTATCCTGGCCCTCAGGAGGTAGCAAGACCTGGGCTCCTTCACTAATTTTGGCAACAGTATAAACTTAGAACCAGGAAATGCTGATGTTGAGTGCAGACACTTCGCAGGCACAGCCTGTTACCCATCCCACCCCATTCATCCCCTGGCTTTGACAGTCTCAGCTGTGCCCTTTGACACCTCTGTAGGCACAGCTCATCCATCACACTCCTAACCCTCAAGACAAGCTTCTGCCCACACTGTGTGCTTCAGCAAAAGGTGAGGGGAAATGACTGAAAAGAGCTACACAACCTCTGCAGACTGGATGTTTGTTCCCACTGCTGCAGCCTTTTGTGTTCTCCTGCATCTCCAATCTTGGGTTCCCATCCTCAATTTTTCCTCCTTTAATCCTCTCCATCTTCCCACTTCCTTGTGGGACCTTCCACAAGTCTCCAGAGGCAATCCCTCTTCCCTCACACATGACAGGCTAACTGACCTCCCACTGACCAAAAATCTGCCTGCTTGGTTTATTTTTTTTTTACTACAAGCCCTTTAGGAAGAGTGTTCCCTCCAAGCTAGCACAGCCAGAACACCAGGGCTTTAACTCTGGACATGTATTTAGATGCTATCAGAGAATAAACATACTGAAAGGAGACTCTGAGACTGACACTGCTGGAAAGGGAAAAGGCCCCTCAGACTATACCCCTTCTACACCGTGCCTTACTGAAGACCAAGACCCTCGCTTGCTGCTCACACAAATCCCCAAAAATTTCTACAGATGCTTAGAACCAATCAAGCAGGAAGTTCTTCCAGAGGGAATTTTGTGCTACAGCTCCCTGAGCTCCCTAGGAGAGCAAAAGACCACTCCATGAGCAATGGAGCTTAGACTTTGTGCATCACCCTCAGCACAGCAACGTCCATCTACAGGGATTTACAGCAACAAGAGACCGTCAAGCTGAAGGAATGTCACTGTTTGGAAGCAAGGACTCAGAGGAGTTGTGGCCTCCTTCCCATGGACAAAAGAGGCATTCTGTGCAAGGATCTAAGAAGGACCACCACAGTCTCTAGGAAGCCAATAGTAGCAGGTCACTGGACACCCTTGCACCTGCCCTCTCTCCCTTCTCAACACAGCAACAGTCAGTGAGTGAAGGAAGGCAAGAACAAACAGTGGCAACAGCCACTGATCTTTTCATGCTGCCCCAAGAATAATTTTTAAAGGAACTTGAGTTACTTTCACTTACAAAAGCAGCATCACACCACCTGCCACTTACCTGATTTCAGGAATCCCTCTTCCGCATCTGGAGAAGCAGAAACTTCAGAAACATCTGAGGAAGACAGAACCACCACCTCTGGAAAATCTGAAGATCCTCCTTGAGCTTGACTAGGGGGATCAGTGGAGTGGGATCCTAGTTCTGAGAAACAGGATCTGCTAGTTTCTGCTTCTAGGACGGGAGGGGACTCTTTGGTTGAAGATGGAGTTGAAACCAAAGAACTTGGCCCCCGCTGGGTATCTCTGTCAGGACTGCATTGTGCAGGAACGCCTCCTTCAAATTCAGACCTCGCCACAGAATTCACCTGGCATGGTGAAATATGTTGGTGAAAACATTCATTCTGCATGGCACTGCACACAGCAAGAACACTCAACCACAAAGAACATAAACACACACAGACCAGAGCCCTGGAGAAATAACCACAAAGAGCACATTGGCCTTCACCCACCTTTTGTAATTGCTCCTGGCCCTTCTTTGATTTTTTCTTGGGTGCAAACAAGTGATCATATTCTTCTGCATATTCCAGAAGCCGTTTACTTGGCTTTCTAAGGCGCTTCCTCTCTGAATGTGCTAAGAAAAAGGAAAGCAGCTTCAAGACTGTGTTTCTGAGATGATCACAAGACATCTGTGGATAATAGCTGTTCCTGCCTTCTCTTCCAGAGGTTCCATGTGGGAAGAGCTGATAATTCTCTCTTTGAGACAGCCCAAAGAATTTTTGAGTTTTCTATTTTCCAAAATCCCAACTTAGCAGGGGGGATTTTTAAGGACTTCAAGCAGTTTAGGTAAGAAATCAAAACATAACAGACTGAGAGGCTCCTGAAATTTCACCCAACATGTCCCTACAAGCTACATCTAACTTGCCTGCAGTACTTCTACCAAAACCAAAGGTCATTAGCAACTCATTACTCTTTTGCTGTTTACTCAGACTCTTTTGGTTTTAGTGCAGGGGCATAGGAAAACACTGTTTTCCCATAACACAGTCACTAGTTTCACTAGGAACACATAAGCTTAATTCCTTCCCTTCCCCTCCTCCCTGGCATTTTTTTATATACTACAAATTCCCCATCTGCTACTGTGAGCGCATTTATTGCTTTGTTTGCTCCACAGTGAGATCAGGGAGCCAGTGACTGCGGCACTTGTCTCTGCACAGTGTGGTAGCACTGCAAGGTAAAAGGTGTTTCCTCACCACAACCCCAACCACCCGTGCTACACCAACCACATCGACACGCCAACGCAAGGCAAGCTCCAAAAAACTGAACCCTGACACCATAACAGCTCTTCTCAGCAAGCTGCAAAAGCAAGGTGATGCACATTTTTGTCTTTTTCTCACTTCCCAGAATACCTCTGAATATCTCTGACTTTTCTCCTATTTAGCATTCAAAATCATTAAATAATATGGCCCAAAGATTTCCTCTGGTCAGGAAAACACCTGTGGTCTCCTGGAAGTTTTGGAACAAACAATAAATATTCTCTTTGCTTCATTTCATTTGTAGGAGGTGGTTTTTTCTTCTTTAAAACGGAAGCATTTTATAACAAAGCATTTCAATGCAACGCTTCAGAACAGGGATGTTGGACAAGATTGCTACATTTTATTGTGGCTTTGTGGTTAAACAAGCATGAAAATGTCAAACTTGGCCAAAAGAGAAGAAAGAAACAACTTTCTCAAACACAGCTATTTTCAGCCTCTATTAACACTCTGCACAGGTGTCTGAAACACACTGTTCAGCACATAAGCAGTTATGGGATGAGTATCCTCACCAGGCAACTATTTAGAACCCCAAAACAGTGCAGCAGAGTACACAGCACTGTGCCAGAAAGGCTGGCTTAAACTGCTTTTTGTTCCCAAAAGGAATCCCATACAAGAATCCCAAATGCGGACCGACAGTGGCAAATCACAGACCTGATGAAACTATTATTTATAAAATTGGTTTACATCAGCCAATTGCACCAATCTTCATGTCTGCCTTATTTGCTCTAAACCACTGTACAAGGTTTGTAGCAAAATTATGCCCAATGCTGCCATTTAACTATGATGAAGACTTTATGCAGTTTGAGCTTAGTGGAAATGGCACAGTTTTGACTGCAATCTGTTCTGATCTCTTACACTGAAGCTGCTTGCTGTGGGCAAGTATTGGTCACATCTCAAAGCACTGCAGTCAGTCCAGTTTCCAGCATCAGTTTCTCTACTTTCTAGGCCTTAACATAAAGGAATGGTCTCAACACAGCATTAGAGTCCCACCAGCACTGGGATGTTACAGCAGCCCTGACAGTGGCACTGGTGCCTCCCCACAGCACATCTGTACAAAGGGGGGTGAGTGTGAACAGAGCTCACGTGCTATTTAGGGCAGAGGAATTAGTTTATGCTGCAGTTTCTGATCTGGTACTTTTGCCAGCAAACCCAGGCCCTGACTGCTGCTGCTGCATCCCTGTGTGCAGCACCAACACCCTGTACACTCCTCTCCACTGTCACCTCCACGCCCAGAGCCTGCTGCCTTCCTCTGTCACTATCCCCCTAACTTTACTGCCTCTCAGCACCTCCTCTTCCCTAGCTTGCTCTGCAGACTTCATCTTCACCTCACAGAGCATCACTGCAGGGATGCTTCAACTGCCAAGGCACCATGAAGCTTTAAGAAACTGCCTGGATCTTGGTGTGAAGGAAGAACCCACAGCACAACCCAGAACGTGCATCCTCTCACCTGCTCTATAGAGACCTCAGTCCTCAAAAACACACAGACCCAGCCAGAGTCAGTGAATGATTAAACTGGCCATGACTTAAAACCAGAACTTTTACCCCAGGTGTTACACCCTATAGGTTTGTTTTCTGTGCCTGCTGCAACTTGCCTTCGGCAGGTCCCACAACCACCAAGCCAGGAGCTGCCTTTGCCACAATTGAAACAGAAGTGCAGGCTGCCTCCAGCAACCACAAAAAGCAAAATACACACATCAAAATCTGCACTGAGAGAACACATAAGTGACAGAATGCACACAGGCTCAAAATTATGATGAGTTGTATTATTTTACGATATCACAATTAGATTAGAACAATTTAGTGTGGTGAAACCTATGCAAAAAACTAATTTTATTGGTTTTATTAAGGCGCGGTTCCCCAGATTCCCTGCAGAAACCAGAGGATGGTACAAGTTGAATATGGTTCTGTTGGCCGTATTCCTTCCACACATCCTTTTATTTCTTCCTTTGGCTTTAACCAAATATCCCCACCTCTGTGGGGGAGGCAGGCCTCTCTTGCCTTTTGGTCCTCAGAAGCCTCCTCCTTCCTACGCAATTTCCCTTCCAGTGCTGCTGCCTTTCTTCTGTCTGCCATATTCCAGACCCACCTCCAGCCCAGCCTCCCTGGCAGCTTCCCTCTCTTCTGCTCTCTCTTTCACCCATCAGGCAGCCACACCAGAACTGTAAATTAGGAAATCTGTGGGGCTCCACAAGTCACTATGAGCAACTAATAAAATTCCACACTATAACCCAAAAAACTCCCAACACATCATCTTGAAGAAATCCTACAGAACAAACCAAAAACAAACTATGTCAAACAGCACTATGAAAGATAAAAAACAGAGCAGCCACTGAGGCTCAGTTTCCTGGAACTTTCTAGCACTGACCTACCCCACTAACACCAAACTTGTTGGCTCTAAGGAACACATAATGAAGGTGCAAGTTAAAAAAAAAAAATCCCAGGCTCCGAAGAACTCTTTTTTTACCTTTCACTGCAGAAGAACTAAAGATTTTTAATGTGTACAAAATTTTCTGACCAATAACCTGAGTACAAACTCATAATTACTCTGTCTCCTTTGTCCTCCATGCTTACAGAGAACTGAAACCAAGGTCCCACACTTTCTTCTGCTCAGACGTAGATATCTTCACATTGTCAGACAGCCACAAGTTCTGTAACTTAGCCTTTAAATGAAAAAGTGTAAAATGTATACAAATACTCTGGCGCAAGTCCAGCTCCCTTACCTTGTGCAGAGAATTCAGACTGGGGAGCAAAGTTGCCAAGCTCTGTTTCTGAGTCCATCACACTGGTGTTTGGCTTACCACATACATTCAAACGTTTATCAACTAAGTCTAAACGATTCTCAAAGTCCTGAACTGCCAAGTCTCCCTCAAGCACCTTTGAATGAGGGGAATGCCTACGTCCCAAGCACTCATTTCCCTTCAGTGAAAAGCCACGAGAATTCAGGCCAAAGGCACTCTCCAAGTTTCCTTGTTCCCTAGATCTACTGATGTGCTTATTAGATCTAGCACTGCTTTGGTTAAAACGCTGCCATCGCTTTTTGGGTGCTACGTGATTGATATCATTAGACTCATCACCAAGAGAGCTCTCACTATTTGCCTCTGAATCCAAGTCTGGACTCTCCCCATTTTCAGCAGAATTGCAGCTCTCATTATTTCTACCAGCTTCAGGTCTCCTTCCAATACGACCTAAATTGTCATCAGATAAACAGGCAGAGTCTTCATCAGTTGAATGCTCTGTTAAATCAATACACTCTTTCCTCTCAGTATCTTCTGCCTCATTCCCTAGAGGACTGGTAACCGAACTGTGCCCACGGAATGCATGTTCTCCTGAATCTCTGGGTAACCGACTTAGCAACTTACTTGGCCCTCCTGGTTTTAAGTCCTTTCTGTTTGAAACTGTTTTATCTCCAAGCTTTGATGACTGCTTAGATTTTGAACAGTTGCGTTTGGACATGCAATTTGTGCCGTTTGTCCCAGAAACAGCAGCACTCGCAGGCTCCCTTTTACCAGTACCAATCCCTGTCAACTTGGTTGGAGGACTGCGTGAAAATGAGGAGTTGCTTATAGCAGAGTTTGGAGTTACTGTTTCCTGGACACAATCTCCATTTTTTTCTATTTTATATGGGGGACCTACAATAGACAAAGACTTGAGACCACTTGCAGAATTGCTTCCAGAACCATCACCTGTGCTGGTATTTCGAAATGGGATTATATTTTGACCAGTCATCAGTTGCTGCTCTTTTGTCTTACTGTCATGCATATCCTTCAACATCATTAACAAGGTGCTGAATTTGTAATCTGGTTCAATAGGCAAACGACCATGACCAGAAGCAGAAGAGAAAAGCAAAGGTACTGTGGCCTTTGGAGTGCCAGAGTCACTGGCATCATCGTTCATGGACCGATACGACAGTTCCTTCAGCTCCGACAGAACGTGCTTCACCACGGCTGTTTCGATTTCAGCAGAATCCCTGGGTTTCTCATGCATGTTGTTTAACAGTTTCTGACCATCAACTTTTCCACTTCTCTGAAGAGAATCTCTTGAAAGGCCAGAGAAACCTTTGGTATCTGAAGAACAGCGATTCACACCACCCTCCTCTTCTGCAAGAGAAGGCTCCAACCCAGCAACCTTTTCTTTATGTTTACATTTTATACTCCTGGTTCCAGGTAATTTCATGCTTTTCGGTTTCAAGATTGCTTGATTTGTAACAGCAGGCCAGGAGCTGTCCTTGGAAACACTTTGGGGGGTAGTGTGCTTGTTTGCTAGGGAAAGATTGTAATTTCTCACATCTGAAGAGCACTCAAGAGGTGTCAATGACATCTCAGCATCAGACAATCCTACTTCAAGCTCCCCATCTGCAAATTCAGCATCAAGTCTGTTGGTTACTGAACCTCCCAGAGCTTTGCGATCTCTGTGCGCCTTCTTCCTGGCCCTTCTGCTGCTCTTCTGAGAAAGATACATCGAAAGTTTAATGTTTCCACTTGATGTCATAGGAAAGTCCTTCTCCACTTTATCTGAAGAATCACTAACTTCAAGAGTACTAGAGGCTCTCTCTGAACTTTGGTCCATGGTATCTACATCACTGTTCCCATCATCAGAGAGGGAAGAGGATGAATCTGATTCAGTTTGTTTTTTCTCAACACCAGCATCAGAAGCAGAATAGTGTATTTGTAATTTGGAACTGCACAAAATGCCCAGGGAACTCTTCTCTCTCTCAAAACATGGGCTGGAAAACAAATCTCCTTGGAGGGTGTTTTTCAGAGCATCACTTTTACGATTCTCATAGTCTGGTTTTAGAGGTGTCTTCTCAAAACGTCTTTCTCCAAAGGAGGACAGCAAATGGTTTTCCCTGGTGCTACTGGACGCTGTCAGGCTGTTGGCAATCCGGCGAAGCTCCTGAGACGCGTGTTTCTCTGGCAGGTCCCCAACAATCACGTTTCTAACTACGCTCTCTGGTGTTTTGTCTTTGATTTCTTCCCTCGATTCTTCCCCGCTGGCGCCACTCTTTTTTACTCTAGTCCTTTTTCTGCTTTCAGAGGTTGTTTTCACCTGTGGCTTGATGTGCAATTTTCCTTTTTCACTGGCCACGTGTCTGGAGTCAAAAGCCAAGGATTTTAAGCAGCCGTTCAGTTGCGTGTCCCTTTCTGCTCCAGGGCCATTGGTGTAGTATTCCAGCTGCACGTCCTTCTCGCTGTCCGGCTCGCTGGAGTTCTGGCTGCACTTCTGATCCTCTGGCCCCCCAAGAAGAATGTCTTCTGCCTGTCCAACACTGACTTCCCATTTAGCCCTAAATCTCTGAGGAACCTTAAAAGTTGGAGACAAAAAAAAAAAAAAAAGACAAAATTTGAGTAGGTACCCAAAGAGACAAAAGCGAGGAGCACAAGGCACAGAACACAGTGACATTCCTGCATTTTGCATCTTTAAGACAATTCCCTGCAACTGTGTCTGGCAGACACAGGAAGTACTGCTGGGTAAGCACCCTGCATTCCAGCTCAGCCCTGTGCATTCCCAAAACAGTAGAAAGGTCCCTGGCAAGTAAAGGTCTTCCAAGAATCGATGTCTTGGCATGCCAACACACCCTAAACACAACAGCCTGTAAAGGGCAATGCATATGGTATGGATCCCTGGCACAGAAATGCAAAGCTACAGCCAGCAAGCCTCACAAGGCAAATACAGCATTGTTTTCCTCAAAATATCTGAGCAGACCTGTTTGCTGTCCTCATTGTTGATTCTTCCTGCATCCCCTGAATTCAGAGCACGATCTGCCCTCTCCATCAACTCACCTCGGGACTAACATGAGATCCACACACATCTAAGATGTGCTCTCTCAAGTTCACAATGTTCATTCCTGAGAAGTCTCCCAGTTCAACTCTGCATCTTTAGAAAAACCAAAAAGCTCTCTGCATACTTAACAGGAACCTCTGCTAATACTCAAAATTAACACGAAACTTGTTTCTTATCTGCATATGTAGTTTTTGGCTGCACAACAGCGCACCAAAAGCTTCACAACTGCTTCTAAAATCAAATCCAATTCCAAGGCAGGAGGAACAACTCACATTGCTGACACTTTTCTTCTAAAGAAAAACTCAAACCAACAAAGTCTCATCTCAGCAGACTCAAGAAGTTTCACAAAGCCGGACAGCAATCCAGCCAAATACTCTCAGCTCTGCATCAATTTTGGCTTCCAGGGGTGCAAAGATGGACATTTATGTGAGTAACAAGCATTTGATTCCCTCTACTGCAGGCATGCTGGCACTCCATTTACATACAGAATGAGATTTCAGCCATGCAGCACTTCTAGAACCAGAGAAGTTACTTGGGAGCATGTCACTAGTTGTTGAGAGCACAAGGAGAGAAGTCCTTAAAGAAGATACTAAACATGCCCTTGGAAAAGAAAAACCAAATAAGGCCATTGCCCCCAGGGACTCACATCTGCAAGAGCACATTCAATCTGATGGTTCTGCACTAACACAGAGAAAAAGAAAAACCAGATACCATTGCCTAGTATAACTATTTGCTCTCTTACAGCAACACAGTAGCCTCTGTAGTTCTTCACTTCAGCAATTCTAACGAGTTAATTTCTGCAGTCACCTTCCTAAAGACATAGACCAGACCCCTGTGTCACATTACATTAACTGGCTACAACTGCTCTGGGCTGTTATGTTTGGAAACGGAGATGGTGCGATGAGCCACAAAACTCATTCCCACAGGCTCACTGACAAAGCATTTTCCAAGTCAAATTATAAGTCCTAACAGGTTTCTATAAAGAGAATTACTGAAGCAGTGCTAAAAATCCCACTGCTTTATCTCAGCCAGCGATCTAGTGAAGCATGCAACTCCACCTCTGATTCAGATCAGCCAAAGGAGGCTGCCAGGGAGCACAGAAGTTTTTTAGCAGTGCTGCAATCCACAGCAGGAGAGGGCTGTGCTGCTGAACAGATCCCACACCAACAGAGCCCAGATTCCTCTGCCTTCCAGAGCTGTCCAGGGCAGTAGAAGCAGGAGGCCACACCCCAGCACAGAAGAGAGTCTGGAAACTCCTGGCAGTTTATAAACTATGCTGTTGTAAGGACACAAAGAATCCCTTTCCTGGCTGACTTGCTGCAGTCAGTCTCACAGAAGCTGTCAAAGTACAAATTCAGGCATAAAGGAATATTTTGTACTGTGAAGATTCAAAGAAATAAAAACATATTACACAAAACAGCTCTTTCACCTTGTGTTTGTATCCTTTTTCCTTTTGCTTTCCTCTTTTCCGGAGAACAGGCAGCTCTTCAAACTGATGTCTCCCTTCAAAGAGGACAACAGCTTTTCCAGGAACCCAGGTTTTCTCTGAAGGTTCTCCTAAGGTATCCACATAGTACTCTCGGTATGGTCTCTGACCGGAAACTATTTCAAGAAATTTAACAGAATTACCCCTTGTATGTAACAGAATAAAGACACAAAAAGAGACACAGAAAACAGTAACAATTTGAGAGGTAATTTTCAATTACATTTTGCTTAACAACATTCCCACATAAATGACAGTTATGGGGGATTTCTACTCACAACTAAGGGAGACCCCTTTGTTTGCTGCTGTCTATATTCTACATTGCTAGTCTATTTTTAAATTGTTTGGGCTTTTTTTTTTTTTTTACAATTGATTAACACGCCTATGACTGGTCATCTTCCTACAGCAAAGACTGCTTGCAAAAAAAAAAAAAAAGTAAAGATATGTAAATATTTAACATGCCTATGACTGGTCATCTTCCTACAGCAAAGACTGCTTGCAAAAAAAAAAAAAAAGTAAAGATATGTAAATATTTTTTCCTTGAGAGACACAACACACCAGGCAGAATATATTTTTTCTGCTACTCCCTGATTAATGATTAAACAGTCCAGAGCACTTGACCGTTGGGAAAGCACAACAGTGCTGGGAACACCCAGAACTGACATCCTTCTGGACAGGATTTAGTCACTCAGATTACACTTCCAGCCCATTTGGTTTGTGCTACCTCTTCCAGGGTGCCAGCACAGTGTGGCAGCCTGGCCCTAAGCGATGTTGAAATTGAGATTCTAACCAAGACCACTGAGAGGATGACAATGACCAGAACAACATCAAACCAAGTGCAAAGATCACAGGCTTCATCCACCCCATTCAGTTCTGGGACTCAAGTCATTGAGCCTATACCTTCCAGCTCCAAAAACCTTCCAAGCCAAGAGCTTGCTGAGAAAAGGTAAACTGCCTTTAACTAAACACCATTCCTCAAATCCCAAGAGAAGAGCTTTCAGCACAAGTGACAAGGTTGAAGCGACCTGCCTTGTTTTGAAGGGCTTGTTCCCTTGGCAACAGGAGAGCCAAGGCAGCAGGACCGTGCTTCCTACAGTGCACACAGAGCCCAGCTCCTCCTGCCCAGAAGTGCCAGAGCTCAGCTCCACCTGCCTTGCCACTTTGGCATTGGGAAGGGAGGACAAGCAGATTACACACAGCCACAGCTGGAAAACACCATTTTCCCCTGAACTCCACTGGTTTGAACACAGATAAAACAATGATGGGAGAGTTCATCATGTGGCTGGAGATCAGGCCTTCCTGGAACTTGCTGACAGAGCTTTTCCTCCCTGTAGAATTCCTTTATTAACAATCCTCATGCACAGGCTGAGAGGGAAATACTGGACAGCTATATACATTAAATCCTGCCCAAAACTTCAGGAGGAGAGATGTGAGGGGACAATATATATCAGCATATCTTCTGGAAACATCTCTGACAGGATTTTGAGAGCTGGAAACAAACTATTTAAAATATCACATTCACTATTCTCTAGAGTCATGATAAGTGCCTCCCCAAAGGATGAAGGGGGAGGTGAAGAAAGAAGACTTCAGCAACCAAGCTTGGGGATGATGTGAGCACCATGCAGGAAAAGCTACTTCATGTGTAGAGAAACAGCAATGGCTCTGAGCTGATGGCCACTCAGAAAGAACTCCACTCATGCACAGCACTTGTTGTGCTTAGGCTGGCAAGGGCCACAAAACCTGGAGACAAATACAGTAGTGACTGGCAATCTCACCAGTCTAGAGCTGTCAGTGGCAGAGGACACCAGTTCAAGGGGTTTCTAGTTGCCCAGAGAATAAAAAGAATCAGAAGGGGAAACCAGGAACAAATAAGCCTTTCTGTTTGTGGCAGTCTCCCCGTGGCATCTGGTATGACACTAAAAGCAAACAATTCCTCATTTCCCTTCTGTTCTTTTCATCACTCACCTATCTCTGTCTTGATCTTTCTCCCTTCCTGGCTCTCTCCTGTGGTCAAGCACACACAGCTCTGTTGTATTTGTCCATCTCTTCTCCTTGCACTCCACTCACTCACACTATACCCTGAACATTCACATACATGGCTCCATTTCTTGGTTTTTCCAGAATTTCCCTATCAACAGCTCCCTAATTTTTTGTGCTAAACAAGACCCAAAAATTTCACTTCCATGCACATGCTCCCATCACACCCTCAGGCATGTAGCAGCTACACTGCACTACCCCACACTCCACTCCTCAGCCTCTCCAGCCTCCCGTTCTCCAAGAACAACTCTGTGTCCTCACACATTCCAATCTTCCCAGCCCTGCTTCCTCACCTGTTCATCTCCTTTTTCTCTGCATAATTTTTTGAGAGGCTGCTCTTCTGCACTGCCCTGAGCTTAGCCCAGCTATCTGTCCTTCCAACAGTCTGGGAAGAAAAGACTAAATGTCCAACAGCTCTCTGCCACTTCATCACCCCCAGCCCCTTCTTCTCCCTGCCACCTCCCTCATTTAGCTTTACTTTCTTGTTTTCCATAGCACAGCCTATTTCTTCACACCTTTCAAAGGCTAGAAATGCTTTTAAAATTAATTAAAAACTGCAGCATCCTGCCATACACACCACCTCCTCTTTGTGGTCTGAGTAGATACAGTACCTTTCATTTTTGAGTGACAGTCCAGCACTGGGTCATGACAAATTGTGCATGGCCACCATGGGCGTCTGTTGAACTTGGCCCAAACAAGATCCCCAACTTCATACTTCACTGGAGGTTTCTTCTTGGCTTGGATCTTTGGGGAAAAACCAGAATACAAGAAATCACTAAAGCTCCAGATGCTTTTGAAGAGATTTGCCTCCCCCCCTGTGTGCAGATTACACGGGACAGCAGAGACATTTGCATTAAAAAGCAAGTCCTGATTTTACTTAGTGGCTCCTACACCTTCAAAGAACACAATGGTTCTCCCCATTCTTCTGCAAGAACAAAACAATAAGAGGATTTGAGTAGGTTTTTGTTATTTTTTTAGTAAGTAACTGTGACCTCTGGTAAATGACTGCACTCAAACTTCACACATTTGAACAGGAAAATATCTGGAGTCACTACTAGACCCCATTATTTTACCAACACGAGTTTGTTAATTTCAAAGGTTGCAACATACGGAAAAAGTAACAGTAAGAGACAGTGAAATTTTCCTGTCTGAAACATGATAAGAACAGCAAGTGTTTATCAACTGGGGAGGAAAAAAAAAAGTTGGTATCTACAAGTTAGTAACCTTCTTGCTTCTCATATGTGTTCAGGAAAAAGCTTCACCAGAAGCTTTGAAACCAAAGACAGGCAGAATCACAAAAAAAAAAAATTATATACTGATGTTTAGCTTATATGAGCAGATCTGGTGTTGCTCTGCCCCAAAACTAAGGAGCAGAGAGGGAGTTTAAGAGCAGGCACCTCGCTCTAGGACACAGACAGACACAACACTGACCTTGCCTGTCTCCACAAGCTGCTCACAAGTATCAACTCTGCAGACACAGCCACCCAAATCCACTCAGCTTCTCAGGGCTGTGCAGCAGCCACAAGAACACCGAAATCTTTCAACACACAAACCCTAAAGCTGTTTAATGCCATTTCTGTGTCACTACCCAAGAGCTGAGAGCAGATCCCGCGCCCGTTTGCGAAGCACGGAGCCTCTCTGGCTGCATGTGCTTCACCAGCAGGACCTCTGCCAAGGAGAGGATCTAGGAGCTTTGGTGTTGTGAATCATTGAGCCAAGACGAGATACAATAGGTTTTCACAGGATATAAAAGTCCCTGTACCCAGCTGTGGGGTATCCTGCCTGTCTAGCAGCACCCACCAACATGTCCCAGGTGGGTTCAGCATTTTAAGAGCTCCAAGAAGCACCCCAGGTATTTTTGCTGCCGTAAGTACAAGCAATATGCTCCTCATTAAAGTTGTTACAGCACAAACATGCACCCTTCTGCTTCACTTCTCCATCCTGCTAACCACCCTGCTCCAGGCACGTCTCTTGCCATACCCAGTTCAACATCCCAGCAACTAAAACACAACAGACCTCTCTAATAAAAGGTATATTCCGTTTCTCATTGAGTTTTATGGGTCTTCTTCATGTGGTTAAAGAAAACACAAAAGAACAAACTCTGTCACATGAAAAAAAGGCACGTAATGATGTTACAGACTACATTATTGAAATTCTTCTCACTCACTCATCGAAAGCCACACAATAACTTATTGCTGAGCAGGAGTTCAGGAAGAGGGAATGTGAACAGCCCCGGGCAGGGGGCTGCAACCCCTTCTCTCTGCCACTGCCTTGCTGCAGCCTCTGTGTCTCCAGCTGTATCTGTGAGCACAGGACCAGAGGTGCTGCCTCAGCTGCTGCTTTTAAAATGCAGATGCACTTTCAGATGCAAACCCCTTCTTTTTTAAGTCTGTTTCCCTGCTTGAGTTCTTCTAAATGTGACTTTGGCCTCAAATTTTTTTTTACAGATTTCCAGCCTAGGCTTTGAGGGGCACTTGTATATCCCAGCTGATTATCTCCGATGCTGCCATACACATACAATAGATGAGCATCTTCCTGACAACTGTAACCTGAGCCCAGGCACTGGACAGAGCAGTAAAACCTCACTGGAGCTTTGCCAGAGCCATTCACATTGATCCACCTGAACGACATCCACAGCCCCTGCCCTTAGGCAAGTCTGCATTTAAATCAACTCTTTGTCAACCTCCAACACCCCATCCCAGTGAAAAGGTGGCTTTCAAGAAACTATTCAGACAATGTCTAAACCTCTTTCTAAGAAGTCAGCAGCTATTCTCATTCCTGCCCAGTTTCCTCTCTCATTTCCCCAGCATTAGCAGTCAGGTGCTGGACTCACCATCACCCACCACTAAGTCCCCACCAGAGGTCACAGAGGCAGATCAGGAAGCATCATGTCCTGAGGGAAGCCTTGTGACAGGATGCACTGCAGCAGGTCACTGGCTTGCATATTTTTCCTCTCTAGTCTCCCTAAATCCCACCAACCTGCCAGAGATGCCTTAACATTTTTTTTCTTTACATGGAAAAAAATCTGCTAGGGACTTTCAAAACGTGTAGCACTGAATAGCCAACAGCAGAGGAGCAAAAGCAGCAATTATTGTCCTTTCCAGGTACAGTTAAGTCTCTTCCTTTAAACTCTGCAGCATGATAGAAAAATTATAGCCCCAAAGCACATATGTCTTATGTAAGAATACAACAAGTTTCACTCCTATAAAAATTAGAATTTAATATGCCAAGATTAAACTGCTGATAAATCCTGATGGCCAAAAATTTAGCCCTGCAGTAACAGTGACTTTTCTGTGAGCTAGGAAAAGCCAAAGTTTTTTTAAAAATTTCAATTGTAGTTCCGTACATCTGATCACAGCACTGTTCACCTTCAGAGCATGGACATATTCAAGTATTTAAATAACAAGAAAATTTGTGAGGCAGATTGGGTAAAATCCATGTTGTAACCCAGTGGAAATACACTGAAGAAATTAAACCAGGTAAGAGTTTTGGTTAGTGAGGAAGGAAAGGACAGGGCCTTCTCCATTGATGGGGAACAACAAAGTTTTGTATTGTCAGATGCTCTCCTCAAGGGAGTCAGTGCTGTCTACTCTTTTATCAAATGTTTGGCAATTATTTGCTGCTCAGATGGGACAAGCTACAGCCTAAACGTGAGACGATACGCAGCATTTCTGATCACTCTGTGCTATTTTTGGACCAAACAAGACTGCACCTTGCAGATGTTTTTTATCAAACCCTCTCCACCAAAGACCCCAAATGATCACTGTGGAAGGGGTCACAAGCCAAGATTCAGCCAAGATGACACAAAAACCACCTGCAAAGTCAACTCTTGAATCTGTACTACGCCAACCAAACACACCAGTCTGCAACTCACTAAGTGAAATACCAAACACTGGTGCTCAGTTTCATGAGGAAGCTTTCTATTTGAAAGCCAAGTATCTTTACCCTCCTGAAATTCTCAACATACAGCAAATAATGAAACATATCAAGCAAAGAAAGCTTAAATTTCCAAGTGTTTTTATTTTGCTAACCATACTGTCAGTCTTCAACTGTCTGTCACTAATCTTCCTCCTTTGAAAATAACCACATCATTAAAAAGTGGAAAAAATAACTCTTTATCCAGTAACCACTCTTGTCTCTGTCACTGGAAGCTGTTGTTCAATCCATTCATCTTGCTGGATGAAGTGGCACAAAGCAGAAGCCCACAAACACAGACAATGCTGACAGCCACAGGGTGCACCTTTCCTGCAGCACTGGACATCCCTGAATAAAAATCAGAGCAGCACCAGCCTCTCCAGTGCAGCTGGAGACGCAGCTGCAGACACCCCACGTGCCCCAACAGCGTGACCAGGGATGTGACCACCTTGGCAGAGCCACAGCAAGACTGAACTGCACACAAAGGGGCAGAGATATGTCTGCTGTTACAGGCAATTTCAAATCTGCAATTTCACATAGCCAAAGAGACATCTGTCCAGAGATCAAGCACTGATCTGCAGCCATTGTAGCCCTGCACACTTCCAACTCAGACCTGCTTTGGAAAGCCATCGTGGAAACATCTGGCCAAGAAAGCCCTATCACAGTTTATTCCTGACTTAATGATAAACAATGTTACTCAATGAAGCCAGGGACAGAACATGATTTGCAGAAAGGCTGGGGCAGCAAGAGACTGTGTATAAGGACGATGAAGAAAAGCAAGAAAGAAGCCACTGATCCCCCAAAAATAATGGAGGAAGATTCTGCCAAGCCCGTTTCAGGCACAAACTGAAAAGAATCAAAGCCAAGGATGAAAATAAAAGGAGGAGGCCACATCCAAAGGGTAATTAACTAATGCAGTGTAAACAATGACACTAATAACCTTTTCCTCTGAGTGTACAGCAGATACCTGCCCAGGGCCCTGCAGCAGCAGCATGGGATAGGGATATCTCCTGAGCAGATCTCACCACACTGGTAGCTGCAGGTAAGTCACACCCCACATGAGCCGGCCCAAATATCACTGCCAGGGGCAGAAACAGCAACAACTCTGCCCCACAAACTTCCAGTGCTCTTTTCAAACCTTCTCATTCCCAGGCCAGCAACTCTCATGCTTCTCCCTGCATTCCACATATACCCAGGATAAAGTTGTTCCCAATACCTACTTCTTATCAGTTAGAACTGGAAGCTTGCTGAGGATCAGTCCACAGCCTGCCCCCACCACCACTTTTTATTCCTTTAAGTTTGGTGATCATTAATTTTTTCCTAACACGGTGAAATGATAAGAAGTCCATCTAATTTCTACGAGCCACTAATGCCAGACATGGCTGAACTGGCTCAAGATCAAAAGCTTTTTTACCAGAAATAAACCCTACCAAAATGAACTTGAGGGAAAGATGACATTTGAAGCTGCCTGGATAGCCTGGGCCTGACAGCCTGCTGGAGAGGGACTTCTTACAATGACACAGAGTGACAGGACAAGGGGGAATGGCCATAATCTGTGAGTAGGTTCATATTAAATGTGAGAATGAAATTCTTCCCTGGGAAGGTAGTGAGGCCCTGGTACAGGCAGCCCAGAGATGCTGTGGCTGACCCTGGATCCCTGGAAGGGTTCAAGGTCACACTGGATGGAACTCTGAGCAATGTCATCTAACAGAATATTCTCTGCCCATGGCAGGGCATTGGAACTACATTGTCATTAAGGTCCCTTTGAACCCAAATCATTCTGTGATTCTAAAAAGAAGTTATCCACTAACACAACCAAGCCCACAGAT